TCTCGGGAAAATGGGTGTACCGCATCAAGACCAATGCGGACGGTTCCACCGAACGATTCAAAGCTCGATGGGTCGTACGAGGGTTCGATCAACGATACGGAACCGACTACACAGAAACATTTGCGCCAGTCTCCCGTCACACCTCATTGCGCATCCTATTCGCCGTCGTGGCCACGAAGAAACTACCACTGCGCCAAATCGACGTCGCAAATGCTTTCCTGTACGCACCTGTGGACGCTGAGATCTTCGTCGAGCAACCCCACGGATTCATCGACGACCCCACGAAAGTATGCCAGCTGGTAAAATCCCTATATGGGATCAAGCAAGCCCCGCGGCTCTGGCAGCAACATCTTCACGGTCGCCTCGTAAAAATCGAATTCCTACAGCTGCCGCATGACCAAGGCATGTACCGACTGCAAAAGGGAAGAGAGTATATCCTACTCATCGTTTACGTCGACGACCTGCTCTACATCGGTTCCACTACCGACATCGCCATCTGGTTCGAAGGGGAGCTGAAAGAGGACTTGACACTCACGGTGTCCGACGCAGTGACCCAGTACCTGGGACTGAATGTCGTCGAAGACAACTCGGCGCTCTACCTACACGCTGGAAAGTACGCAGGCACCGTCGCGAAGAAATTCGGTCTAACTCCGACCATGGTCCCGACTCCCTACCGCTACGGGAACAACAACAACACCTCCGCAAAACTCCCCGCGAAGCAAATCCAGGAGTATCAGCAGAAGCTCGGCTGCCTACTATTCGCAGCAGTAACCTGCCGACCCGATCTCTCTTATAGCGCGAGCCAACTGGCGACGCATCTGAAGCAGCTGGAACAAGAAGATATCGAGGAACTTAATCGGGCACTACTCTACTTCGTCTCCACGCCGACGACCGGGCTCACCTACAGCAAAGTAACGACACCATCCGTACGACTACTCGGATACGTCGACGCCGACCCCGCGGGAGACAAGGAAAATCGACGATCGAGAACGGGCTACATCTACCGACTAGAACCTATCGGGACTATCTCCTGGCAGTCGAGCAAGCAGGAACTAATCGCACTATCTTCGGCTGAAGCAGAATATATCGCCCTCTGTACTGCGACCAAGGAAGGACTCTACCTACGAGAGTTGCTAGAGGAAGCGAAGATTGCGACCCTGCCCGTCTTCTCACTCCTCTGCGACAACCAATCTGCGATCAAAATCGCGAACAAGGACGGCTTCGCCAACCGAACCAAACACATCGCCCTGCGGTACTTCTTCGTCAAGGATGAAATCGCGAAGGGGAGACTTCAACTCAGTTACTGCCCTACGACAGAAATGGCCGCAGACTATCTGACGAAGAAATTGGCGAAGGCAAAAATCGATTACTGCATGCTGCTGACCGGGCAGACGAACGTCACCGGATCTGAACACGTCAGCACTCCAAAAACGAAGGGGAGTGTTGGAAATATGTCGAAGGACTTAAGCGTTTCTGAAGTGTAACACTACACTCGAGGAAGATCGCAACGGGTACGCGAGTCAACGGAGGTTACACGAGGGGGCGAACAAAGAACGCGAAGGGACTCGAAGGGTCGCAACAGGAGGTTGCGACTGACCGTTACAACAGCGCGGATGGTAACCGAAGCGACAATCGAGTCGCTGTGCGACTCGATAACCGCTCCTGCAACTGTATTCTACAACTGCTTTCTTATCTTCTATATATTTCTGTATGCTTGTTTCTTTAATCAATCACTTGCTCTCATATACTAGTACAAGGGTTCAACTACCTCAACTTCCGCTGCACTACTCAAGCCTCATTCTACAACTGGGACTTAGTCTCTGGAAAGATCCTAAGGGCATTTCTCAGCCCAACATTGTGAAAGTGAACCTGTTCGTAATGAAGCAATGGGCAACGGCGAATCGCTAAACGCTTTTCGCCGAGTATATAAGAGTAGTGGAGGTCATTTGGCCTCCACCCACGTCTTCATTTCGAAATTTCAAAAGGCTTTACGTCCCACCCACCCACCGTTAGGCACTAAAGATTCTTGTTTTATGTACGTGTTGGACTAGGATGTTGTAATTGCCCATTTGAAATGAAGCACGTTTGCCGTTACTACAACGAAAGAAAGCTTTCTCAATCCAAACATCAATCCAGAGCCTCATTGTGTGGGCGATCCAGCCTCTATGGAAGCTATCTGTTTTACAACCGTCAAACTTCCAATTATTGACCAGTTGTATTGACAACACGAGCAACGTGAGTAGCAGGGCTGACGTTTCAAAAAAAGGCACTCTGAGCCAACCCCCCAAAAAAAAAAATTAGTCTGAAGGGCCTTCAGCCGAAATTTTTGTAGTCTGAAATGTCAGGGTCCAGAACTCAGCGAGTCTGATTTTTTCAGGGTCCAGGACGTACAACCAGAGTCACACACGGGAAACACCCCCACAGCGAGAAACTTCCCTCCCTCCTACACCTCCCAAAAATTCGGCTAAGTCCCTTGTGTCAAAAGACTAGCTTAGCTAGGAAGCCATAGAATGGCACAAGGTTTAGCTAGGAGCTAGGAGGAGCCATGAGAATGGCGAGAGGTTTTAGGTGCTAGGAAAGTTGAGGAGAGAAAAGAGTGTTGGATTAGAAGAGAGGGGAGTACAAGGAGGGGTTTGTACCCCCTACAGAAAGGTTCACTAACAACCTACCAAGCCTATATTAAATTATAACATATATAATTTGAACACACCCCCTAGGCTTGGTAGTCACATGCCCACACACACCCACACCCCCTAACCTAGCACCCCCATTCCAGCCACAGTGACAGCGACTCTAGGTCGGTCGACCCACGGTGCGTGAGGCGGCGACGTCGACCGCAGGGGCTGCGGCGGCGACGGCAGCAGCGGCGGCAGTGTCGACAGCGGCGGCGGCGGCGGCGTGCGGCTGCGTGGCCCCGACGCAAGCGGCGACAGCGGCGGCGGCGGCGGCTTCGACAACAGCGGCAGCGGCGGCGGCACCCGCACCTCTCGGTGACGTGGCCAGGCCCCGCGACGGTGGGACGGCCGGCGGGAGTCAGCCGTCGTCTGCGGAATGGAAGAGGGCACAGGGGAAGGAGGGGGGTGGGGGGGGGGGGGGGCGCCACAGGCTGACATGCGGGCGGCCGGTCTAGCGGCGCCACAAGCGTCACGCGGCCGGCTGCAGCCCGACGACGCCATCATGGAGCGGCGTCGATGCCGCAGCGGGGCGTCGACGTTGCGACGGCAGCACGACGTCGCCGTTACGCCGACCGCGCGCTGTCGCGTAGACGCCGCGGCAGCGTGACGGCGCCGTCACGTCGCGACAGCATCTTGACGCGACGGCGGAGCTGCGGCACGACGGCGCGGCCACAGCAGCTGGACGCGGGCGCCATGGACGTCGACGGCGGCGCCGCGGCACGACGACGCGGCCACAGCAGCTTGACGCGGCCGCCATGGCAGCGCGAGATAGAGAGAGAAACGAGCACGCAGCGGAAACGCGAGGAGCAGGCCCACACGGAACGAACTGCTCTGATACCATGTCAAAAGACTAGCTTAGCTAGGAAGCCATAGAATGGCACAAGGTTTAGCTAGGAGCTAGGAGGAGCCATGAGAATGGCGAGAGGTTTTAGGTGCTAGGAAAGTTGAGGAGAGAAAAGAGTGTTGGATTAGAAGAGAGGGGAGTACAAGGAGGGGTTTGTACCCCCTACAGAAAGGTTCAGTAACAACCTACCAAGCCTATATTAAATTATAACATATATAATTTGAACACCTTGCAGCCATAAAAAATCCTCCCACAGCCCGCGCCCCCCCCCAACCAGCAACCTTGTACCCTCGTTTTGCGTAGTTGTTAAATGTGGGAAACGGGGAAGTCATTCCTAAAAACCGAGGGGGTAAAATCGCACTGCCACGGAAAACGAAACTGAGGAGAGGAGGAATCGAAACTGACGGGGAAATGGGGAGGGAATCAAAATGGAGGGGAGGGGGGAAGCGAAACGAAGGGGAGGGGGGGGAAGGGGGGGGGCGGTCGAAACGGAGAGGATGGGGGAAGCGAAACGGAGAGGAAGGGGGAAGTGATTGAAACAGAGGGGAGGGGGGGGAATCGAAACGGCAGGGAGGGGGGAAGCTGGGGAATAGGACGGTGGGAGAAATTTCGCGCCCTTGCAGCGCCCCGGTGGGGAAATCTTGGACGTTAATCACAACATAACATCGAACGATTGATATATGTCGAAACGATCGCAAACGATCGTGACCGTTACATTTTGGTAGACTTTCAGTTGACCAAACGGGCAACTGGCGAGAATTTCCCTATGTTAAAAATGCGGAATTTACTCTCATTCCAATGCAGTTAAAAAAAAAATGTGAAAGTCTCATTCAAAACTTCTGGGTTGTTCCAGGTGTTAGGGAGGACTGTATCTGACAACATGACTTAGTCGAAATTTAGGGTGGGTTGTGAGGTGTGTGGGGGATGTCTCTAGTGTTCCGGGACTTCGCCGAAATTTTAGATGGGTTGTGGGGTGTGGGGTGGGGGTTGTCTCTAGGGTTCGGGGACTTGGCCAATTTTTTTTAGGGGTTGTGGGGTGTGTGGGGCATGTCTCTAGCAATTGGGGACTTCACCAAATTTTCCGAAGGTTGGTACTATACAGGTAATGAGTCAGGGTCTGTACGCGCTGTGCTCTGAAAACCCAGTACTGGGTTAGCGACAACTCTGATTTTCTCAGGATCCCTAGAATCGTACTCTGAAGGGATCAGGATTGGGAAAATGTCTTATCTGGAAATTCAGGTTTGGCCAAAAAACAGGTCTGAGATTTCAGACTAATCAGAGTAAATAGTCTGATAAAGTCAGCCCTGGTGAGTAGGCTAGAAGGACTGAGCAAGTAATTATGGCCCAAACTTGAGGATAAGGATGAGTACACAAGTTTCCATCTCGGGTGTACCGTACTATCGTTATCCATATTTTCGCCAAACTCGTAGAGTCAGAACACTAACAATAGCCGTAGGGTCTGGACATAGTGGTAAAATCCCTCAGCATCCCCTAGACTCGTAGGCTGCTAAGAGGCGGCTGGTTTTCTGGCTGCTTTTCCCCCGGACAGGTGCCATGTTGCGGATCTTATCTCACAGCAACTACTAGCCTACGGTAGTTCTCTCCTGCTGTAACCGTGCGTCTCGATTTCGTGCAAGAGACGCGAACGCAATGGCAGGACCGCGAACCACGACGGCAGAGAAGACCGGCCGATCGAATGCCAATCCCATGGCCGAGAAAACTCAAGGACCGGCTGGTCGATCTCTGACCGTCGATGCGATCCAGCGCGATCGCTTGATGAAGATCGCAGCCGTCAATTGGTTGAAATCCGAGAGCTCGCTTCCCCATTCTCGAGTAGTTGCGGCTGAGAAGTCGGTAGACGGGATTCTCGGAAAGGCACCCAAACCTGCCAGCTCGGTTAGGTTCAACCCGGATCTGGTTCGGAAAATCTACCGGGGAGATCTGATGGTGACACGTGGCAGGAAGCCGGTGCCGCTGCAGCGGGTGATGGTTTTGGAAGTCAGCCAGTACTTGGAGAAATACTTATGGCCGAATTTCGACCCGGAGGCGGCGTCCGTGGAGCACGTGCTGTCCATTATTCTCATGGTCAATGAAAAGGTGCGAGAGAACATGTCTTGCGTAATGACTGACGTGACTGTTTTGTCCGGAGACGGCGTCCGTCATCATTCTCATGGTCAATGAGAAGGTGCGCACATGCCTTGCGTAATGCTTGATGTGAATGTGCTGTCCGGAGACGGTGGCAGTGGAGCACGTGCTGACCATCATTCTCATGGTCAACGATAAGGTGCGGGGTTTTAAATTGTTTTTATATTTTATTTTATTTTTCCAGTCGCATGATGTTTTGCGATTTTGTCCAATGCGAAGGTGTGGATTCTCTAGCGTGGTGTGTCATTCCGGCTTCTCGCCCTGCTCCGTCTGCCTTTCAATCTCACTGCCCTTCAGAGTGTTTCGGGAGAATGTGTTGGCACGGGACGGCTTCTGACACGCCTCAGAACAACATTTGGTGTCACATGTCCTTTTCCCCCCTGCCGTTCACATGCCCAATTTATTTCCCCCCTGCCGTTCACATGCCCAATTTATTTCCCCCCTGCCCTTCACATGCCCAATTTATTTCCCCCCTGCCGTTCACATGCCCAATTTATTTCCCCCCTGCCCTTCACATGCCCAATTTATTTCCCCCCTGCCCTTCACATGCCCAGTTTATTTCCCCCCTGCCCTTCACATGCCCAATTTATTTCCCCCCGGGCCCTTCAGTTCCGGGAGAACGTGTCCGCATGGGACTGCTTCTGGCACACGTCTCAAACCAACCTGATATCAGATGTACCCCCTCTCCCCCTGCGCCCCCCATCCCCCCCTCCCCCCCTCTCCCCCTCCCCCCGGTGCCCTTCAGTTCCGGGAGAACGTGTCGGCGTGGGACTGCTTCCAGGCTCGCGCGGACGTCTTTCCCGCCTTCTTCAATCGAGTCCTTGCCCTCAAGGTGAGAGAGGAGGACCTTACCCCTCCTCAAATTTATTGCCTCTGTCTTTCATTCACCATTTTATTGCCACTCTGCTGTTTGTTAAGCGAGGGGTGCTGTTGATGGTTATTCGCGCCTTTTTCTCCCCAGGACCCCAAGCGAAAGGCCGGAAGCAAGCGAGCTCGGCAGGAGGAGCAGGAGAAAGGGCAGGAGCAGGAGCAGGGGCAGGGACAGGGGCAGGAGGATGAGGAGAAGGAGAAGGAGAAGGAGAAGGAGAAGGATCAGGAGAAGGAGCAGGCGTCTGCAGAGCAGGGGTCTGGTGGTGATACAGCTACTGAAGCAGCCGATGATGCAGCTGTTGGTGCAGCTGTTGGTGCAGGTGTTGGTGCAGGTGTTGGTGAGGGAAAACCGGTGGCGATGGATGGTGGAGGAGAGAAAGCAACGGCCGAGGAGGATGAAGGGGACGCAGCAGAGGGGGAGGCGAAGGCGGAGGGGAAGGCTGGGCCGGCTGGTGGGGAGGAGTACGAGCTGAGCGTCTACGAGCGCGTGAACTACATCGTCTTCATCATCCACTGCTTCCAGGTGGGTGGCTTTCTTAGCTGATTCATAAGACACCTGCATGGGTTGATTAGGAGGTGGGGTGTTGTCTGCGCCGAGTCTAGCATCAGGTTGGTCGGCTGGTTGAGCTGAGCGTCTACGAGTGCGTGAACTACATCGTCTTTATCATCCACTGCTTCCAGGTGAGCTCTCTTCTAGTGGTTCTCACAGTGTTACGATGCTCCCCCTTCCATGCCATGCCATGCCATGCCCTGCCATGCCCTGCACTCCAAACCAAATTCTGCCCTCCCGTGTCTTATTCCTTCTCATCCCACCCCACCACCACCCTTCTCTTCTCCCCCCCCCCCCCCCTCTCTCCCTCTCCCCCCTCCCCACCCCTCCCCCTCTTCTCTTCCCAGTCCCTGGAGAACCCTCTGGTGCGCGCGTGCGTGCTGCCGCTGGTCTCCTTGCCTCTGTGGCACGCGCTCTCGCCCGCCCGCAGGGAGCGCGAGCTGCACCCCCACGCGCACCTGCAGGGCCTGTGGGAGCGCCTGCTGAAGCGAGACGCCAAGAACAGGGCGGCCAGACTGGCTGCTGTTGCGGAAGGGGGGGGGAGGAGGGCGGAGGCGGAGGCTGCTGAGAGGAGGGACAGGCGGAGTGTGCGGTTCCTACCTGGGCTGATTCTGGAGTTCTTTGCTGTGAGTGCTTGCCGGTATGGCGTAGCGAGTTGCTGCTTGGTAGGTGGCTTATTATGCGCCAGGCTCAGGCGATGGGAGAATCGAGAGTTCCCTCATACGTTATCTTCGTGCCTGTCTCTTCCCTTACGCCTGCATCCCAATTTCCTGTGCTTGCGTCTCACTTTCACGTGCCTGCGTCTCACTTTCACGTGCGTGCTCACAGGTGTTGGATGAGGTGGTGGAGAAGGGACCGGACTACGAGGACGGCCAGAAAGAATCAGCAGGGGTGCATCAGGAGAGTCGGATATCTTCCCCTTATCTTTCCTATCCTTGTGCCTCTCTGCCTGTCTGGCTTGTGCGTGCTCACAGGTGTTGGATGAGGGGGTGGAGAAGGGGCCAGACCACGAGGACGACCAGAGTGATTCAGCAGGGGTGCTCCTAGAGGGTCGGAACGTTGCCCCTCATTTCTCCTATCCTTGTGTCTCTCTGCCTGTCTGCGCCTGTGCCTCACAGGTGCTGGATGAGGTGGTGGAGAAGGGGCCGGATTACGAGGACGATCAGAGTGAATCAGCAGGGGTGCTCCTAGAAAGAGCAGTGGACCAGCCTCGCCTGCTATTCTGCGAGCGCTTCCTCGAGCTGCTCATCGACCTGCTCAGCCAGCTGCCCACCCGAAGGTATGCAGGGCAGTTGTTTTGACTCAATCAGTTGTTGGATTGACTTAACGATGTGAGCGACTCTGGAGGGAGTGCTCCTGGAGAGGGCGGTGGACCAGCCGCGTCTGCTCGTCTGTGAGCGCTTGCTCAAGCTGCTGATATACCCTTTCTTGGGAAACCGAGTCCCCCCCCTTCCCCCCAACTTGCCGCACCTCCTCTTTCTTGCTCTTGCTGACTTCTCCCACCGTTCCTCCCTTCTAACCCCCGGTTCTACCCACTCCTTCCCAGCAGGTTCTTTCGTCCTGTAGTCGACGACATGGCTGTTGCCGCCCGATGCCGGCTCAGCCGCCTGTACCGGCACCCGCGCGGCCGTCTGTTTGTGCAGCTGGTGGATCTGCTGCGGTTCTATGCTAGATTCCAAATGGACGACCACGCCGGGCGGCAACTGGACGAGGAGGAGGTGGACAGGGAGCACTGCGCTCGGGTGTCTGCCCTGCAGCTGTTCCTGTTCAACAAAGTTCCAGAGGTGGGTGTTAGGGTTTAGGCACACCTTCCTATGCATCTGTCTGTGTACAGTGGAGTCATTTTTGAGAATTATTTTTGAGAATTCTTATAATTGCATCTGTGACGTCGCTCTGACTGACCAACGTGGGCAGTGTGGAGCATGGGAACGGTGTTCTTGTTATTCGGGCCTTGCTCGCCCATGATCTTGTTGACAACACACATCTACACTCCCCTTTCAGCTGCATGACGTCGCTCTGACCAACGTGGGCAGTGTGGAGCATGCTGACGGCGTTCCTTGCTTTGTCCCCTTCTCGCCCACACCACCCCCTCTCTCCCCCTCTCTCCCCCTCTCGCCCCCTCTCTCCCCCTCACTGCCCTCTCTCCCCCTCTTTCCCCTCTCTCCCCTCTCCCCCCTCTCTCCCCCTCTCTCCCCCTCTCTGCCCCTCTGCCCCTCTCTGCCCCGCTCTCCCCCTCTCCCCTCTCTGCCTCTCTGCCCCGCTCTCCCCCTCTCTCCCCCTCTCCCCTCTCTCCCCCTCTCGCCCTCTCTGCCCCTCTCTGCCCCTCTCTGCCCCGCTCTCCCCTTCTCTCCCCTCTCTCCCCTCTCTGCCCCTCTCTGCCCCTCTCTGCCCCTCTCTGCCCCGCTCTCCCCCTCTCTCCTCTCTGCCCCTCTCTGCCCCTCTCTCCCCTCTCTCCCCCTCTCTGCCCCTCTCTGCCCCTCTCTGCCCCGCTCTCCCCCTCTCTCCCCCTCTCTGCCCCTCTCTGCCCCGCTCTCCCCCTCTCTCCCCCTCTCTCCCCCTCTCTCCCCCTCTCTCCCCCTCTCGCCCCCTCTCTGCCCCTCTCTGCCCCTCTCTGCCCCGCTCTCCCCTTCTCTCCCCCTCTCTCCCCCTCTCTGCCCCTCTCTGCCCCTCTCTGCCCCTCTCTGCCCCGCTCTCCCCCTCTCTCCCCCTCTCTGCCCCTCTCTGCCCCTCTCTCCCCCTCTCTGCCCCTCTCTCCCCCTCTCTGCCCCTCTCTGCCCCGCTCTCCCCCCTTTCAGCTGCGTGACGTAGCCCTGACCAACGTGGGCAGTGTGGAGCATGCTGACGGCGTCCGCAAGTGGATGGCGCGACTCACAGACGAGCAGCTGGCCGAGCTGGTGCTTAATAAGGTAAAGAGAGAGGCTGTTTGGGGGGGGGGGGGAGGGAGGGAGAGGTGGAGGGGTTGGGGGGGGGGGACATTATAGCAGCTGAGGCACAGTCTGTGCGACTCACAGACGAGCAGCTGGCAGAGCTGGTGCTTAATAAGGTAAAGAGGGGGAGGAGAGGGGGAGGGGTTGGGGGTTGATTGAACATTGTAGCAGCTGAGACACAGTCTACGTGACTCACGGACGAGCAGCTGGCACAGCTGGTGTTGAATAAGGTAGGGACATGTGGGGGGGAGGGAGGGGGAGTCGGATTTCGGGTTGGGTGAGGTGGGATTCTGAGATGCCATGTGCATGGCGCTGGCACAGCTGGTGCTGAATAAGGTAGGGAAATGTGGGTGGGGGGGGAGTTGGATTTCGGGCAGAGGTGAGATTAAGGTGAGTTGGGATTCTGAGGTGCCGTGTGCATGGCGCTGGCACAGCTGGTGCTGCTGATTAAGGTGGTCGGAGATTCGAGGAGCCATGATGGGTCGGTGTGTTGAGTGTTGTCGAAGGTCTACTTAGCTTATACATGACTTGTCTTTGCGTATGGTACCGACAGAATCTCCCCCCTTCCCCTCTCCCCCCTCCCCCTTTCAGTCCCCTTATCCCTTTTTTTGAGGCGCCTCAAAACTAGCCTCCCTCTTTCGGTCCCCTTATCCCGTTTCCTCCTTATGCCGTTTTCCAGCTGAAGCTTCTCTCCAGGGCGGGCCTCCCCTACCGCCCTCCACGCCGCCTGCTCTCCTCCATCCACCGCCCCAAACCCCCCAAAGCGGACGATATGGCCGGGGGCGAGCAGCAGCGAATGGCAGTGGAGGGGGAGGAAGAGGAGGAGAAGGAATGGGAGAGGGAGAGGGAGAGGGAGGAGGAAGAGCAGGAGTGTTGGTCACAGGAACGCGCGGTGCTCTTCCATCGCCTGCGACCATTCCTTGAGGAGGTGGTCGTGACCTTCTTCGAGAAGCGGCGCTCGCAGCAGGCGGCACTGAACGCGCTCCCCCTCTACCCCAATGAGGACGTCATGTGGGACGAGAGCCTCATCCCCAGCGTGAACTACACTGGTGAGGGCTGCCTCGCGCTGCCGAAACTCAACCTCCAGTTCTTGACGCTCCACGACTACCTTCTCCGGAATTTCAATCTGTTTCGGCTCGAGTCGACGTATGAGATTCGGGAGGAGGTGCACGATGTGCTGAAGAGGATGGGGGCCAGGGGGAGTATGTATGGGAGCGTGGAGCGAGACACAGAGTTTACCGGGTGGGCCAGGATGGCGATTCAGATCTCATCGTTCCGCATCGTGGAGGTTAAGGCGCCGCTATTAGGCGAGGTGCAGCCGGCGGCGGTTCTAGCGGAAGTGGAGTACTCTATAGGGGGGTATAAGGCCGCTATGCGGAGCGAGTGGGAGGAGATCAAAGAGCACGATGTGCTTTTCCTCCTGGGGATTCACCCGGATGAGATCGCCCTGCAAGCCGCGGCTGACGCTGCTGCTGCCCAGGCAGCGGCACAGGCGAAGCGTGAGTCAGGGGAGGACGGAGCCGAGGAGGAAGAAGCAGCGGCCGATGCTGCTGCGGTGGTGTCTTCGCTGTCGATTCCGCAGAGATACGGGCTGCGGTACGTGCGGGGGTGCGAGGTGATAGAGCTCAGAGACGAGGACAATAAGCTGATGAACGACTTCTCAGGAAGGGTGAAGCGGGAGGAGTGGAAACCGCCCAAGGGGAACAAGCGCACGGCTCTAGTCGCCCTCGACCCGGCCCAGTTCCAGCTGGACTTAGAAGCAAACGGCGGGACTTTAAGGGGTGCGCAGAACGAGGTTTACTCGGCTTTAAATGTGGTTATGAGGAGGAAGCCGAAGGAGAACAACTTCAAGCCGATTCTCGAGTCGATCAGGGACCTGATGAATGAGGAGGCGTCGGTGCCAGCCTGGCTACATGACCTGTTTCTGGGGTATGATGACCCCGCGGCTGCCAGCTGGCGGCGCATGCCTGCTGAGCTGGTGCCATGGCGGCTGGAGGTGGTTGATTTCAGGGATACGTTTGTGGATGCGGAGCATTTGAAGGAGTGCTTTCCTGGGCACAAGGTGAGTGGAGTTGGTTGGGGTGGGGAGTAAGGGAAGGAGGTTGGGGCTTTAAGGGGGGCGAATTGGGAGTGAAGGTAAGGCTGTGGTGGCTGGAGGTGGTGGATTTCAGGGGCACGTTCGTGGTCGTGGATGCGGAGCACCTCAAGGAATGCCTCCTCCCCAGGCATAAGGTGAGTGGAGTGGGGGCGTAATGGGTAGCGCCGTCGCGGCTGAAGGTGGTGGATTTCAGGGGCACGTTTGTGGTCGTGGATGCGGAGCACCTCAAGGAGCGCTTCTCGGGGCATAAGGTGAGGGCCGGGCTGGTGGGGAGAGTGGTTGGGGCCATGGGGGCATGGAGGGTCAGCTCTTCGGGCATTAGGGGCCTGGTGTGGTGGCTGGAGGTGGTGGATTTCAGGGGCACGTTCGTGGTCGTGGATGCGGAGCACCTCAATCAGGGAGTGCTTCCCCGGGCATAAAGTGAGGGCGGCTGGGCTGGTGTTTTTTGCTGCCTTGTCTTTCCTTGCAACAGATCATACCAAACACGGCTTTTGCCCCATTCGTTGGTGCTCCCCCAGGTGCGCTTTGTGGACGCAGACGGGTTTGAGAACCCCGACCCCCAGCCCCCCTTCCGTGTGACCATCCCCATGCCCAAGCTGCAAGAAGAGAGCCGCGGGGCAGCCGGGGGGAAGAAGAAAGGGCAGGCAGCGGCGGATAAGGGGAAGGGGAAGGGGAAGGGGAAGAAGGGGGCGAAGGGGAAGAAGAAGGGGAAGGGGAAGGGAGGGGAGGATGAGAAGGGTGGGGAGAACGAGGTGGGAGAGCAGATGGAGGTGGATGGAGACAAGGGGAGGGAAGGAAACGGGGGAGAAGGGGCTCCACAGCAGCTGCCACAGGGAGAGCAGCGCGAGCAGGGCGAGCAGCAGGAGGGGAAGAAAGAGGAGGAGGCGGGGGAAGAGAGTGTGGTGATTGCTGAGTCTGTGCCGTTGCCTGACCCGGGGCCCTATCCTCCCGGGAAGCAGAAGAAGAATCACGTCCGCTTCACACCCACCCAGGTGCTGTCTTCCCTTCTCTCACTGCGTTCCCTCTCTGCGTCCCACCTCCCCTCACCGCCTGCCTCACCTCCCCTCACCGCCTGCCTCACCTCCCCTCACCGCCTGCCTCACCTCCCCTCACCGCCTGCCTCACCTCCCCTCACCGCCTGCCTCACCTCCCCTCACCGCCTGCCTCACCTCCCCTCACCGCCTGCCTCACCTCCCCTCACCGCCTGCCTCACCTCCCCTCACCGCCTGTCTCACCTCCCCTCACCGCCTGTCTCACCTCCCCTCACCGCCTGTCTCACCTCCCCTCACCGCCTGCCTCACCTCCCCTCACCGCCTGCCTCACCTCCCCGCACCGCCTGTCTCACCTCCCCTCACCGCCTGTTTCACCTCCCCTCACCGCCTGTCTCACCTCCCCTCACCGCCTGTCTCACCTCCCCTCACCGCCTGGCTCACCTCCCCTCACCGCCTGTCTCACCTCCCCTCACCGCCTGTCTCACCTCCCCTCACCGCCTGTCTCTCCTCCCCTCACTGCTTGGCTCACCCCCCCTCACCCCCCCTCACCGCCTCTCACCGCCTCTCACCGCCTCTCACCAGGTGGATGCCATCATCAGCGGCGTGCAGCCCGGGCTGACAATGATTGTGGGGCCGCCCTGTGCTGGCATTGTTACCACGACTGCTTACACTTGTGATATTCATTCTACCTCTTCTCACCGCGTGTCTCGCCTCCCCTCACTGCATTACCCCACCCTTCTCTCCAGTTGGATGCCATCATCAGTGGAGTGCAGCCCGGGCTGACAATGATTGTGGGGCCGCCCGGAACCGGCAAGACAGACACTGCAGTGCAGATTCTGCAGGTGAGGGTTGTTGTTGGTTTCTTCGAATTCTCAATAACCAACCCTCACCCTCAACTTACGATTCTCCAGGCGAGGGTTGGGTAGAGTGACTGCCCAGCTGGCATGTGGTTCTTTTGCAGGTTTTCCTTAAACCTTCTCCCCTCCCAACCCCCTCGTCAACACCCCCCCCACCCCCCAGCCCCCGTCCCCCTCCCTCCACAACCCCCCCACCCCCCTCCCGCCTCCCTGCTTACCGCTGATCCTTCCCAGCCCAGTGCTGTACCACCACTGCCCAGAGCAGCACCCAAGTGGTCCTGTGTAATCCAAATTGCCCCTCACCCCACTTCTCTCCCCCATCCCACTGTGTCCCTCCGGGTGCCCTACCACAACTGCCCAGGAGCAGCACCCACCAAATGGTCCTGTGTAATCCAGATTGCCCCTCACCCCGCTTCTCTCCCCCATCCCACTGTGTCCCCCCAGGTGCCCTACCACAACTGCCCAGGAGCAGCACCCACCAAATGGTCCTGTGTAATCCAGATTGCCCCTCACCCCGCTTCTCTCCCCCATCCCACTGTGTCCCCCCAGGTGCCCTACCACAACTGCCCAGGAGCAGCACCCACCAAATGGTCCTGTGTAATCCAGATTGCCCCTCACCCCGCTTCTCTCCCCCATCCCACTGTGTCCCCCCGGGTGCCCTACCACAACTGCCCGGGAGCAGCGCAAGCTGGTTATCACTTTTGAGTCGCCTCAGAAGTCATCCCACTGATCTCTGTTCCCCCCTTCCCCCCCCCCCCCCCTCCTCCCCCCACTCCCCCCTTCCCCCCCCCAGGTGCTCTACCACAAGTGCCTGGATCAGCGCAAGCTGGTTACCACTTTTGAGTCGACTCAAAAGTCATAACACTGTTCTCTGTCCAACCTTCCCCACCCCGCCCCTCCCCCCAACCCCCCCTTCTCCCCCCCCCCCCCCAGGTGCTCTACCACAACTGCCTGGATCAGCGCAAGCTGGTTACCACTTTTGAGTCGATTCAAAAGTCATAACACTGTTCTCTGCCCCACCTTCCCCACCCCGCCCCTCCCCCAACCCCCCTTCCCCCCCCCCCCCCCCCCAGGTGCTCTACCACAACTGCCCGGATCAGCGCACTCTGGTTATCACCCACTCCAATCAGGCTCTGAACGACCTTTTTGAGAAGATCATGGAGGTGGGTGCGGTGCAGTCCGGTGCAGTCCGGTGCAGTCCGGTGCCGCTAAGGGAAGTGCAGTTAGCATTCACTCCAGACAAGTCCATAGCGACCTGCTCAAAAGCTTCATGCAGGTGACTGCAGTGGGTGCAATGGGTGTGATGTAAAAGCAGAGCTTAGGTGCCATGCCACCCGCTACCAGCATTGTACTCATTTGCCATGCACATATGGGTATTCTCAACCCCATTGTTCTTCCCCCCTCCCCCCCTCTCCCCCCTTTTCTAATTTGTCCCAGCGGGACGTGCCAGTGCGCGACATGCTGCGGCTGGGCATGGGCAAGCAGGAGCTGAATTCGCCTTCCTCTTGTCCCCCTTCCCCCCCTCCCCTCATTCCTCCCTCCATATTCACCCCAGCGGGACGTGCCAGCGCGCTACATGCTGCGGCTGGGCATGGGCGAGCAGGAGCTGAATTCACCTTCCTCTTGTCCCCCTTCCCCCCCTCCCCTCATTCCTCCCTCCATATTCACCCCAGCGGGACGTGCCAGCGCGCTACATGCTGCGGCTGGGCATGGGAGAGCAGGAGCTGAATTCGCCTTCCTCTTGTCCCCCTTCCCCCCCTCCCCTCATTCCTCCCTCCATATTCACCCCAGCGGGACGTGCCAGCGCGCTACATGCTGCGGCTGGGCATGGGCGAGCAGGAGCTGAATTCACCTTCCTCTTGTCCCCCTTCCCCCCCTCCCCTCATTCCTCCCTCCATATTCACCCCAGCGGGACGTGCCAGCGCGCTACATGCTGCGGCTGGGCATGGGAGAGCAGGAGCTGAATTCGCCTTCCTCTTATCCCCCTTCCCCCCCTCCCCTCATTCCTCCCTCCATATTCACCCCAGCGGGACGTGCCAGCGCGCTACATGCTGCGGCTGGGCATGGGCGAGCAGGAGCTGAATTCGCCTTCCTCTTATCCCCCTTCCCCCCCTCCCCTCATTCCTCCCTCTATATTCACCTCAGCGGGACGTGCCAGCGCGCTACATGCTGCGGCTGGGCATGGGCGAGCAGGAGCTGAATTCACCTTCCTCTTGTCCCCCTTCCTCCCCTCCCCTCATTCCTCCCTCCATATTCACCCCAGTGGGACGTGCCAGCGCGCTACATGCTGCGGCTGGGCATGGGCGAGCAGGAGCTGAATTCGCCTTCCTCTTGTCCCCCTTCCCCCCCTCCCCTCATTCCTCCCTCCATATTCACCCCAGCGGGACGTGCCAGCGCGCTACATGCTGCGGCTGGGCATGGGCGAGCAGGAGCTGAATTCGCCTTCCTCTTGTCCCCCTTCCCCCCCTCCCCTCATTCCTCCCTCCATATTCACCCCAGCGGGACGTGCCAGCGCGCTACATGCTGCGGCTGGGCATGGGCGAGCAGGAGCTGAATTCGCCTTCCTCTTGTCCCCCTTCCCCCCCTCCCCTCATTCCTCCCTCCATATTCACCCCAGCGGGACGTGCCAGCGCGCTACATGCTGCGGCTGGGCATGGGCGAGCAGGAGCTGAATTCGCCTTCCTCTTGTCCCCCTTCCCCCCCTCCCCTCATTCCTCCCTCCATATTCACCCCAGCGGGACGTGCCAGCGCGCTACATGCTGCGGCTGGGCATGGGCGAGCAGGAGCTGAATTCGCCTTCCTCTTGTCCCCCTTCCCCCCCTCCCCTCATTCCTCCCTCCATATTCACCCCAGCGGGACGTGCCAGCGCGCTACATGCTGCGGCTGGGCATGGGCGAGCAGGAGCTGAATTCGCCTTCCTCTTGTCCCCCTTCCCCCCCTCCCCTCATTCCTCCCTCCATATTCACCCCAGCGGGACGTGCCAGCGCGCTACATGCTGCGGCTGGGCATGGGCGAGCAGGAGCTGAATTCGCCTTCCTCTTGTCCCCCTTCCCCCCCTCCCCTCATTCCTCCCTCCATATTCACCCCAGCGGGACGTGCCAGCGCGCTACATGCTGCGGCTGGGCATGGGCGAGCAGGAGCTGAATTCGCCTTCCTCTTGTCCCCCTTCCCCCCCTCCCCTCATTCCTCCCTCCATATTCACCCCAGCGGGACGTGCCAGCGCGCTACATGCTGCGGCTGGGCATGGGCGAGCAGGAGCTGAATTCGCCTTCCTCTTGTCCCCCTTCCCCCCCTCCCCTCATTCCTCCCTCCATATTCACCCCAGCGGGACGTGCCAGCGCGCTACATGCTGCGGCTGGGCATGGGCGAGCAGGAGCTGAATTCGCCTTCCTCTTGTCCCCCTTCCCCCCCTCCCCTCATTCCTCCCTCCATATTCACCCCAGCGGGACGTGCCAGCGCGCTACATGCTGCGGCTGGGCATGGGCGAGCAGGAGCTGAATTCACCTTCCTCTTGTCCCCCTTCCCCCCCTCCCCTCATTCCTCCCTCCATATTCACCCCAGCGGGACGTGCCAGCGCGCTACATGCTGCGGCTGGGCATGGGAGAGCAGGAGCTGAATTCGCCTTCCTCTTGTCCCCCTTCCCCCCCTCCCCTCATTCCTCCCTCCATATTCACCCCAGCGGGACGTGCCAGCGCGCTACATGCTGCGGCTGGGCATGGGCGAGCAGGAGCTGAATTCACCTTCCTCTTGTCCCCCTTCCCCCCCTCCCCTCATTCCTCCCTCCATATTCACCCCAGCGGGACGTGCCAGCGCGCTACATGCTGCGGCTGGGCATGGGAGAGCAGGAGCTGAATTCGCCTTCCTCTTGTCCCCCTTCCTCCCCTCCCCTCATTCCTCCCTCCATATTCACCCCAGTGGGACGTGCCAGCGCGCTACATGCTGCGGCTGGGCATGGGCGAGCAGGAGCTGAATTCGCCTTCCTCTTGTCCCCCTTCCCCCCCTCCCCTCATTCCTCCCTCCATATTCACCCCAGCGGGACGTGCCAGCGCGCTACATGCTGCGGCTGGGCATGGGCAAGCAGGAGCTGAATTCGCCTTCCTCTTGTCCCCCTTCCCCCCCTCCCCTCATTCCTCCCTCCATATTCACCCCAGCGGGACGTGCCAGCGCGCTACATGCTGCGGCTGGGCATGGGCGAGCAGGAGCTGAATTCGCCTTCCTCTTGTCCCCCTTCCCCCCCTCCCCTCATTCCTCCCTCCATATTCACCCCAGCGGGACGTGCCAGCGCGCTACATGCTGCGGCTGGGCATGGGCGAGCAGGAGCTGAATTCGCCTTCCTCTTGTCCCCCTTCCCCCCCTCCCCTCATTCCTCCCTCCATATTCACCCCAGCGGGACGTGCCAGCGCGCTACATGCTGCGGCTGGGCATGGGCGAGCAGGAGCTGAATTCGCCTTCCTCTTGTCCCCCTTCCCCCCCTCCCCTCATTCCTCCCTCCATATTCACCCCAGCGGGACGTGCCAGCGCGCTACATGCTGCGGCTGGGCATGGGCGAGCAGGAGCTGAATTCGCCTTCCTCTTGTCCCCCTTCCCCCCCTCCCCTCATTCCTCCCTCCATATTCACCCCAGCGGGACGTGCCAGCGCGCTACATGCTGCGGCTGGGCATGGGCGAGCAGGAGCTGAATTCGCCTTCCTCTTGTCCCCCTTCCCCCCCTCCCCTCATTCCTCCCTCCATATTCACCCCAGCGGGACGTGCCAGCGCGCTACATGCTGCGGCTGGGCATGGGCGAGCAGGAGCTGAATTCGCCTTCCTCTTGTCCCCCTTCCCCCCCTCCCCTCATTCCTCCCTCCATATTCACCCCAGCGGGACGTGCCAGCGCGCTACATGCTGCGGCTGGGCATGGGCGAGCAGGAGCTGAATTCGCCTTCCTCTTGTCCCCCTTCCCCCCCTCCCCTCATTCCTCCCTCCATATTCACCCCAGCGGGACGTGCCAGCGCGCTACATGCTGCGGCTGGGCATGGGCGAGCAGGAGCTGAATTCACCTTCCTCTTGTCCCCCTTCCCCCCCTCCCCTCATTCCTCCCTCCATATTCACCCCAGCGGGACGTGCCAGCGCGCTACATGCTGCGGCTGGGCATGGGCGAGCAGGAGCTGAATTCACCTTCCTCTTGTCCCCCTTCCCCCCCTCCCCTCATTCCTCCCTCTATATTCACCCCAGCGGGACGTGCCAGCGCGCTACATGCTGCGGCTGGGCATGGGCGAGCAGGAGCTGAATTCGCCTTCCTCTTATCCCCCTTCCCCCCCTCCCCTCATTCCTCCCTCCATATTCACCCCAGCGGGACGTGCCAGCGCGCTACATGCTGCGGCTGGGCATGGGCGAGCAGGAGCTGAATTCGCCTTCCTCTTGTCCCCCTTCCCCCCCTCCCCTCATTCCTCCCTCCATATTCACCCCAGCGGGACGTGCCAGCGCGCTACATGCTGCGGCTGGGCATGGGCGAGCAGGAGCTGAATTCACCTTCCTCTTGTCCCCCTTCCCCCCCTCCCCTCATTCCTCCCTCCATATTCACCCCAGCGGGACGTGCCAGCGCGCTACATGCTGCGGCTGGGCATGGGCGAGCAGGAGCTGAATTCACCTTCCTCTTGTCCCCCTTCCCCCCCTCCCCTCATTCCTCCCTCTATATTCACCCCAGCGGGACGTGCCAGCGCGCTACATGCTGCGGCTGGGCATGGGCGAGCAGGAGCTGAATTCGCCTTCCTCTTGTCCCCCTTCCCCCCCTCCCCTCATTCCTCCCTCCATATTCACCCCAGCGGGACGTGCCAGCGCGCTACATGCTGCGGCTGGGCATGGGCGAGCAGGAGCTGAATTCGCCTTCCTCTTATCCCCCTTCCCCCCCTCCCCTCATTCCTCCCTCTATATTCACCCCAGCGGGACGTGCCAGCGCGCTACATGCTGCGGCTGGGCATGGGCGAGCAGGAGCTGAATTCGCCTTCCTCTTATCCCCCTTCCCCCCCTCCCCTCATTCCTCCCTCTATATTCACCCCAGCGGGACGTGCCAGCGCGCTACATGCTGCGGGCATGGGCGAGCAGGAGCTGAATTCGCCTTCCTCTTATCCCCCTTCCCCCCCTCCCCTCATTCCTCCCTCTATATTCACCTCAGCGGGACGTGCCAGCGCGCTACATGCTGCGGCTGGGCATGGGCGAGCAGGAGCTGAATTCGCCTTCCTCTTATCCCCCTTCCCCCCCTCCCCTCATTCCTCCCTCTATATTCACCCCAGCGGGACGTGCCAGCGCGCTACATGCTGCGGGCATGGGCGAGCAGGAGCTGAATTCGCCTTCCTCTTATCCCCCTTCCCCCCCTCCCCTCATTCCTCCCTCTATATTCACCTCAGCGGGACGTGCCAGCGCGCTACATGCTGCGGCTGGGCATGGGCGAGCAGGAGCTGAATTCGCCTTCCTCTTATCCCCCTTCCCCCCCTCCCCTCATTCCTCCCTCTATATTCACCTCAGCGGGACGTGCCAGCGCGCTACATGCTGCGGCTGGGCATGGGCGAGCAGGAGCTGAGCACGGAGCAGAAGTTCAGCCGCATGGGGCGCGTCAACGACATGCTGGCGAGACGCCTGGAGCTGTTGGCAGAGGTGCGGACCTCGTGGTAGGGGGTTTTCGGGGGGGTCTCGGGCTTAGGGTTTTAGGGTGGTAATGAGAGCAGGAACTGGACACGGAGCAGAAGTTCAGCTGCATGGGGCGAGTCAAAAACATGCTGGCGAGGAGGCTTGAGCTTCTGGCTGAGGTACGGACGGAGCTCATAATGAGGGGCTTAGGGGGGCTTAGGGGGGCTTAGGGGGGCTTAGGGGGAGAGGAGAATTTAACAGTGTAAGGGGAGGAGGAGCTGGGGATGGAGCAGAAGGTTAGTAGGATGGGGCGAGTCAACGAGGATAGAGTCTAGATATGTTTAATGAGGATTTTCATAAACCCTTCTCTGCACGATATACCTTGCAAGGAGGCTTGAGTTGAGTTGATTGCTGAGCTGGGTGCTGCTTCTTCAGGGATTTACGAGTCAGCATTTGGCCGGAGTACTAATTGGTGTGGGTGTGTGAGATGAGATCTGTTGCCACCATGCCCCCTCTCACTATCTCCCCGTCGTCTCTTCCCGTCGTCTCTCCCCGTCGTCTCTTCCCTTTGCCCACTACTATCGCTCAGGTGGAGCGCCTGGCAGTGACTCTTGGGCGGCCATCTGACATGGCGTACACGTGTGAGAGCGCTGCTTACTTCTGGCTGCTGCACGTGCTTGCCAGGTGGGATGTTTTACTGCGACTGACGTCTTTTGTTTATTAGTCAACTCAAAAGCACACGTGTGAGAAGCCTGCCTACTTCTGGCTGCTGCACGTGCTTGCCAGGTGAGGTGTTTTACTGCGTCTGAATCCGTTTCTCCTTTTGTCAGCTTTTGCTCAGGAGGCTGCTTTCGTCTTACTGTGCTGCTGCCTTGCTGTGCTGCTGCCTTACTGTGCTGCTGCCTTACTGTGCTGCTGCCTTGCTGTGCTGCTGCCTTGCTGTGCTGCTGCCTTACTGTGCTGCTGCCTTGCTGTGCTGCTGTCTTACTACACTTGCTTGTCAGGTGGGAGGCTTTTGTGGCAAAGTGCGAGTCGGTCCGTGATGCTGCTCCTTCTGAGACCACGCCTGCTGCACCACCTGCCGCTGACGCTGCTGCCACTGATGCTGCCGCTGCCGCTGCTGCCACTGATGCTGCTGCTGCCGCTGCTGCCTCACCTTCTGCTGCTGACGGTGCTGCTGCTGCAGCAGCAGAAGCAGCTGAGAAAGCCACTGGGGACGTGTCAATGCAAGATGCTGCTGCTCCTACTGCTGGTGCTGACAGCGCTGCGGGTGCTGCTGCCACTAGTGGCAGTGGTGGAGGTGGTGCTAGTGCTCCTGCTGCCAGTGGTGCTGCTGCTGCGGCTGCGGCTGCCAGTGGGGGGGGCAGCACGGCGGCGAGCATAGTGAGGGACACCTTCCCCTTTACGGAGTTCTTCCAGGAGGCGCCGGGCTTTAAGATGACGGGGGGGTCGTACGCGCAGGACATGCGCACAGCAGAGAGCTGCTTCGAGTACCTCAAGGGCATGTTCGAGGTAGGGTTTAAGGGTAGGGCGTTTTCAAGGTGGAGTATAGAGTAGGACAAGGTGTTTTTCTGGTGGGTTTTAAGAGGATGGGGGTGTTGTACGTGCAGGGCAGGCGCACAGCAGAGAGCTGCTTCGAGTACCTCAAGGGCATGTTCGAGGTTGGGTTTAAGGGTAGGGCGTGTGGGGGCTTCATCCAGTGTGAGGCTTGGGTGGGGTTTATGATGGCAGGGCCATCGTACGCCCAGACATGCACATGGCAGAGAGCTGCTTCGAGTACCTCAAGGCTAAGTTGCTACAAACGCTCTGGCAGACGCGCGTTTAGCGTTCAAACGCTTGCGTTTGAACGCAAACGCCAAACGAACCCTAAAACGCAAACGCTCGCTGGGTTTTTTTTTCGGGCTGCCCCCGGAAAAAAAGTCAGAAAAATTTGGCGCGAAATTGAGACTCGGCGAATTCAGCGCGACATTCGCCAAGTCCCAACTCCCAACCATCTCGTCAATATTCACCTCCCAACCAACTCCCCCCCCCCCACCGCACTCCACACATCGTCAACTAGAGCTTCCAACCCCTCCTCCTCACATCTCGTAGTTTCATGCTAACTCTCCCGTCAGATCTGCTTCCCCCGTCATATCTGCTTTCTAATTGCCGCGCGCCATAGCCTTAAGGGCGCTCGGCCATGTCAACCCCTGAGAGCGATGTGGATGTTGATGTTACACCGTCCGCATGTTCTAATGCGTACGAGGCGGATAAGAACCATGAGGTCTATAAATACTTTCGCGTTCTAGTCAAGGAGGCCGGTGCAATGCAGAAATACGAGTGTCGCTTTTGTGGGCACAAGATGTTGATGCAGACGGGGAGTTAGAGGATGATGAGGAGGGGATTGACCCCGTGCTCGCGGACGAATACGGGGAGGAGGAGTGGGTGGGTGCGGAGTAGCATGGACGGATAGATAGAGGGCACGAAGCAGTGTTGGGGAAGGGCGGGGGGGAGTGGTTGTTGTTGTGTTTGGGGAGGGAGAATGGGCTTTAGGACATGTGTTTTGCATGACATTTGAGGATGCTTGCATAAATGTTCATGAAGGATTTTTTTTTTTTGGACAAAATGGTTGCTTGCAGAACCCCCATTTCCCCACCCCCCCACAGAAAATTTTTACCCCTGCCCGGGCAAAATTTTTAGCCCTGCCCGGGCAAGCGTTTGCCTAGCGTTCACATACACTATGACAAGCGTTTAGCGTTCAAACGCTAGCGTTTGAACGCTAGCGTTCAAACGCCAAACGCGTTTGTAGCAACTAAGCCTCAAGGGCATGTTTCAGGTAGGGTTTTAAGAGTAGTGTCTGTTGGAGGTGGTGTGGGCAATGCGTTTGCACTGTACGAATGACAGCTGAGAAGGCAAACTGAGTGGGCAACTGAGTGGGCAACTGAGTGGGCAACTGAGTGGGCAACTGAGTGGGCAACTGAGTGGGCAACTGAGTGGGCACTGAGTGGGCAACTGAGTGGGCAACTGAGTGGGCAACTGAGTGGGCAACTGAGTGGGCAACTGAGTGGGCAACTGAGTGGGCAACTGAGTGGGCAACTGAGTGGGCAACTGAGTGGGCAACTGAGTGGGCAACTGAGTGGGCAACTGAGTGGGCAACTGAGTGGGCAACTGAGTGGGCAACTGAGTGGGCAACTGAGTGGGCAACTGAGTGGGCAACTGAGTGGGCAACTGAGTGGGCAACTGAGTGGGCAACTGAGTGGGCAACTGAGTGGGCAACTGAGTGGGCAACTGAGTGGGCAACTGAGTGGGCAACTGAGTGGGCAACTGAGTGGGCAACTGAGTGGGCAACTGAGTGGGCACTGAGTGGGCAACTGAGTGGGCAACTGAGTGGGCAACTGAGTGGGCAACTGAGTGGGCAACTGAGTGGGCAACTGAGTGGGCAACTGAGTGGGCAACTGAGTGGGCAACTGAGTGGGCAACTGAGTGGGCAACTGAGTGGGCAACTGAGTGGGCAACTGAGTGGGCAACTGAGTGGGCAACTGAATGGACACCTGAGTGGGGTCGCTTGACCAGACCCCAGCCAGACGGCACTCCTAGTCACCACTCCTTCGCTGCCCTCTCCTGTTGGCTCTCCCTTCGCTCTCCTTTCCTCCCATTACCTCACAGGAACTAGAAGAATGCCGCGCATTCGACCTGCTCAAGAACACAGCAGATCGTTCCAACTACCTGATGGCCCGGCAGGCCAAGGTGGTGGCCGTGACGTGCACGCATGCCGCTCCGTCTCACACTGCCCCCTCGAGCCCCTCCCCTCCTCTTCTGCTGCCTTTGGCGTCGCTCCCTTGTTCCATGCAGGAACTGGAGGAGTGCCGCGCATTCGAGCTGTTTAAGACGACTGCAGACCGCTCCAACTACCTGATGGCCCGGCAGGCCAAGGTGGTGGCGATGACGTGCACGCATGCGGCACTCAAGCGCCGCGACTTCCTGAACCTGGGCTTCCACTTTGACAACCTGCTCATGGAGGAGTCCGCGCAGATCCTCGAGATCGAAACCTTCATCCCCATGCTGCTGCAGCGCCCCGACGGGCCCACCAGAACCGTTGGTGGCAGCAGCAGTGGCAGCGGTAATGGTGGTTCTGGTGCTGCTGATGCTGCTGGTGGTGGTAGGCAGGGCGGCAATTCCTTGTCTTATTCCCGGCTGAAGCGGTGCATTCTGATTGGCGATCACAACCAGCTGCCGCCCGTGGTGAAGAACATGGCGTTCCAGAAGTACTCCCGCATGGACCAGAGCCTCTTCACCCGCTTTGTCCGCCTCGGAGTGCCCTACATCGAGCTCAACGCGCAGGGCCGCGCCCGGCCCTCCATCGCACAGCTCTACAACTGGCGTTACCGGGATCTTGGGGATTTGCCCGTGGTGAAGACCCGGGAGGAGTATGTGCAGGCGAATGGCGGGTTTGCCTGGGAGTACCAGCTGGTCGATGTGGGGGATTGGATGGGAAGAGGGGAGAGCGAGCCGAACCCGTGGTTTTACCAGAATCTGGGCGAGGCGGAGTATGTTGTGAGCGTGTTTCAGTACATGCGGTTGATGGGGTACCCGGCGGAGAAGATATCGATCCTGACTACATACAATGGCCAGAAGCACCTCATTCGGGATGTGATCGAGAGGCGGTGTGCGGCCAACCCTCGGTTCGGCCGTCCCAGCAAAGTGAGTTTTAGGTGAAGTTTGAGTGGAGTCAAGAAACATGACCACGTGCAACGGCCAGACGCACCTGATCTGGGATGTGATTGAGAGGTGGTGCGCGGCTAATCCCCGCTTCGGCCGGCCCAGCAAAGTGAGTGTGTTGGGTTGTTCTGTGCTCTGCTGCTGATGGTATGGCTTTTTCTTCGTCTCAAGAGTTGTACCAATCGGCCGATTCAGCAGGATGACCACCTACCTGCCAGACTTGCTTTCTGCTCCTTATGGGTAGCAAGACATGTTCTGGGACAGGGAAAGGGTTTGGGATAGAATAAATTATGTCTTGCCACTTCTTGATCATACCGGGTGACCACAGAGGATCGCTTCCAGGGCCAGTGGAATGAACGACTGCATTCTTCTTTCGCCGTGCCCCCCTTGCTCAATCACACCCTTTCTGCCATATTGTCGTCTCCCTGTCTCTCCCTCCCCAGGTCACCACAGTGGATCGTTTCCAGGGTCAAAAGAGCGACTATGTTCTCCTCTCCCTCGTCCGAACCTGCATGGTTGGCCACCTGCGAGACGTGCGCCGCCTCGCGGTGGCCATGTCACGCACCCGCCTGGGCCTCTACTGCTTCTGGTGTTGGGGACTGCTTTCCTAGCACTGCTGTACAACCGAAATCCTCTCACTCTCCTTCTGCCTTCCCCCTTCCCCCCTTCCCCCCTTCCCCCCTTCCCCCCTTCCCGTCGCCCTCTCCTCTTCATCACCCTTCAGGTGACCACAGTGGATCGTTTTCAGGGCCAGCAGAACGACTACATTCTCCTCTCCCTTGTGCGAACCCGCACCGTGGGCCACCTGCGCGACGTGCGCCGCCTCGTCGTCGCCATGTCACGCGCCCGCCTCGGCCTCTACTGCTTCTGCCGCCGCTCTCTGTTTGAACAGTGCTACGAGCTGCAGCCGACGTTCCAGCTGCTGCTGCAGCGGCCGGATAGGCTCGGGCTGGTGCTGGAGGAAAGGAGTGCGAGGACGGGGAGGAGGGCGGGGGAGGGTGGTGAGGGGGCGTATTTGGTGGAGGGGATTGAGGAGATGGCGAGGCTGGTGGAGTGGCGCCTGCAGATTGTGACGCAGCAGGTGAGTTTGTATAAGGTTTGGAGGGTTGAGCGTAGAGGGGCAGCTCTGTAAATACTAGGAGCGATTGTTAATTGATTATTCTTTCCACCCTGTTTTCTCTGCGATTGCGGAATTTTCCGCTTCTCCTTGTCTTTTCCAGGAGTACATTTTGCAGAACGTGCCAGGGGGCCAGCAGGAGGCAGCATTCGCGCAGCAGCAGCAGGTGTGGATGCAGCAGATTCAGCAGATGAAACACGCCCAGGCACATGCGCAGGCACAAATGCAAGCCCAGCCACAGATGCATGGCCAACCACATGCGCAGCCGCATGTGCACATGCCAGCGCACTCGCCCATGCACATGCATGCGCATATGCAGGCACAGATGCAGATGCAGATGCAGCAGGCACAGGCACATGCACAGGCGCAGGTGCAGCAGGCGCAGGCTGTAGCACATGCATACGCACAGGCCCATGCGCACACACAGGCGCAGCTGCAGGTGCAGGAGCAGGCTCGGGAGATGGAAAGGCGCGCTCACATGGAGGCCCTAGCACGCTTGCAGCAGCAGCAGAGGCTGCAGCGGAGGCAGAACAGGAGCGGGAGAGGGAGGGGTCGGGGACGGGGATTGGGGCGGGGAGGTCGGGGGGAAGGGAAGAAGGGAGGGGAAGGGAGGGAGAAGGGTGGGGCAGAGGGGATGGAGATGGGTGGGGAGGGAGAGGGTGAGGAAGGAGAGGAGGTGAAAGAGGAGGGGGGCGAGGAGGAAGAGGAGGACGAGGAGTGGGGAGAGGGTGAGGGAATGGAGGGTGTGGAGGAGCAAGTGAGAGTGAAGGAGGAGTTACTTGAGGCAAATGCATCAGCAGCACCTGCTGCCGCAGTCACACGAGGGCCACCACCAGCAGCACCTGCGGGGCTGATGCCACCAGCAGCAGCAGCAGCAGCACCAGCATCAACAGCAGAAGGAGAACCAGCAGCAACACGAGGACCGCCACCTGCAGCACCGGCGGGACTGATGCCACCAGCAGCAGCTGTAGCTGAAGCTGCAGCACCAGCAGAGGCACCAGCAGTAGCACCAGCAGCACCAGCTGTAGCACCAGCGGTAGCGTCGGCAGCACCAGCAGTAGCAGCAGCAGTAGCAGCACCGGCAGCAGCACCAGCAACACCAGCAGCACCACCAGCTGTAGAAGCCGCAGCACCAGCAACAACAGTGGCACCAGCTGCGCCTGCTGCTGCTGCAGGAGTGTCGGAAAGCGTGCGAGTGAAGACAGAGCTACTGGAACAAGCGAGGGAGGAGCCAGCAGCGGAGGAGCGGGCGGGGGAGGAGGAACAAGCAGCGGAGGAGCAGCGGGTGAAGGAGGAGCTCTTGGAGGAGGCAGAGAATGAGGCGGCTCAGCAGCATGTGGGGGTGAAGGAGGAACCAGCTGAGCCGGGGGCTGCTACTCCCCCTGGGGGATCCTCTGACAGTGAATGATGCAGTTGCGGTATGTGTGGATCTGAGTCGTGATTCATTAACCAGGACCGGGGCTGTGATGCTCCGCCGAGGAACATCTTCAAGCACGTTTCCTAGCTGAAGGCCGCTGTTGTTTCTTTTACTGACTCCTGCACTCAGTCCAGACCAGTTCTGGTGCTCTTCGTGTGCTGCGTCTGGCCTGTTCTGCTCTTTGGGAACACTACTTGCTTGTGCAAAATGCTGAGTATTCCCTGATCTCAACATTGTGGCTGCTGCAGAACCCCTGGGTAAATTTGTCACTCTCTACACTTCAGAGGAACCAGCACACTTAATGTTCAAATTTGAGAAATAGCCAAGCAATCAGGTCATCTAGCAATATAATAGTTGAACCAATAGTGTAGCTGAAGGTGGAGCGTATCGTGATAACTAAACCTAGCAGCTGATTGTGCAACGGATGGCGATAGGCAGTGATTGCAGATCACCGTTTCGAGGTGGTCATTGCGCGCCGCTCCAACAAGCCACCCTCACGAATTGGCTGCTGCCGAAGATGTTCCAGACGCAGATGAGCACAGTGAAGATGCTTGTAACTAACCAATTTACTAGTTGTAGCGGAAGTGATGACTGAACGCCGCTCCAACGGCAACTTCTGGGAACTGGCTGCTGCCGAAGATGTTGCTGAAGCGGATGAGCACAGTGAAGATACTGATAACGAATCATGTGACTGTATCAGGAGTGGTCACTGAACCCCGCTCCAACGGGCCACTTCTACGAATTGGCTGCTGCCGAAGATGTTGTTGCTGAAGCGGATGAGCACAGTGAATATGCGCGCTCCCAGGGGCGTGCTGCGGGCGAATGCTGACGACTCCACCACCCGCTCCAAGCCGTTGATGATTTGATAACGCGTGTTGGATGACACTGCCATGAAGCCACCTGGGGGGGAACGCAGGGCAAAGCAAGGGATGGAAGGATGGGGGAAAGGAGAGTAGTGAGCACTCCACCACTCGCTCCAAGCCGTTGATGATTTGATAGCGCGTGTTGGATGACACTGCCATAAAGCCACCTGGGGGGGAACGCAGGGCAAACCAAGCGAGGGCAGGATGGGGGAAACGAGAGTAGTGAGCACTCCACCACTCACTCCAAGCCATTGATGATTAGGTTGCGCGTGTTGGACGAGACTGCCATGAAGTCACCTGGAGGGGGGAGGCAGGGGGCAGTGAGGGGCAAACGGGATTGGATGGAGGAAAGGTTATTGCGTGTCGACTCCATCACCCTCTCCAAGCCGTTGAAGATTTGAAAGCGCGTGCTGGATGACACTGCCATGAAGCCACCTGATGTGGGGAGGGATGGAGGGATGGGAAGGTGGGTGTTGAGTGGATTCAAAAAGAACAACAAGATGTGGGATGGCACTGCCTGGAATTCACCTGGTGGCAATGCGGCGGATTATATTTGAAGACAACCAGACAGGAAAGGCACGTCTGGAGAGAGAAAAATAGTTCTATTGGAGAAGTAATTGTGCAGAATAGAGAAACGATCTGGGGAGAACAGATAAGAGAGGAGGGACTCACCCCAGAGCAGAGCAGTGGGCAGAACCTCCTCTTCCTACTTTTGAGGCGGCTCAAGAGAAGGAATGAGAAGCAAGCGAGAAGTAACTTACCCCAGAGACAGGCGGTGGGCAGAAGGCCCGGTATCTTGACCTCCTCCTCCTCCTCTCCAGGCTTCCGCAGATTCCTGCTCAAACACGTACACACACTCACACATACACATACACACACACACACACACCCACGCATGCACACGCACAACACCCCACCCCCCCCCCCCCCCCACCACACACACATACTCAAAATGGACTCAATGGCGCCGTTGAAATTGCCTGACCAAAAAGGCCGCAGCTGAACCCTCCACGGCATACTGCCTTCCCTTCACTAACCCACGCACCTGATGACTTGGCAAATTCCATCCACACTCTCTTCCTGTCTTATTACCCCCCCAACCATCGCCCCCACCCTCCCTTCACCCTTACACTCCATCACCGGCACACCTCTTCAATTGCCCATCCCATCCCACCACTCCCCACCCCCACTCACCTCCGGCACAATAGCCGTTGAGATCGCCTGCCCAATCACACCGCAGCTGAACCCCACCCCTGTATACTGCCCTCCCTTTTGAAATCAGAGTCAACTCAGAGCACTTCCCCATCCCATTTCCTCCCTCCCTTCCCCCCCTCCCTACTCCCCCCACCCACCCACCTCTTGACTGTCACGATAGCAGTTGAGATCGCTAGACCAATCAGACCGCACCGCAGCTAAACCCCACCGCAGCATACTGCGCTCCCTTTCGCAATTTGAGTCAACTCACTCCTCTATCCCATCCCCCCCTCCCCACTCCCCCCCACACACCTCTTGACCGTCACGATAGCGGTTGAAATCGCCTGACCAACCAAGCCACAGCTGAACCCCACCACGGCATACTGCGCTCCCTTCACCAGCCACGTTGCACCCCTCTGCACCACACTATACCGCCTCCCAGGCAGAGCCGCCTCAAACATGCTGCTAGGGAGCGCTTCCAGAGCTGCCGCCAGGCCCGGCGGCACCAAGCCTCGCCTGCCTCGGGCTGCCGAAGCTGCGGCGCTGCTGCCAAACCTGGCCATGGGAGCCAGCATGCTGACTAGGGCAGAATCTACAGCGATGCCAACTAGGATGTCGGACGTGTACAGGTCTATCTCCTTCCAGAAATCTTCCCCACGCTTTTGCACCTCAGCAAAAGTGGCACAGCCAGAGTCAATTACCACCTGGAAAGGAGTGGCGAAGAGCGGGGGGAGTGGGGGAAGGGAGAGGGGAGGGAGAGGGGAGGGAGTGGGGGGGAATTGTGTTGGTTTGGGTTGAGAGCGGTGGGTAGCCCCGTCAAGTGATCAGAGGGCTAACTGGAGGGCGGAGGGAGAGGGAGGAAGTGTGTGTGTGGGAGGAAGTGAGAGTGTGGGAGGAGGTGTGTGTGTGGGAGGAAGTGTGTGTGGGAGGAAGTGAGAGTGTGGGAGGAAGTGTGTGTGTGAGAGGAAGTGTGTGTGAGGGAGGAAGTGTGTGTGTGGGAGGAAGAGTGTGTGTGGGACGAAGTGTGTGTGTGGGAGGAGAGGCTTTTCTAGAAGCACCACAAATCAACTACATGGAGGAGAGGAGTGTGGTCCAGTGATACAGCAAAATTACTGCTCAGCTGCTGGGAGGGAAGAGGGCGTGTTACCACGTGCAACATACTGGAGGCGCCTCACCTGCGACTCACAGCTGCTCCTTCAAAACCCTAGGGTTCAGGGTTTAGGAGGATGACAGAGCAGAGGAGCTCATCTTGGGTCGTTCCTTCGATTCAAAAGCAGGAGTCGCCTCTTTAGTACAACTCTCACTTACAAGCACACTGCACACGCACCTCTGTTAGGATAGAGGGGTCTACCAGGAGCTGCTCACGCAGAGCGGAGCATTCGATAGTGGATAATCTCTTTGGTTTTCCTCTTATAAGCACACTACACACACTCTCACCCCCGTCAGCACGTTGAAGAGGAAGGAGGGATCCGGTTGGAGTCTGTTGCGCAGCACAGCGAGCTCTCAGTAGTGGAACATCCCCTTAGAGTAACGTTCGCTATAAGCAATACATACCTCCGTGAGCACTTTGAAGAGGAAGGAGGGATCCGCCAGGAGCCTGTCGCGCAGAGCGGCGTACGAGCGGGTGGCTGCTGCGAGGATGCCTCCGCCCACCTTGACACGGGGAGGAACACGGGTTGAAAGGGGGAGGGGAGGAGTGGAAGAGGGAAGGGGAAGGGGGGGGTGGGGGGGTGGGGCAAATGCACATCTCAGAGGCACCTCAAAAGGCGTACGAGCGAATGGCCGCTGCGAGAATGCCTCTGCGCCGCACCTGAAAGACCATGCTACTCGGGAGAGTGGGAAATTGTGGCAGGAGGCTTGGCGCGGGTGCACAATGCTCTCCGTTTTCGGAGCTCGGAGAATGTGGTATCGATTTTTTTGTTTGTTTTTTCTCTCTTTTTCTCGCACCTGCAGGTCGATGTAGCGCTGCAGCAGCAGTTCCGCAATGCCGTGCTCCTTCACATGCGCCAGCATGTCCTCCGGTAGAGTCACACCCGCCTTAGATAAAACCTCCTCCGCTTTCGGCCAACCCAGAATCGGCCCATAGTCGCTCTCCGCATCCCCCGCATTTCCCTCTCCACCCACCCCATCCCCGCCTCCTCCCCCTCCCCCTCCGCTTCCGCCTCCGCCGGAGCTCCCCCCTGCGCCGTCACCTCCCCCGCCGCCAAGCTGCGTCACGTAACTGGCAGAAGAAGCGGCCGCGCTGGTGACGACTGACGGCCTTGACGGTTTGCCGTCGGAAGACCCGGATCTGCCGCCCAAACCGGGCAATGTAGCGGTGGTCGGGTTCAGAACGGTGCAGATCGGTAGATCGTGAGAAGGATCTGCGCTTCCAATGACGATGAATGCGCGGGTATTGCTGGAAGCACGGAAGGAGGCGGTGGTAATGGCGACAGAATGCGAAAGTCGCACAGTGAAAACTGGTTCCAATGATCGCCGGCCGTTGGATGGAGATCCGACGGCCGTCGTGAAGCCTTGAGCAGCCACAGCGGGGTTGGCTAGATGCAAGGCCATGGCTAAACGATCTGACACGATTCACACTAAGACCTTGCCGACGCAATGGATGCACGATTCCCGATCGAGCGTGGTGCCCGCAGCTCCGAGACGTTGGGCCTGTTGTTAAAAGCAGAACTTGCGCGACGCACTTGTAGCAGCCAACGCGTCCAGTGGGTCTACACCAGTTGGTAAGCCACGGCGGCAGAAGAAGCCACCACGGATCTGCGGGTCACGCTCACTTCAAGCCTAGAGTGTTGCGGAAGGGAAACTCTGGGTTTTGCTTTGTGTAATCTGTTTGCTCCTCCTCACGATCTAGAAGACTTGGCCTTCTGACAGTTGCTGGTCTGCTCTGCTGCACAGTACTGCTGCTCTGATCAGCAGCAGCAGCTTTGCCATGCAAGCGTAGCTTTTCCTGGCAATCCAATCACCCATCCGCTCCTTGGCGGGGCGGAACTGCGGCGCCAACACGCTTTTCGAAGTTTTGAACTCAGAAACTCTGGGGTGAGCAAAAAAGAAGTTCCTTCACCAACGAGCGTGAAATAGCAAATTACCCATACAAAACAGTCGCGTTTATACTTCGATTTCGGCACAGCGCCCATGTCAGATCCACAGGTCGCTACTTCCCCTTTTGTACCCATGGGTGTTTCGGAACTCGTCGTGTGAAGGGGCAAACCAGCACGCATTCTACGCAATATCCACGTGGAGCATAGCCAATGGCTCATCAGTTAGGTAGCCGCACCAGTCATATGTGGCCGTCTGTTGTTTGATCCAGCCAGTCACAAACGTACACCGTCGAGAACACCACAAGAACTGGAATCATTTGTACACTTCATATTTGTAATTGCGGAGGTTTCTACACCAAGCCACAATATACTATTATAATGAGTTGCTATGCAATGCTCGTTGCAACTCCGAAGGCTTCAGAGGCTTCGTAATGAAGCTATCCATCCCCACCTCCATGCACCTTTGCCTATCCGACGCCAAAGCGCTGGCAGTTAAAGCTATGATGCGCGGCCGACGTTGACGCTGATGCTGCTCCTGACGGTATTTACAAATCCGGAGCTCGGTATCATGATCGGCCGCACCTCTCCCCATCAGCTCCGCTTGTGTCGCTGCTGCAGCACCGCACGTGGGAGCAGCTACACCACCGGTGCCGTTATTATAAATGTCCGGAGCTTCATTCTCATAATGACAATTTTGTCGGATGAGTCGCGTTGCCTCAAAGCCATCCATCTCAGGCATGTGGCAGTCCTGGAGGCAGAGGCAACAAGAGGTCAGGTGAAGGAAGAGACAGGAGAAGGGGGGGAAGAGTGAGGACAACGAGACATGGTATAGGGAGTTTTGGAGTATCATTCAGCAGGGAGGAGCGCAGCAGCTGGGAGAGCAATGGAGAGAGCAGAGACAGCAACAGCACTAACACCAGTGAAGTGACTCGCTATCGACTGACTCACCATGAGCACAAGGTCGTAGTCCCTCTCCGAGCACTTGGCAACGGCCTCCTTCCCATTGACAGCCACGTCACATGCCACGCCCAGGCTACGGAGCATGCGAGTCACCACCAGCTGGTTCACCCTGTTGTCCTCAGCTACAAGGCACCGCAGGCCTTCAAACGGTGACTTGGCTTCATCCATCCACGGAGGCTCGGGTTGAACCCTGTAATGCCCATTGCCCTGCTTCTCCCTCTGCTTCTCCCCCTCCATCCCCCCCTGCTCCTCCCCCTGCTTCTCCCCCTGCTTCTCCCCCTGCTCCTCTACCCGCTCCTCTCCCTGCTCCCTTGCACGGACTCCGTTCACCCCCTGGTCTGCCTCCTGTGCTCTCCTCCCCGCGCTGTTTACACCAGCTGGTGCTCCCACCCGAATGCTGTCCACAGCAGCTTGTTCTGCCACCTCCTTAGCACCAGGGACTGCCAATCCACTCCTGCCACCGCTGTTGATGCCGTCGTCACACACACGGCGAAGCGCCTCGCGCTCATCAGGACTGTTACTGACTGTTGTTGCACAATAAGTTGTACGGTCAGTTGTGCGGCCGGTCGCGTTGCCAGTTGCGTTGATGTTCTTAGTCGCATCAAAGCACAGAGAGCTGCTTTGAGTCGCCTTCAAATGAGGATGAGGAGGAGGCGTGCTGGTGTGAGTCGCCTCAGAACTAGGCGGCAGTGAGGGTGAGTGGGACGGTGCATGGGAAGGTGAGTGGGAAGGTGAGAGGGAGGCCACTGCTGGGGCGTGGGGCAGAGAACTAAGGCCGGGAGGTGGAGGGATAGCGGGAGGAGGCTGGTGTGAGGGAGGGGGATGGTGTGGGGGGGATGGGTGGTGTGGGGGAGAAGGCTGGTGTGAGAAAGGGGGATGGTGTGAGGGAGGGGGGTGGTGTGAGGGAGGGGGCTGGTGTGAGGGAGGGGGGTGGTGTGAGGGAGGGGGATGGTGTGAGGGGGATGGGTGGCATTCAGGCTGATGTGAGTCCAGTGCAGTGAGTCTAGGCCTTTCAGTGAGTTTATGCCTTGCGGTGGGTTTAGGCTCAACTGAGGCATGGTCAGGTTGGTCTGGGGGAGGGCGTACTGACACGTCCTGCATCGGGAATGATGCGTTACTCTCTGCCAGGGCGGCTGGTGCTGGGTCAGGCGGGGCGGGTGGTTCTGGGGCGGGTAGTTCTGGGTCAGGTGGTTCTGGGGCTGGTGGTTTTGGAGAGGCGGGTGTGGAAGGGAAAGGTATCGCGGCCCCCCTGGGGCTGCTTTGAGGCGCCTCAAAAGTGCCCCCCCTGGGGCTGCTGCTGGCATGCTGTGGTGGGGAGGAGCAAGCAGGTGCAGCAGGAGCAGGGTGAGGCACCTGAGAGCACGGTGCAGAGGAGGTGGCGCGCACAGGAGACGTGGCAGGAGCAGAGGTGGGAGCAGGGGAGGTGGGAACAGGGGAGGTGGTTTGCAGTTTACGGAAGGTGCCACCACCTGCAAGTGCATCTGGGGTAGGCGTATCCATCCCCACAATCGACACCTTATCTGTTCGCACGCTAAGAAAGGGAACGCAGAACCTGAAAGAGGACCCGGCACCCGGGCAGCTCTCCACTGTAATCCGCCCCCCCATGAGGCCAATGAGCGAGTGACAGATGGCGAGCCCTAACCCCGTGCCTCCGAAGCGGCGGGAGGAGGAGGAGTCAGCCTGAGTGAAGGGGTGGAACATGTGCGCCATCACATGCGGCGCCATGCCTATGCCTGTGTCGTCCACTCGCACCTGCACCCACTCCACTGACCCTTCCTGGCCCTCCTCTCCTCCCATGCATCTCATCTCTCCCCCGTCTCCCAGCTCTCCTCCTCCGCTCCCCGCTCCTCCCTCCCCTCCCCCCTTCCCTCTCCCCTCCCTTTCTCCCTCTCCCTTCTGTCTGCTTCCTGAGGAAGCCCAGCCAATGGGCTGACAGGATTCTCCCGTAACCTCCTCCCCCCCATCCTCCTCCACCCTTTGCATCCCAGCCAACCCTAGCTTCCCTGGCCCCCCACCGTCCCTCACAGTTGCGCCCACGCCCCCATCATCCCTCAGGTGCATTTCCTCGTGGGCCAGCTTTTGAGTTGACCCAAAAGCTGCCCCCCCACCGTCCGTCCCAGTGGCGCCCACGCCCCCATCATCCCTTAGGCGCAGTTCCACGTGGGCCAGATCCTCCAGCCACCCGCGTGACTCCACCCAGCTCCCACCACTCACCCGCCCCTCCATTGGACCACTGCTCACCCGCCCCTCCATTGGATCACTGCTCACCCGCCCCCCCGTTGGACCACCGCTCACCCGCCCGCTCCTTGCATGCTTAGGCGCAGGAGGCACACAGTCAGACGCCAGTAGAGACTGATTCTCACCATTCTGCTCCTCTTGAAACCCCCCCAAACCAGCACTCTCGTGCCCCAACTCCAGCCCCTGCCCCTGCCCCTCCCCCTGCCCCTGCCCCTGCTCCTCCCCCTCCCTCTGCCTTTTCCTCCCTTGCAAACCAAGGACCTCATCTCCTCCACCTGCTGCTACTGCCACCGCTTGTCCTCCTCTCCCGCCTCCTCCCCCTCTTGCTCCTATTCCGCTGCCTTGTGCACTGGCCTCCCTGCCTTGTGCACTGGCCTCCCTGCCTTGTGCACTGGCCTCCCTGACGTTCCGCGCGCCATGTGCTGGCCGGCTGTATTGGACGGGTGGGGCCTGCTGTAGCCTTGTCACACAGACCGACACCGAACCACTGCCATCACAAGGAGAGAGACCGGGAGGGAATAGAGCAGCATTTTTTTTTGGAGAGAGAGAGAGAGAGAGAGAGAGAGAGAGAGAGAGAGAGAGAGAGAGAGAGAGAGAGAGAGAGAGAGAGAGAGAGAAAAAAAGAAAAAAAAGAAAAGAAAAGAAAAAAAAAACCAACAACTACTCCACTGGAGCCTGCTTGTCACATGGACTGACACCGAACCACTGCCATCACAAGGAGATAGACCACGGGGGTTGTGTTATGTTTTTTTAAAAGCCACAAAACATAACACAGCTTGTCGGACTGAAACGGAGCCGAGTTTTGAGGCGCCTCAAAACCAGCTTGTCACATGGACTGACACGGAGCCGCTGCAATGAGTCTGCTTTTGAGTCGACTCAAAAGCAAAACCAGCTTGTCAAATGGACTGAAACGGAGCCGCTGCCGTGAGTCTGCTTTTGAGTCGACTCAAAAGCAAAACCAGCCTGTCAAATGGACTGAAACGGAGCCGCTGCTGTGACAAGGAGAGAGACCCAGAGGGAGAGGGCAGCCAAGCCAAGGAGGAGAGAAGGGGAGATGGGTGTACCATGTAAGGGCAAAAAGAATTCGGAGTGCAAAAAAACGTGTGCACATGAAAAATAATCCGGATTGCTGTGCGGATAAAAACGAGCACCGCATTTTGAGATGATGTATGTGACCAGACCAGAATAACGTATGACATAATACCAGACCAGTGACGTGAATTGAACTGGATGGCGTTGAAGAGCAAATAGAATCAGAAGCACAGAATACCTTTTCTTTCTTTTTTTCATCCGTAAGGTACAGTACAGGCCTCTCGCTAAGCCCCAGGGTATTCCGGAAGGGGACGGAATCGCCTCTGGATAAACCCGTTAACAGACGGAATCCCCCTAAAAAAACCCGTTACCAAAAGGAATCGGCCGCTACAACTTCGGCTGGCAAGGAATCAAGGGGGGGGGGGGGGGTTCGCTAACCCCGACAGATTGCTCTAACACAAGTATAGCCCGTAAGGATTCAACAACAAAAAAAAACTCGTTAGGTAAAGAAATCGCGCGAAATCGTTTCCGTAAGTTGGACGGATTCGGGGAAACATCGCACCGTAAAAAAACGGAATCGATGGAAATTTTACTCTTAATTTCTCGACATTAAGGGTAATTACCCTGTTAGCGAGAGGCCTGGTACAGTATAAGTCAACAAGAAGTGTAGCTACTTCACACACCTGTCCGTGAACTTGATGGCATTAGACAGCAGGTTGAGCAGCACCTGGCGGAACCGCATTGGATCGCCCACCACCTCTTGCGGCGTGGACGGGTCTATGCTGAATGACAGCTGGCGGGCGATCAGAGGCACGGGTGGGATAAGAGGCCAAGGGAGGAGAAGCGAGGAGAGCAAAAAAAAAAAAGATTTTCTAAGCCACCGCGTACAAACACATGGTCCCTGATCAACGACTGCTACTACCAGTCACAAAGGAGGGGGGAAAAGGACGAAGGACGGAGGGAGGGGAGAAGAGGGATTTCCCACCACTCGACCAACCCAGCCACAGGGGTCAAGTAGTTTAGTTTTGAGAGACCCCTGCTGCTGCTGCTGGGTTGGCAGACGTCTCAAAACAAAACTACTTTCCCACCACTCAGCCAAACCAGCAGCATGGAAGAGGAGGGCACTGGGGCGGAGGAGGGGAGGGTTGGAAAGGAGTTGTATTATAATTGTAAAAAATCACCTATCACATGGTGGGGAAGGTTGGAAGGGAGTGATGATAAAAGAAAGCAGAGCGAAGGATAGCAATGTGTAATGAGTCTATTTTTGAGTCGACTAAAAAATAGACTCATTACACATTGACTTTTGAGGCGCCTCAAAAATACTCATTACACACAGATAGCAGAGCGATAGCAATTCCGCTTTGAGTCGCATGAGAGCAAGTACGAGTGTTGTTAACGGCAGAGTGAAGCAGTACAAGATGCCAATGACTGATCACACACCTGCAGCCCTTTCTTGACTGCAACAGCTCGCATGAGAGCAAGTGTGCTCTCAATGGCAGAGTGGAGGCAGAAGGGGTGGGTGGAGAGCGAGAGGGAGTGGGCCTCGATGCGGCTGATGTCGAGGAGGTCCGAGAGGATGCGGACCAGGCAGTCCCCTGACGCCTGCACCACTTGCAGCAGCGCCCTCTGCTCCTCACTCACTCCCGACGCCAGCAGCAGCTCAACTACTCCCAGCACACCTGGTGAGCAAGACGAGGGAGACGAAAAGGGGAGATGCTCTGTTATCAGGCAGCACCTCGGAGGATGGGTGCACCACTTGTGTAGTAGCGCCCCCTGCTCCTCCCTCACTCCCGACGCCAGCAGCAGCTCAACTACTCCCAGCACACCTGGTGAGCAACAACAGGAGGAGAGGGACCCAGGAGGGAGGAGAGGGAGAGGCAGAGGGAGAGGGAGCGGGAGAGGGAGCGGGAGTGGGAGAGGGAGAGGGAGAGGGAGAGGGAGAGGGAGAGGGAGAGGGAGAGGGAGTGCGCACCAACACGCCTGATGAGCACGGAGTGGGATAGCACAGAGCGAGACAGAGAGGAAGTACTTTGGTAACGCTCAACACCTAGAACAGGAAACCTGCCGTTCATGGGAGTGCGCAGATCATGGCTCTTGTGCTAACACGACATGTGCTAACATGACATGTGCTAACACGACATGTGTTAACATGACATGTGCTAACATGACATGTGCTAACATGACATGTGTTAACATGACATGTGCTAACATGACATGTGCTAACATGACACGTGCTAACATGACACGTGCTAACATGACATGTGCTAACACGACATGTGCTAACATGACATGTGCTGACATGACATGTGCTAACATGACATGTGCCAGGAAGTGTGTTCTCCTAGCTCGGCTGGCTGCAGCTCGTCCTCCCTACCACTCACTGGATCGCACTCATGCGCACGAATATGCAACCCTACCCTTCACTTATTGCCGTTCATCGGAGTGCGCAGCTTGTGGCTCATGTTCGCCAGGAGCTGCGTCTTGGCTTGGCTTGCCTGCACCTTGGTAGCACTCTATCGCACACATGTGCACAACCCTACCCTTCGCTCATTACCGTTCATGGGAGTGCGCAGCTCGTGGCTCATGTTGGCCAGGAACTGCGTCTTGGCCTTGCTGGCAGCCTCTGCTGCTTCCTTGGCTTGCCGCAGCTCCTCCTCCCGCGTCTTCGCCTGCCTCATATCGTGCCACACCACTATCACGTAGTCACGCCCTGCTGCCACAATGTGCTGATAACGAGAAGAGCGCATAAGGGCAAGGGAAAAAAGAGGCCTGTCATGCCAGCACCACTCCCTGCTCTCTTCCTCGGCCTGCTGCGGCTCCTCCTCCTCCTCCCGCCTCTTCGCCTGCCTCATATCGTGCCACACCACTACCACGTAGTCACGCCCTGCTGCCACAATGTGCTGGGGGGAGAGAGGTAAGGCAACAAGGGAGCAAGGGAGCAAGGGAGCAAGGGAGCAAGGGACACGGGAAAGAAGAGTGACTTTTGAGTCGACTCAAAAGTCCCCTTGTCAGCATGTGCCCCTTTCCAGTTGTATTTTGAGTCGACTCAAAATACAACTGGACTCGAAAGTCCCCCCCTTGTCAGCATGTGCCCCTTTCCCTCCCACCTTGCCGCTCTGCACTCTCGCCATCACCTCCCCTGCCGCCTTTCTAATCCTTTTCTTTGACAAAACCTTCACTCGCACGCACCAGCACATGCAGCGGTCCAGACCACAATGCACCCACTCAAAGCTGATCGCCTCTCCACGCTGCACGCTGCCCATCACCTCTGCTGGCGCCCGTTCCTGATCCCCCTCCCCCCCCCTCCACCCCTCCATCCACCCCTCCCCCCCCACCCTTCTTTGGCTCACCTTCACTCGCACCAACAAAGGTAGCGGCGACCGGTCCAGAGCACAGTGCACCCACTCGAAGCTGATCGCCTCGCCGCTCTGCACTCTCGCCATCACCTCGCCTGCCGCCTCTAATGTCGGGCGGCCGTCTGGCTGGAAGGGCGGCGAGAAGCTCGGGTGGAACGGGCGGCGCATGATGTCTGCCTTGGAGGCGCAACGTAGTATGCTGACTGCGGCCTCGTTGCAGTCTAAAATCACCTCTTCGTGCAGGCGAAAGATGAAGATGGGGTCCTGGTGGGGAGGAGAGGGGGTTGTGGGGGGGGTGCCGGTTGCTGCCACAGAGCAAGCGAGAATCACCTCCTCGTGCGATCTACCGACAAGGTTGGGATACTGAGTAATTGGGGCATTGGGGTATGTAGGGAGGGCAACGAGTAGGGGATGTCAGAATAGTATGGGAGAAGTGATATTTGCAGGACCCATAAACAGACGGATCTCTTATGCACCGTAAGCAGATATGGACATAGGGAAGTTTAGTTTTAGATAGGCGCATAGGGATATGCGTCTCAAACTATGCACCGTAAGCAGATATGGACAAAGGGAAGTCTAGTTTTGTTTTGTTTTGAGGCGCCTCAAAACATAGGGAAGTCTAGTTTGAGGCGCCTCAAAACTATGCACCGTAAGCAGATACGGACATAGGGAAGATTCGTACCTGAAGCGCTCAAAAGCGGCTCGGTATCACAGGTGCTCCTCCTCACTCAGAATATTGAACCGCATTAAACCGCATCGAAACGCATTGAACGAAGCAGAGAGGGTCCCTTACCATGAGATAGATTCTTACCATGGAGAGCTCAAAGATGGCTCGGTGCCGCACGTTCTCGATTTTTGAGTCAACTCAAAAATTACCATGAGATAGACTGTCTTACCATAGAGAGCTCAAAGATGGCTCGGTACCGCACGTTCTCGATTTTTGAGTGGACTCAAAAATTACCATGAGATAGACTGTCTTACCATAGAGAGCTCAAAGATGGCTCGGTACCGCACGTTCTCCTCACTCAGCCTCGCTACCTCCTCCATCCTCGCCAGCAGCTGCTCCGCTATAGTGCCCCTGTCGCTGTGGTCTCCATTATTAGTCATGCCGCCACCACCACCTTCTGTGCCCGCATCCGCATTACCATCACCAGCAGTAGCAGCAGCAGCAGCAGCAGCAGCACCATCTGAACCACCAGCACCATCACCAGCATCACCACCAGCACCATCAGCATCACCAGCATCACCACCAGCATCACCACCAGCACCACCACCAGCACCATCCCTATCACCACAACCAAAATCATCACAAGCTGCAGCAGCAGCATCCGCATCTAGGTCCTTCAAGACTTCTCCTCTGCTCCATCTATTCACCCACTCCCTTTCCTCACGCATCTTGATGTCACTACAATCAGGCTCGCAAGCATTTAAACCCTCAGTTACTGCTGCTGCTGCTGCTGTTACTGCTGGCGTTGATGGTACTGCTGCCATATCCGCTGCTGCTGCTGCGGTTCCTACTGCTGCTGCAACAGCGATCTCTGATTGGCTCGCTGCGTCTCTCAAGCCCTGTGATTGGACCGCTGGGTCCCTCGTCCCCTGCGATTGGCTGGCGGCGTCTCTCGAGCTCTGGGATTGGTCGGCACGGCATGGCATGGGCGGGGCATCGGAGTGGGATCGGAGCATGCAGGAAAGCCTCTCCAGCCGCGAACGCACCGCGTCCTGGAAGGGGGGAGGGAGGTCGCGGGGAGGGAGGTCGCGGGGGTGGAGTGGAGGGGGTGGAGTGGAGGGGTCTATTTTTAAGGCGCCTCAAAAATAGTCTCCAGCCGCAAACGCACTGCGTCCTGGAAGAGGGGAGGGAGGTGGTGGGGGTGGAGTGGAGGGGGTGGTAGGGGTTGTGGGGGGGACGGGGAAGCCCCCAAAAGCACGCAGGAGAGACTTTCCAGGAGGGAAAGAGGGAAGGGAGGATGAAACACAAGGAGGAGAGGGGCGGGCTGATAGGATTCGTTTGTTGAATTCTCAAAAGCGAAACCCCATGAGCGAGGAAGGAACACGTAGACAAATAAACCACTTACGTAGATAGGCTGTTCGGATTTAGTCCCTTCCGAAAACGCATGCCTCTGCCTCTTCGTCTTTGGCTCCACACCAAGCTCCTTCCTTCCTTCCTTCCGTCCTTCCTTCCGACCTTCCGTTCTTCCAGGTTCCTCCACATCAAGACCCTCCGCCTTCCTTCCCTCCAATCCCTCCGCCTCACCACGTGTTTCCGCCGCACTCCCGCCGCGGGCAACGGCGCAGGCAACTGCTCCGTCCGCGCTGCTACCGCGAACAGCCTCACGCGCAACTGCCGCCAACGGGGCACTGACAAGCCAGGTAACTGCTCCGTCCGCGTCCGCTCCTCCCTGCACCGGGCCCTGCCTATTCGCACGCCCATCTGCGGGCGAATCCCTAATCGTCCTCGGTGTCCGAACCTCCTCCCCTCTCTCTTCACCCCCCCTGCTCGCCACTGGGAGCTGCAGCTTCGGTTCCAACGGGTCTATATCCGCGCTATTGGCTCCCGCGGTAAGAGCACTGCGAACGTGGCAGCGACAGCAACAACCCTGCTGAAGAAACACCGCTTCCGGGATTCGAACTCCGCCCTTTCCTTCCCCCACTTCCTCGGGTCTGCTCCCCGCGCCTAACCCTAGCCCTGAACCCCCCGCCGCATCAGCTCCCCCTGGCGCGCTCCTAGGGCGAATCTTCGCGTCGCCGTCGGTGTCGTCGATGCTGCGACTGGGATCGCAGCTTCGACCAGTCGCCGTCGGTGTCGTCGATTTATGAACCAGCTTCGGGAGACCGTGTCGCTCCTTCGCAGCATCTACCTTAGGACTACAGCTTTGCCACTGCCGGCCGTTCAAAGGCGTGGTGGCATCCTTCCCTGTCATATCGACAGAGGAGACCGTCGCCGCGAACTGCGGCGGAGAAGCCGCTGAGCGATGGTGCTCCTGATGACGTGCGAGTGCATCTAACGGCGAGTTAAACGGCTGCTGATGACGGCGCGTGTCTGCTGCTGCTGACGACGAGTGCAATTGCCCCCGACCAAGTGTAACTGCCGTCGACGAAGAGCGTATTCGCGAATGCTCTAACGGACGCCTAATCGCCTCGTCTAAAGGGGTAACCGTTACGCGAGCCCAAAAAAACTCATCGCCGGAAGTCGAGGAGTCAGGCGCGGCAGAACCCACCGCGGCACGGAGCTGACCCGTCTCGACGCCTTCCGCCGCTGCTTCCGCCGCGTCCTGCGGGTGGAAGCCAGCTGGACGACAGTCAGCGGCGGCGACGGAGGCGGCGGCGGACGCGGCGGAGGATCTGCGCCGCAGCTGGCGGAGGCGCACATCGGCGCAGCCGCCTGTGCAATTTCGCACGTCGTCGCAGTCCGTGCCGTGCGAGTAAGTGTCTCCGCACAGCGGGTGTGCGACGTTAGGTTGGTTGCTATCAGCGGCGTTCGCGGAGAAGCTAACGTTACAACCTGCTGTGGGATAAAGGTCGGGGATTACGCCAGAAGGTGTTTTCAAGGGACGGGCTCGACAATCCCAGGGGTTAACAGTGGAAGTAGTAGCAGCAGCCGGGGACTGAGCGATGTGTTGGATCCTACAGACTGTATCGAAGCATCTCTGTAACGCGGACCAGTCCTCTGGGTGAACGTAGCTCGGAAGGAAAGAAAGCGCAAAATCCGCCATGATTGGTTCCTCTCCTGCGGTGTCATTCAACGAAAGTTTCGCAAAGCGCTGTAACCGAAGCAAAGCCCCCGTCGCGTATCACATGACCGTCGCCGTCGTTGTTTGCTACAAGCTAAGCCATTGCGAGTTCCTGAGACTAGATAACAACTTGAACAATGCTGCCACGAATGCGCAAGACCTAACGGGCAGGGGCTAGATCCCAAAAGAAGCTGGCGTGCAGGACGCAGAGCGCTCTCCCTATTCGTGTGTAATGAGTCTATTTTTGAGTCATTATACACAGAGCCCTCTCCCTATTCTCGCACAAGACGACATGATCCAGTTACTCATCTCGGTGACGAACCAGCACAACTGTACACTAATCTAGGAGTGATATACGCGCTGAAACAGCAGTCATGGCCATCGTTTGGGTTGAGTTGAGAAACCTCCAAGCCAAGAGAACGCCAAGGAGAAGTTTCTGGAGCTTTGGCTGGTTGGCTGGCTGGGCCTGGCTGGGAGGCTGGCTTGGTCGGAGCTGAGGGCAGGATGAGCTTGTGGTTCGGTCGGTTGTGGCTGCTGTGTGCGGATGCGGATCGTCCAACCTGCAGTCCCGAATGCGAAGGCTTGCACTCGTCCTCGCCAGCGTTCGAGAGAAGCGGATGCGATGTAACTCCGGGCTCGCGAATTTCTCGACAACTTTCGTCAGCCATTCGATTTCGTTGGTTGAACGGGAAGCCGACGAGCGCAAGAAGGAATTCAGCGCCAATGCACCCAGCACATTCTGGAGATGCGGCTCCCTGAAAGCAATGAGTTCGCCTTGTAGATTGGGCAGTACACTCACTGGCGTGTGTGCCTGAGGCAAGCAATGCATTCCTCCTCAGCGCCGGCTGAGGCAGGCAGTGTAACCTGCACATTTTTTAGGGCCAATGAGCTCGAAAACCAGCATGCATAGAGTTCCTCACTGACGGAGTTGATTGGTCCCCTCCCCACCAGGGCAGTTTAAGGAAATGGCCGTTGTGCATTTGACAGGTTTGGGTTGGGAGATACAGTGTGCTGTACTGAGAAACAGAAAAATGCCTTCCATGCCCAAACTCAGGACCCGAACCCGACCTGTGTGGGCTCTCTGAAAGGTCGAAGGCAGGCAGTCTTCGAGAACAAATGTCGAAGCTGTTCTCTTCACATGACTGGCATGTCTGTAGTGCCAATAGATCTGAATCGTATCGAGAGCAGTGCGGTAGGCATGGGCTTCGGTGTCGGTATTCACGCAAGGAGCTCGCATGCGCAAATCCATGCCTCTGTACACCTGAAGCCTCTTCCAGTCCCTGGAATTTTCCGGACGAATACTCCCCAGTTGGGAACAAGTCTTTCACAGAAAAATAGGAACGCTATTGCGTAGTGTGGTTACCGGTTTAACATTATCTGTCTAAAGTGGGTGACGTTAGTTGTTCCTTTTAGGTTCCATGAGTAACAGTGTCACATCGGAAACTTTCTCGCAAACCCCTTGTCCTCTGAGCTTGTGGTCCTTAGCTGGGCTGACGCGGCAAGGCGAATCACATTGGCTCGCGAGAGACGTTCGGCGGCTCGTCGACTGTTAGGCGAAAACGCAAGGGCGCACTTTCAGTGTCCCATCTGCAACTTCACGAGATTTCGAATCGGATCTGGCAATCGTCAGATCCGTGGGCCAAAGTTTGATTAGCTTTTGCTAATAACTTGGACCAATAGGCCTGAAGAGTGACCCGGAGCATCAAAAGATTGAGACAATCAGTGGACGCCAAGTGTAAAAGATTCTGACGGATTTGGCTTAACCTCCCCCATCATAGGCAGACTCGAGAGGTGGTTTACCTTCAGGCACTATAAGCACCGATAGAACAAGTATTGCGTTACCTTTACTGTCCATAAGCAATAGTAATACATAAACTATATTGATGAACGTTGATGGACCACTTTTTGCGACTGAGAATTTTACCCCATCTCTCCCATGTCAAGGCCTCGTGGGATATTGGGTCAACACCCTACATTGTCCCCTTGATTAGTTCCCATCAATCACCGCGCTTTAGTTTGCACAACAATATTGATTTTATGCAACGCCCATGATGAGCTTCTCTTGCTCGTCCAGCTTCTTCACCTGCATCAGGCCAATCAGCACTCGGATGCCAAACACAGCACTCGCCAGCAGGAGTGCTGTCGCAGGCGTCTTGCGGGCAGCAATGTGCATGGCTGAAGCAACATTCATCAGGGTGGCTGCTGCTATGGCCTGGAGGCACAAGGATGATGCCGTGGTGCAAAGATCCAAAGGGCATGGGAGAAGGGAGTCGAAGAAGGGAGGGAGAGGAGGTGAGGGGATATATGCAAAATTTGGGTGATGGGAAGCAGACGGACAGTCATGCAATTGTTGCGCATATGAGAACCAGTGCTTTGCGTGCTTGCACTGGCGATAGTGTCTAGCAATCGGGCCACTTACGCTGCCGATGGTGTTTTGCATCGTCGCCACTCTCTTGAACGCCCTCTCGTTCTCGAGTGTCCGCACCCTCAGCTTCAAGTCGCCTTGCTCCTGCACTCACAAGGTGGCATCCAGGAGACAATACGAGGGAAAGCGAGTGAGGGAGGCCGCATGTCTGCGTGCGAGGGGGAAAGAACGGTGACCAGTCCACAGCAACAACTGCACAGAAGAACCGCTACATGGCAGCAGCATATGAGCAAGTGACGCAACCATGATGCGTACCAGTCTCAGGATGACGTCAGCAAGCTTCTCCACGCGGCTGGGCTGCCTGAGAAGGTTCTTGAAGGCCTGTGCCTGGCGGTCCCACCGCTTCCTCAGCTCCTGCTCAACCAACACCATGGATAGTGGCAGGAGAGACAGAAAATTTGGTGTGTGAGGGACATGAATGCACGGCAAAAAGGCATGGACACAGGGTTGCTAGAGAAGGTTCCAGTCACGGCCTGTGCCTGCCTGGCAATCCCACAGCTTCCTCAGCTCCTGCACATCAGGTGGTGAGGAGATGGCGTTGGTGAGGGGATGGCGTTGGTGAGGAGATGGCGTTGGTGAGAAGATGGCGTTGGTGAGGAGATGGTGTTGGTGAGAAGATGGCATTGGTAAGTGATGGTCCGGCTTTATAGAATTCTCAAAAACCTATCACATTGGGTGGTGAGGAGATGGCGATCATAAGTGCGGATCAGGTAGTAAGGCGTTGGTATGAGTGGTCAGGAGATGGCGCTGGTGTGAGTGGCCTTCGCTATGCAGGAACACGGCATTGATACTTGTGTAGAAGGTCAGCTTCGTCTCACCTTGAAAAAGAGCTCTGATCCCACCTCCCGGAAACGAAGCAGCTCAAGGGCATAGCTGCAGGGGGGGGGGGGGGGAGGGGGGAGGGGAGGAGGGGCAGGAGAGGTGAGGTAGAGAAGGGTTGGTTGGTGGAGGCAAAAAGAGTGAGGGGAGTTTGACCCGAGATCAAAGTCAAGCTCACGCAGCAAGGAAGATAGTAGATAGCACATCTTTTAGAATTCTCAAAAACCCCCTGCAAAACCACTGACCCGGGCTCTTAAGTCAAGCTCACACAGCAGGGACGACAGAAGCACAAGACGCACAAAAGACCAAACGTACGGCTTGGCAATCTCAGAGATGTCAAACTTTGGGTCCAGCCCCTTGCCAATGCCGTCCAAGACAGAGAACGCACGCACCACAAACGTGAAGCTGGAGAGGGGAGTGTACGGAGGATTGGGGCCGGGGGGGGGGGGGGGGGAGCAGGGGGGGCCCCTTTTATATTGACTGATAGAAGGCCCCTTGCCAATGCCGTCCAGCGCCGAGAACACGCGCACCACAAACGTGAAGCTGCAGGTAAGGCGAGGCACGATAGCAGTAACAGAAGAAGGGTGGGCAGGGGATGGGATGAGATGTGTGACGCAAGGAGGAACGCCAAATACTTTTGAGGCGCCTCAAAAAGTGGGCAGGGGATGGGATGAGATGTGTGATGCAAGGAGGAACGCCAAATACTCTGTGTTATTCCATGCCACAGTGTGCCATACATCGCCACACCCCATGCCATGCCACGCAAACCCATCTCGTGCCATGTGATGCCACGCTATGACGCGTCCCATCCTGCCATGTCATGTGATGCCATGCCATGTGATGCCATGCCACAAAACAACAAATCACAGCTGCTTACGTGGCTGGGAACCGGAATGGCTGGTCAGCTGCTATGGCCAGCAGATCCTCTCCTGTTGGTGGGAAATAAAAGAGAGGAGCATGCAGACAGGGGGGTGTGAGTCGGATCAAATGTCACCACATCACTTTCTCATATTGCTTTTGAGGCGCCTCAAAACTGAGACTGCTTCTAAGGCGCCTCAAACGCTGTCACCAAATCACTTTCTCATACATCTCAACAGCACCTGGTCACCGCTATGGCCAGTAGATCATCTCCTGTTGGCGGTGAATGAAGGAGCGCACAAGAGAGCAGAGCACAGAGACACGGGGCGCACAAGAGAGCAGGGCACAGAGACACGGGGCGCACAAGAGAGCAGGGCACAGAGACACGGGGCGCACAAGAGACCAGAGCACGGAGACAAGGGGCGCATAAGTGAGGTGAGCACAGGAACAAGGGGAGGAGAGGAGAAGAGAAACAGTAGGAAGAAAGAAAGAATGCCTTAAAAACAGAAACAATTCTACCAAAAAAAATGATCTGAACAGCTGGATTGCAGGCAGGCAAGCATCCACCACAGCACTGACCAATAGCAGAGAGCCTCATCTTCCTCTTAGCAAGCGCCTCCTCCTTCGTCATTGGCTCCTTCGCCTTTGCCTCTGCCTGCTGCTGCGACAGGCGCTCCTCAAAGCTGCGAAAAGGTGGGATTGGAGGAAAGGCATGATGGGGGGGAAGCGGGGGGGGGAGGGGGGGGGGGGGTTTGTTGTATTGGATAAATAGAGGGTATGGGGAGGGATGGTGCACTCGCCTTCGCCTTTGCCTCTGCCTGCTGCTGGGACAGACGCTCCTCAAAGCTGCAAAACGACAGCATCGAAAGAGTGGGGAGGAGGGGGGTAGGCACAAGGTTTCTGGAGATGAGTCAATGATGCCCTCACTCTGGCAATTGCCTTCGCCTCCGCCTGCTGCTGGGATATGCACCCCACTAGCTCCACTAGCCCGCCCCCTAGCCCTACTAGCCCCACCCACTAGCCCCACCTGTCGAGGACGAACTGCGCCGTGCGTCTGACAGCGGTGCAATCCCCTGTGGGGACCAGCACGCCCATCTGCAGCACCATGGCGTCAAGCACCTTGTCGGGTGTGCGCTGCGCACTGCCCTAAAATCCTCACCTGTTGAGGAAGCACCACTAGCCCCAATTCGCTAGGTCCTTACCTGTTGAGGAAGAACTGAGCCGTGCGCCTGACAGCGGTGCGATCCCCTGTGGGGACCAGCACGCCCATCTGCACCATGGCGTCCAGCACCTTGTCGGGGTCCTTCTCGTAGACGCCGTAGAACGCCTCCACCAGGCCCTCCCTAATGTCAGACGGGATGCTGCAGTGGGGAGAGTGAGACGAAAAAGAAGGGCGAGCAAGGAGGAAGGGTATGGGTTCCAGCGTGCCGTGCACCATGGCGTCCAGCCAGCACCTTGTCAGGATCCTTCTCTCTCATACACGCCTTAGAAGCCTCCATCAGGCACTTGCGGATGTCAGACGGGATGCTGCAAGCCAGGGGCACAGCACACAGGGGAAGCAGAGAGAGGGTTAGGAAGCAAGGGAACGGGTGCTAGCATGCATGCATGCACCAACCATCGCACTCAGCACCATGCCGGGGTCTGTCTCGATCTAAATCGCTTCAATCAACCCTTCGCGGACGTTTAACAGGGTGTTGCTGAAGGGTACGAAATGTGTGAAGGATGGAGCAGATGTATCACGCAAAGTGCACGCCAGAACAGCACAGAACCACCAAGTGAATTCTATCGAGCTGTGGAGCGTCGATGTTGCTCAGAGGAGCTTACCTTCCCATCATGCCGAAATCGTAGAAGATTCTGCAGCAGTGGTGGGTGATGGGTTGAGGGGGGCGGAGATGGCAGCAGCAGCAGCAGCAGCATCACGGCCGGACAAAAGACCGAGTCACAAAGATGACAAGGATGGAGGGGGGAACAAAGAGAGGAAATGGGAAACACAAAGTGAGTTAGGAGTTTGCAGTAAAAACGCCTCTAGTAGAAAAGCGGTGAAATCCGATGTTCATTTCAGAAGTAGCAGAGGGGGGGACGGGGGGGGGGGGGACGGGGGAGGGGACGGGGGGGGGGAACGGGGGGACGGGTGGGGGGGGGGGGGGGGGTTGCCTGTGTTGTGGTGATGTGCTGTTTCAAGGTCACGTGGTTGAATTAGGTGCATGGGTGCAGGACTTACAGCCGGCCACCGTTGACATCATCCACTGCGATGTTGCCAGGATGCTGCAGGGATGACAGACAGAGCAAGCAAACCATGCAACACACAGCCAAACAAGGGGAAAAGGGGCTTCCGGGTCAAGTCAGAACGCGTACACAGATGCCAATCACCATGCCACGGAGAGAGCTAACTAACGCAGAGTCTAGTTTTGAGCGGCTCAAAACGGGTCAGAACGCGTACACAGATGCCCATCACCATGCCAGGGAGAGAATCCTCTCGTCTAGGAAAAAACAGAGATTGCCGCGTTCGGAATCATCAAGAGAGTCATTACATGTCGTCACATATCAACATATGAGCCATGGTGAGTCACCACATATAGGCTGAGTTAGTTTCTTGAGAATTCTCGAAAAATCATTTCAACTATGAGCCATGGTGAGTCACCTCACCGCATATTGGAGCCCACTCACCGGGTCCGCATGGAAGAACCCATGGCTGAGGATCTGCTCCAGATACGACTCCACACAATAGCGAGCCAGCCTGTGACGAGGATAAGTTGAGACAAAGACATATGGATGAGGGGGGCAGAGGAAGCAGAGACGAAAGAGAGCTGATTGGAAGTAGAAGGTGAGAGGGTGAGGGGGTGAGGGTGAGAGGGTAAGGGGGTGCGAAGGTGGCTTAGCTTACACGCACACACACGCGTGACCCCACCTCTTCCTGTCAACCAGCAGTTTAACTGGGATGTCAATCTGGTTGATCTTGGTGCCCGGGGTGTACTCCATCACCAGCACCTGCTGTGGATGCTCCTACCCCCCCCCTCCCCCTCCAAATTCTCCCAACTCCCCCCCGTCCCCCCCCCCACAAAGCCCACCTCTTCTTGTCGACCTGGAGCTTGTCCAGCGCATCCAATCGGTTGATCCTGATGCACCAGTGTGTATGCGCACCACCCCCCCCCCCACCACCAACTCTCCCACTCCCCCTCCCCCTCCCCCTCCCCCCACTCCCTCCCCCCCACTCCCCAACAGCACCCCGTACCTCTTCCTGTCGACCTGCAGCTTGTCAAGAGCATCAATGCGGTTGATCTTGATGCCCGGGGTGTACTCCATCACCAGCATCTGCGACGTGGTGTACTGCCAGTACACCGTGGGCACCTTCACATAGTCCATGTCTTTAAAGTTCTCGCGGAACCGATCCGCGTTCTTCCCCTCCTTGGTGTAGTCGATTTCCTGGCAATGGTTGAGGGTTGACGCGTGGGAGGGGAGGAGAGGACAGAGCCTGGATTGCGGCCAGTACACCTTGGGCACAATGAACACCTTCACTTCACATGGCTACAGCATTACAATCACCTTTTTCCGCACTCACACTCATCTCGTACAGCACGGAGGCATTCAAGTTCTGGGCCTGAACCATCCAACGAAGTACCACCCCCCCTCACCTCACGCAACAGAGAATCGCACTCTCTCACCTCATACAGCACAGAGGTGCACTCATCATAGATGGCCACCCAGTCGCGCTTGGCGCCGTCCGACTTGGGGTCAAACTTCTGCAGGTTGACAGCCAGCACGCGCAGGTTCTTGAGGTCGATGTCGAACAGGTCCTTCAGCCCCGGCCGCTGCACCTTCAGGTGACGTCAAACACACTCCCTCACACAGCCAAAAGGCGCACTCACCTCGTACAGCACGGAGGCGCATTCGTCATAAATCGCCACCCAGTCGCGCTTGGCCCCGTCCGACTTGGGGTCGATCTTCTGCAGGTTGACGGCCAGCACGCGCAGGTTCTTGAGGTCGATGTCGAACAGGTCCTTCAGCCCCGGCCGCTGCACCTTCACCACCACCTCGCGCCCCTGCAGCCGCGCGCGGTGCACCTGCCCCAGGCTCGCCGCCGCGATGGGGTCGCGGTCGAAGCGCTCAAACACCTCGTAGATGGGCTTGCCCAGCTCCGACTCTACTATGGCTAATGCTGTGTCGGATTCAAAGGGCGGCACTTGGTCCTGAAGGGGTGTGTGCGGGAGGGGTAGACGTGAAAGGGTGGGCGTGAAGGCAGTGATGGGCTTGCCCAGCTCCGACTCCACTATGACCAGCGCTGTGTCGGGTCCTGGTGTGGGGGGGAGAGGGGAGGGTGGGGGTGTGAGGGTGTGGAGGGAGGGGGGAGGGGGGGGGGGGGGGGGGGGGGGGGGTGGTAACATGGTGAGAAGGCAGTGATTGGCTTGCCCAGCTCCGACTCGACGATTGCTAGTGCGATGTCTCACTCACAAAGGGGGTTACTTGGTCCTGGGGGTTGTGGGAAGAGGAAAGGTGCCAGGATGCTTTTCAGTCGACTCAAAAGCAGGGGTTGTGGGAAGAGGAAAGGTGCCAGGATGCTTTTCAGTCGACTCAAAAGCAGGGGTTGTGGGAAGAGGAAAGGTGACAGAAAAAGTGGGCCTGCCTGCCTGCCACCAGGCTGTTTGAGGCGCCTCAAAGCTCGCCTCCTCCAGCCACCGCGCCAGGACCAAGCACCCTAACACGCACCGCAATCCTACTGAATGTTGGGCCCGGCCGCTCACCTCATGCCTCTCACCTTGTGCCTCTCACCTCGTACCTCTCACCTGCAGCTCTGCGATGCACTCTTGAGCGAGAAGGTCCGAGGGCGTGGAGAACTGCTGGCCGATCTTGATGAACGTGGGGCCCAACCCAGCCGCAGCAGGAGCAGGCAGGGAGCGAAATCCACCTCATGCCTCTCACCTGCAGCTCTGAGAGCTCGGCAATGTACTCTTGAGCGAGGAGATCCGAGCGCGTGGAGAACTACTGCCCGATCTTGATGAACATGGGGCCCAGCCGCAGGAGGAGCGGCAGCCTGTGAGCCCCCCCAATCCTACCGAACGCCCCCCCAATCCGACCCAGCCTCTCACCTGCAGCTCCGATAGCTCCGCAATATATTCCTGCGCCAGGAGGTCCGAGCGCGTGGAGAACTGCTGGCCGATCTTGATGAACGTGGGGCCCAGCCGCAGCAACCCCTCCTTGAGCCACCGGGCCAGGTCCTGCCGCTTCTCCACCTTCTTAGCTTCTGTGATGCCCCCGCGGTACATCCACGGCCGGTTGATCAGCCACGCCTGGGGGACGGGGGAAGGGGAAGAAGGGGGGACGGGGGAAGGGGAAGAAGGGGGGACGGGAAAGGCGTACGATACGACTTTTGAGTCGACTCAAAAGTCATCTCGGTTGATCAGCCACGCCTGGGGGACGGGGGAAGGGGAAGAAGGGGGGACGGGAAAGGCGTACGATACGAGGATATGAAGGGATAGCTGGTCTTCGTGTGTCGTCCAATCAGTCGTCTGATGTGCAGTCCATTGTGACGTATTTAGCATTTCCTGGTAGTCTAGACCGTCTGATGTTCGTCTGAGTCAACTAGTGGCATTGCGGTCCAATTCACCACGCACCCGTGCCTACTTTGCCCCTTCCCTACTGTGAATACATCTCCCGTATGCGCATTCTATAAATCAACGAAAGACCATCTGAATGCGCCGATGTGCTTTTTTATTCTCTGCCTGAAATGAACACTCTGAAGTGACGCGCACATTGGCTGAGAGCCTCTATAACGCGTACCTTAACGAGGAAGGCGATAACGAAGCTCCAGATCTCGAAAGTGCGCTGGATGACGGAGTACGTCTTGAAGTGGTTCCATCGCCCGCCTGGCGTCACGGACACCTGTCAGCCACATCAACAATGCCACGTCAGAAGGGCTCGTACACGTCATATTTAAAGCGTTTCCTCGATCATCAATGACCTTCTGGCATTCAAGACTCGAGACTGCACATGAACCATGGCTGGCAGGATGCGCGACATGCTACGGACACGGCCTACAAAAGAGTATCTTGTAACGAAAACACGTCGTAGCGAGGACGAACCTGCACATTGCTAGCCCGAGCCTTCTCAAACCACGGGCGATCCTCCACTGTAAGCTCCTCCACACCTCTCGACCCCTCGCCTATCTTCTCCTCCACCACAAAAGCAGCAGCACCAGCAGTCTTCGCTGCTCCGTTCAACGCTCCGTTTGCTGCGCCATTCGCTGCGCCGTTCTTAACCACTTCCTCAGCTAGGACCATTTTCACTGCGCTTCCATTGCTGGTAGCGACAACCGTTGCTCCGACAACTTTCGCTTCCGCTCCGTTAAGAGTTACACCCGATTTGCTGTATAGCGCGCGACCGCCTTCCTCTTCCTCCGGGGTCCATGGGGAGGATTTATCGCCTTGCCTGACGCTTCCGTTAGGGGGTGATTCGATAACAGCGTTAACGCGAAGAGCGGACGGGGATCGTGCGCGGCGCAGAGAGGGCCTTGCTGGGAGAAGCAGTCGTCCGGCTGGCGTACTATGCTTTCCGAGAAACAGACTCCGTTGATTGGCGATTTTATAACGAGTATGAGCATCACGAAGAGAGGATGTGGTGTCACCTGGGCTGCTGCTCGCTGCTCTCACGGAGGAGAGGCCTGAGCAAAGCGCTTGGCTGGTGGAAGCAGCCATTGGTGCTCGAAGTCAGGACACCCAGGTAGCGGAACCTGAGCTCTGAGCACAAAAAGCCAAGACAATTCAGGAATTGGCTTGGCAAGTAGACTTATGCGACTCTCTGCGCCTGTCTGTCTGTACCTAGCACAGCGTCGGGTCGACACGACAACCTTGTTTGTGAAATTCTCAGGAATGCCGACGCTATACTAGGAAAGGAATCAGACTAGCTGCAGGCAGTGAGGAGAATGGAGAGACAGAAGCTGAGGAAATAGTCTGTCTCCACTGTTTTTCTGGTGTGTGCTCAGCTCAGCTCACCCTAACTTCTGGGAACAGTCTGGTTGAGATCGGTTGGGTTGTGGATGGATCTTTTGGACTGGGTGAAGAGCGATCGGGGAAGACCTAGAGATTGGTGGATATGGAGGGATTGGAGAAAAGGCTTGTGTGGCTGGCGAGCCAAGCAAGACGCTGCCGATTGGGCAGAGAAATGGAATGGAGAAACTCGAGAGGCTGGAATTATTCTTCGCTTGACCGACCGACAGCACATTGCAGACAAGCAGGGTGGCTGGTAGGTGTGCTCCTGAGGGTACTGTACTGTACACTTTTGCCCAACGAATAATCTGCCCAGCAAGAATCCTCTGCTCAGCTCATCCGCAGCGCTAGGTACAGACGGCCAGAATCGCGGTTCGCATCCAAAACTTCAGGAAACTTTGCGAAGAAGCGGCCACGTGTAGTCGCGATTTCCTCACACGTCCCTGACCACAAAAGTTGTGCTGGAGGAAAAGCTGGGAGCGGGGAGTGAGGATAAGCGCTGTACGCTATAACGATAGGAATGCGTGTACTGCACACAATCCATCATGTTATCATTCAACATCATGGACTTCCTCACTTCCCACTTCATAAACTTCACATTTCATGCTCAAACAACATGCAAGTCATCCTGCTTCTAATGTAGCTCTATCATGTGCAGTGCCTGTAGTCACATTTCTAGCGAATCAGGTGCTAGTGCGATGGGGCAAGGGAAAGGCAACGAATGACTAGTATGTCGAGAGACCCGCTAGGGTTACCCTTGAGAAGATCCTCGGGGAAGGGCCACAGGTGCAGAGCCTGGGGTCGATGGGCGCACTGACTCGCTATTAATAAGCCCTCTTAACTCAATGGTTAGTGACTGAGTTCTGACATAGTAATATAACACATTGCATTACATGTTTATTCATTGAACCAATGACCTCGTCCGATATATACTTAAATTGGAGACATTTGTTTTCCAAGGTAGATTCCACTATAGCCACATTAGAGTGCATTGCTCGTGAGGCATTAGTGGATAATATCAGAATTAGAATTGAATAATCGTAAAGTGAGAGTACACACAAATATACCTAAGTGTTGTACCCTCTAAGAGGTAACCCTATACAGTCTATACAAACATAACAAATACAGATGTTTGACACACCCCCTAGACTGCATAGGGGAATACCCTAAACAAGCAGCTCAGGGCGGCACTACTAGTCCAACCTCTGAGACAAGGGTCTGAGAGACCAGTCAGAAGGAGTACAGACAAGGCAAGAACAAGACCAGGGCGGCACTACTAGTCCAGCCACTGGGAGAGGACACAAGTCCAGTCTGAGTATACATATAAAGGACAGTACAAGTCAAGGTCCTAGCAAGTGAGAAGCGACAGGAACTAGACCAAGCTGTACACAGTGCCGCTGATGATCTTTAGGCGCAAGCGCCTTCGTAAAGATATCAGCTGTGTTGGCACCTGAGGCCAAGTGTACTACGCGAGCCTGACGTCGCTGCTGTAGCTCACGCAGGAGGAAGTACCGCAGCTGAATGTGCTTCGCTCTGCCCTCGAGTCGAGGCTCCTGACACAGGAGGATCATGGCCCTGTTGTCAGCGAACAGGACCGGGGCAGAGCTAGGCCGCTCACCTAAGTCAGTGAGCAAGAAGGTCAGCCAGCGGAGCTCCTGTGCCGCCATGGCACCAGCGTAGATCTCAGCCTCACAGCTGGACTGTGCAACAGACAAGGAGCGAGTAGCTCTTCACGAGACGGCACCTGAGCCAAGGCTGAAGCAGTAGCCCTGGGTAGACCTGAGTGTCTCAGCGTCGTCTGCCCACGAAGCGTCTGTGTGTCCAGTAAGGACCACTGGCCTGCGTCCTCCAAGCACTAACCCCATGCCCGATGTACTAGCAAGATAACGCAGAACCCTCTTAGCGGCAGACCAGTGCTGCGGTCGGTGTCTGCCTGTGGCCACAAAGCGCGCCAGGATGCTGAGAGGGTATGCGAGATCTGGGCGAGTGCAAGTCATCAGGTACATGAGGCAACCCACCAGCTCTGCGTAGGGGCCGCTGGGCTCTACCAACTCCTCAGGTACTGGAGCGGAGAGTCTGTGGTCTACAGGCAGAGGGGTGGGCTGTGCAGAGGAGAACTGAAGGCTGAACCTCTGAAGGACCTGGCGCACCAAGTGTGACTGAGTCAGGGTGATGGTGCGCGCAGCTCTGTCCCTGGTGATCTGCAAGCCAAGGTAACGGCGCAGTTCTCCAAGGTCAGTGCAGGTGTGTCTCTTCAGCAGCTCTGCCTTCACGGAGGCCAGTGCGTCCCTGTCTGCCGTGGCAAAGACCAGGTCGTCGACGTAAACAAGGATGTAGAACGGAGTCTGGCCAGCACGAACGAAGAGTGAAGGGTCTGCGGAAGACGGAAAGAACTTCAGGTCAGCAAGGGTAGCACGGAGAGTGTCGTGCCACTCACGGGGAGCCTGGCGCAGGCCGTAGACGGGGCGCCGCAGGAGCCACTGGGTCCCAGGAGGGAAGGTGCCAGTAAAGCCCGGAGGGCGACGCAGGTAGACCTGCTCGTGTAGGCTGCCCTGAAGGAAGGCAGTGGAGAAGTCGAGGGAGTGAAGCTCGTAGTCACGCTGAGCAGCTAGGTGTAACAGAACCCGAAGAGTAGTCATCTTCGGGGTCGGAGCGAAAGTCTGGAAGAAGTCCACCCCCTCGCGCTGACTGAAGCCTCTAGCCACATAGCGCGCCTTGAAGACAGGCGGTTCTCCAGGAGGGCGCTTCACCTTGAAGAGCCAGCGGCCATCGACTACGTTCACCCCAGGTGGGGGAACTGCGTCGACGAAGGTGCCGGTGGATCTCCAAGATGCCATCTCCTGCTCCATGGCAGCTATCCACTGCGAGGCCCAGGGTCCCGAAGTTGACTCAGCGTAAGTGCGAGGGGTCGGGATGTCGAAAGCGTCTGGGTCACCCTCAGGGACTAGCAGCATGGAACAGAGATGGGGAGCAGCCTCGGAGAGGAAAGCAAGCTCGAACTGGCGGTCCTCCAGGACGTCACTGCCAAGGGCAGGAGCACCCCCGACAGACGGAGGACAGGCAGGGTCAGAGACCAGAGCGGTGGCGTAGTCAAGGCGGCGGGTAGAGGCGAAGTCAGCGACAGCAGCGACAAGAGCGTCAAGGCACGAGACCGGAACAGACGGGTCGGAAACGAGAGAGGCAAGGACCCGAGGAACGAGAGGACGAGCGGCACGAAGGTAGTCGGACAGCGGGGGGGGCGCAACAACAAGGGAGGACGGAGGAGGCGACGGGAGAAGGGGAGGACGAGACCGTGGGAACGAAGCAACATAGGGTGGGAGCGCAAGACAGGCGAGGCAGGACGAGCACGGGAGGGGCGGTGAGACCAGGCGTGCGACGGAGGAGTCGGGTCAGGAGACAGGGGAGGGGACACAGGAGGGGAACGAGGGGGGAGACGAGCCGGGGACGAGTCCGGCGGAGGAAAAACAGGGCCGTAGACAGGAAGAGGAGGAGACGGCCGGGGAGGAACAGACGCAGGGTCGGGTGACGGAAGGCCGAGCAGGCGAAGGGCGGACACCGGCGGGGACCGCTGCTGCGGCGGCACAACGGCGACACCTGGAGCGCAAGCTGCTCCTCGGCTACCACCGGCACTCTCCACACCAGCACCCCCAGAGGGACCACCCCCAGGGCGACCGGGACGAGCACCCCCAGAGTCAGCGAACGGGGGCTGCGACGGCGGCAGCGGCGGCGGCGGAGGCGACGGCGGCAGCGGCGGCGGCGGCGACGACGACGGCTGCAGCAGCGGTAGTGGCGGTGGAGGAGGGGACTGGGGAGGGGACACCTGGGGAGGGGCGGTCGGCGAGGACTGCACAGGAGGGCCACCCGAGTCAGAAGACTCCTCAACCGGGTCCACGGACGGAAGGGGGGTGACGTGGGACACACCAGAGGGGGCGGGACGGGGAGGAGGAGGAGGAGGGGCAGGGACTACCGGGGAAGGGGTGACGAGGAACAGGGGGGGGGTAACCGGGGGACCACGTTTGGGAAAGCGGCGGTAGTAGGAGACGGACTCGTCAAAGGTGACGTCACGAGAGTGAAAGAAGCGGTGAGACGGCGGGTGGTAAAAGTGCCAGTCGGACGCGTCAAGGGGAAAACCGAGGAAGACGCAGGGAAGGGTGCGGGCAGTGAGCTTGTCCGTGCTGGAGGCACGGACGTGAGCAAGGCAGCCCCAGACGTGGAACGCAGACGCGTCACCAGGAGACCCAGTCCAAAGACGGGTCGGCGAAACCTGCGGCTGCTGAGGGTGCGGCCACAGGTTAAGCTGGTGAGACGCGTAGCGCACAGCGAACGGCCACAGAAAATGGGGTGCACCGGCATGGATCATGGAGATGCGAGCGACCTCCATGACCAAACCGATGCGTCGCTCAGCGACCCCATTCTGCTGTGGGGAGTCCGGTAGGGTGAACGTCTGGGTGATGCCCTCCGCACGACAAAAGCGACCAAGGACACCGGAGGCAAACTCGCCACCACGGTCTGAGTGAAGACGCAAGACAGGGAGACCGCGGTGGACACGCGCAGAGACAAGCCAGGGGATGAGAGCGCCAGGCACGTCGGCCTTGCGCTCCAGGGGAAAGACTGTGGTGTAACGAGTGAAGTCGTCGACAAGCACAAGGAAGTAGCGCTCTCGACGCGGCCCAGGGACGGGGGCGGGGCCCCAGACGTCCAGGTGCAGGGTCTGCAGCGGCGCGGCGGTAGGGGGAAACGAGGAGGAGTGAGGGGCACGGCGAAGCCGACCCTCGACACAAGGCGTGCAAGGGGGGGCGGGAGAGGAGGGAAACGCGGGGAGCGAACCTGGGAGACCAAGGACGAGACCGTGCTGGGACATGTGACGCAGACGCGGGAGCGCAGGGTGACCTAGGCGGTGGTGCCACAGGAGGGTCGGGTGAGTGAGGGAGCGACAGGAGCAGGCAGCAGCAACCTGGGTAGACGCAGCCACCTGAGGGGGCGCTCCAGCCGGGGGGGTCACGGTGTCCAGAGTGAACAGGCCGGACACCGGGTCCCGGGGGAACGTGGACAGGGGGGCACCAGTGGCGGCCTCGGTACAGACAGCATACCGCTCATGGCCAGGGAACGTAGTGGTGACGCCAAGGTCCTGGAGGCAGCCGACACCAACTAGGTTCCTGGAGAACGAGGGGATATGCAGACCTGTAAGAGAACCCGAAGGAACCGCCGGACAGGGAAGGGTGGTGGAACTGCGGGCGACTACCGGACCGCCGGAGGGGTCAGCAAGAGAAACGGCAGCAGGAACAGGAAGCGGCGTCAGGGTGGTGGAGTCGCGGAAGAAACACCGAGAGGCGCCAGAGTCCAAGGTGAAGGAAAGCGAAGCCGAGGGGTCTGGCGATGGAACGACGGCGGAAGCACCAAGACTACACAAAGCAGGGGATCCTACGCCTGACGCAGCAGGGGAGGCTAAGCTAGGCACACCTACACTAGGCAACAGTGAGTAATAAGCGGGAAGCACACTAGAGTCATCAGCATACAGCACATGCAGAGCGGAAACAATGGCATCCATGTCCATATCAAAAATCTGAATCTGACGACTAAGCAAACTGTGCCAGTCCGGGAGGTCTGGCGACGGGCCGAAGCGCTGACGAAAGAGGTCGTCCAAGCGACGAAAACAGCGGGGAGTGGAGTGACCGATCTTACCGCAAACGAAGCCGCGGCGAGGACCGGTCTGGATCTGGTACTGACAACGCCCGCCGCCAGAGCCACCACGTGGCACACCACCACGCGCCCGGCCACCGCCAGCGCCGGGCCACCCTGGCGGGAGGACACTCGTCTGCCGCGTCTGCGACGGCTGCTGCGGCTGCTGCGAAGGCTGCGACTGCGGCGGCTGCTGCTGCTGCTGCACCTGCAGGGGCGGCGACTCAGCTGAACTGGGCAGGGCCCCCTCGTCCACTCCAGCACCAGGCGACCCGACCCCACCACTACCCCCGCCCGCACCCCCGCCGCCTCCTCCGCCGCGCCTAGCCTTGGGGCGGCGGCCCTTCCCCGAACGGACCTGCGCTGCAGCAGCAGTCTCAGCCACTGCGGCAGAGCCGTCGGAGAAGGTGCACTGAGCGGGGGCACAACCCTGAAAGATAGGGACCGGCACGACACCGCTCGCCTGGGCGATGGAGCGGTGACGGGTCTCTATCACAGTCAGGGTGTCTACAAAGTCAGTGAGGGTGAGGTCTGCGGGGTGAACGCTAAAAAAGCGGTCGCGGGCGACAGCAAGGCGGTCAGGGAGGCGGGTGGCAAGCAGGTAGAGGGTAGAGGTAATGGGCGGCTGGTGGGCTCTAAGCTGGGCGTCAGTGCAGGCAGCGCGCCAGGTCTCATCTATCGAGCGCAGGTGGGCAGCGAGGTCAGAGACAGTGGGGAAAGATGCAAGGTCAGGAAAGAGCATCGGAAGGATCAGGCGACCCACCGAGGCAGCCGGAGGGGTGGAATAGCGCTTGATCACAGCATCTAAGTATGCCTGAGCAGTAGTGAGGGACCTAAAGCGAGGACGCTCGGATGGGGGAAGGGCGTTGCTAATGGCAAGCTGGGCAACAGCATCGCGAGAAAGCCAGACAGAGCGCGCACGGGCAGTGGCAGCAGTAGACTCACGCTCAGTGGGTGTGGGGTCAGCGGGCAGAATAGCAGGGGGGTCTGGGCAGGGGAGCGTACCGTCAAGGTGTGTGGAAAGCGGTTCACCATCCTGCCGCTGGCCAGTGAGTTGGCGGCGGAGGTCGGCAAGCCACGCCTCGAACTCTAGGGGCTGACCTTCAGCGTCGAAGCGAAGCTCCGCCGCCATCAGGAACAGTCCAGTGCGGTGCAGGGCAGTGCAGTGCGGTGCAGTGCGGTGCAGTGCGGTGCAGCGCGGTACAGTGCGGTGCAGTGCGGTATAGTGCGGTGCCAGGCACTACAATGTGGTGCGGGGCGGCACGGAGCAGGGCGGGGTGGGGGGGAACCGTACCAGTGCGGAGGACGGGGCCGGGGCTGGTCCGACGGGGCCGGGCGGGCGCGACGGGGCCGGGCTGGTGCGACAGGGCCGGGACGGGGCGACGGGGCCGAGCGGGCGCGACGGGGCCGGGCTGGGGCGACGGGGCCGGGCGAGTGCGGCAGGGCCGGGCCGGTGCGACGGGGCTGGGCGAGCGGGACGGCGGCCGGGCGGGTGCGACGGGGCTGGGCGGCTGCGACGAGGCCGGGCGGGCGCGACGGGGCCAGGCGGCTGCGACGGGGCCGGGCGGGCGCGACGGGGCCGGGCGGGTGCGACGGCGCCGGGCGGGCGCGACGGGGCCGGGCGGCTGCGACGGCGCCGGGCGGCTGCGACGGGGTCGGGCAGGGCGCGACGCGGCCCAGGAGGGGCGCTACGGGGCCCAGGAGGGGCACGACGGGGCCCAGGAGGGGCGCGACAGAGCCCAGGAGGGGCGCTACGGGGCCTGGGAGGAGCGCGACGGGGCCCAGGAGGGGCGCTAGGGGGCCTGGGAGGAGCGCGACGGGGCCTGGGAGGGGCGCGACGGGGCCTGGGAGGGGCGTTACAGGGCCCAGGAGGGGCGCTACGAAGCCCAGGAGGGGCGCGACGAGGCCCAGGAGGGGCGCTACGGGGCCCAGGAGGGGCGCGACGGGGCGCTACGGGGCCTGGGAGGAGCGCGACGGGGCCCAGGAGGGGCGCTAGGGGGCCTGGGAGGTGCGCGACGGGGCCTGGGAGGGGCGCGACGGGACCTGGGAGGGGCGTTACAGGGCCCAGGAGGGGCGCTACGAAGCCCAGGAGGGGCGCGACGAGGCCCAGGAGGGGCGCTACGGGGCGCTACGGGGCCTGGGAGGAGCGCGACGAGGCCCAGGAGGGGCGCTAGGGGGCCTGGGAGGAGCGCGACGGGGCCTGGGAGGGGCGCGACGGGGCCTGGGAGGGGCGTTACAGGGCCCAGGAGGGGCGCTACGGGGCGCTACGGGGCCTGGGAGGAGCGCGACTGGGCCCAGGAGGGGCGCTAGGGGGCCTGGGAGGAGCGCGACGGGGCCTGGGAGGGGCGCGACGGGGCCTGGGAGGGGCGTTACAGGGCCCAGGAGGGGCGCTACGAGGTCCAGGGGGGGGGGGCGCGACGAGGCCCAGGAGGGGCGCTACGGGGCCCAGGAGGGGCGCGACGGGGCGCTACGGGGCCTGGGAGGAGCACGACGGGGCCCAGGAGGGGCGCTAGGAGGCATGAGCGGAAGCGGGAGGTGGGGGGGGATCCTACCTACGCGTGATACCATATCAGAATTAGAATTGAATAATGGTAAAGTGAGAGTACACACAAATATACCTAAGTGTTGTACCCTCTAAGAGGTAACCCTATACAGTCTATACAAACATAACAAATACAGATGTTTGACAGATAATGCCATGGAAAGATGCAATTCTGAGAGTGCATAGAGGTGGAGGAACATCCCGCATTACAACTGGGAAGCCCTATGCCCATACGTTATTATAATCTTGAATCTCTGGTATTGAGGGTGCCTGCCTACCTCATTTAGTGTGCAACAAACATGAAGATAGCCATAAGCCCATGAGCAATTTTGCACACATTTAGCAACTGCACTGCTCGTTGTGCCTTGTATAAGTGGCAGCGTGATCATGGCGTCAATCCCAAGGCCACGAACAAATTTCTGTTCACGTTTCTTCCGCCTCGTATCTGCGACCATCAATGATCGCCATTCCTCGCTCTGGCTCTCAGGCACTGAAAGCAGCTGCATCTCTCCAGCATCTGCGTCGTAATGTTTCCTTAGCCGCCATTTCCGCGTCCTCCATAGCACCCGCACTTAGCCAGCTGACAGCACACAGGAACACGCGCTGGCCGAAATGCCTCCTTCCCCATAGCCGCCTCGCCAGCAGCTGTCCGGTTTATCTCTTTTCCCGCTCTCAACCTCCATATTCTCCTCCGTCAAAGCTCTCTCCGCATCTCCCGCCGCTTTCATCAGCACCTGACGATAGGATCTTGCGCATTGGCGTTCGACCTGCTCGCTGTGCCAGCATGGGGTATGGCCACAGCAACGCCGGAAATCCGGAGAAGCCGGCAGGTGCAGGACCGTCGGATCTAAGCCCGGAAAAGAGGGAGGGGGGCACGAGGAGGAGGGAGCGGACGAGGGGGGGGAAGGGGACGATGCGGGGTGGAGAGGAAGAGGGAGGCGAGAGGGGCAAGGGAGGGGATTCTAGGCGAGTTAAGGAGAGGGTGACTAGAGATAGAGGCAACAATGGGGCAAATGGGGGGAAGGGGGAACGCAGGGAGCGTGGGGAGCGCAGGGGGGGAGGCGGAGGTGTGGGGGGAGAAGAGGGAGCCGCATTGATGATTCCGGAGTTCTTGGCTGTTGGGGGGGGAGCAGGCGCACGGGGGAAAGAGGGTGAGGACTTTGAAGAAGCATGGGGATGGTATTCATGGGGATGGCATTCATGGGGATGGTATTCATGGGGATGGTATTCATGGGGATGAGTCGTTATGGGGGAGATGTGATGATGGTTGGGGATAGTACTTATGGGGATGGGGATTGGCACCTGATTGGCTGGCGGATGGAGAGGCCAGGCCATAAGCAGACAAGATTAAACCCTGCCACTGCATATCTTGTTCCGGATGGCATGATTTGGGATGGGATGATTTAGGATGGCCTTATCTGGAGCGCTACGTTCACCTTCCCTTCATCTCTCTCTCGCCTGCTCCTCCCTCCCTGCCTCCTTCCCTTTCCCTCTCCGCCTCCCGTCCTTCCTTCCTGCAGGTCTGTCGCTCCGTGTGGTCTCCTACAATGTTCTGGCTCAGGCATGTTAAGCTGTGACTGGCTCTTGCATGCGATGCTGTGTCATGCGAAGGCAAGCACTGAGATATGCCTGTCACTGAGGCATATCTTTGAGGCGCCTCAAAGATATGCCTGTCACTCCGCGTGGTCTCCTACAATGTTCTGGCTCAGGCACATGATTTTTGAGTCGACTCAAAAATCTCCTGCAGGCCTGTCACTCCGCATGCTCTCCTACAATGTTCTGGCTCAGGCAGGTTTCGCTGCCCTGTGACATTGCTTGTTGCAAATTATCCTCCGTTCAGTGTGTACTTGCTTTCAGTGTACAATTGAACATTACTCTTGTGTACTTTCTTTCAGTATCCTCGTTAACAGCATTCCTGTCAGGTACGCCAGCCATGGCTGGCTGACGCACGTATGGATCATTCACTTCATCTCTTGCCTGCGCCACCATGCGAAGCTCTCTTCCTTGCTACTTGCAACACAGACTCACTGTGTCTCTCTGAGCATGCGCATGTGCATGTGCATGTGTATTTATTTCTGTGACCATGTGCGCATGTGATATCCATGTCTGTCTGTGTGAGTATCTCTCAGGCATACGTCAAGAGTGAGCTATTCCCCCACTCACCACCGCAGTGCCTCAGGTAGAGCTCCTGCTCTCCGTTTCGACTGTGTTTTTGTGGTACAATCTGTAAACGAAACCGTTTTCCCGGTTACTCTTCTAAGAGAAGCTTCTTCATTTCCTCCTCCTCCAACTATTCCCCTTCCCCCCCCCCCTTTTCCTCCTCTTCCTCCCCCCCCCACCAGGCAGAGGAACCGCTTCAAGGCGCTTCTGACTGTGCTGCCAGCTCTCTCTGCTGACTTCCTCTGCGTGCAGGTTAGTATCGCGTTGCATTAGTTTCTCTGGGAATGCTCCCATGTGCCCCATGCTCCCATGTGCCCCATGCTCCCCTGTGCCCCATGCTCCCATGTGCCCCATGCTCCCATGTGCCCCATGCTCCCCTGTGCCCCATGCTCCCATGTGCCCCATGCTCCCCTGTGCCCCATGCTCCCATGTGCCCCATGCTCCCATGTGCCCCATGCTCCCCTGTGCCCCATGCTCCCATGTGCCCCATGCTCCCATCATGCTGCGTCTCCTGAATGCAGGAGATGGACGAATACGAGGCGGCGTATCGCCAGCCCATGGCAGCAGCGGGGTGGGCGAGCGTTTGTCTACAGCTGAATGGGCGATTTTGTATCATACCCCATACATGAACGCCCCCCACCCCTCCTTCCCCTCCCGCCCCCCCATCCCCTGCAGGAGATGGACGAATACGAGGCGGTGTATCGCCAGCCCATGGCAGCGGCAGGCTGGGAGAGCGTGTACATGAAGCGGCCTGGCAAAAAGAGGGATGGGAGCGGCATATTCTACCGATCCAGCAGGTGAGGGAGCCTAGGGGCTTGTTTAGTGGTCAGTCCTAAGGGCATGCAGCATAGCCATTCCAAATTGTGAGCTATGTGAAGCTCTGTAGAGGCCTGGCAGGAGGATGGATGAAAGCGCTAGCTCTACAGACCACAGGTCCAACAGGTGAGGGAGAGTAAGGGCTTGTTTTGCAGCATGAGGAGCGACTAATTCAGAAATGCATGTGAGGAGAGGAGTTGTGGCTAGAAGAGAGTTGGGAGCAGCATTTTCTGTAGGTCCGGGAGCTACTTATGGCGATTGCATTGCATTGCATTCCATTGCATTGCTCTGCGGGTTTCCCTCCGTGCTTGGTTTCCCTTTGTCCATACCATGCGTTTCTGGGTCCTGGTTCCTCTACTTTCTTTCTGCTCCAGATTTCGCCTGCTGCGCTCGCAGCCGATCAGTTTCAACAACCTGATTCCTCCAATCCAGCAGCCCCGAGATGTCACAGCAGCCTTTTCAGCACCCAGTCCCCACTCGTCTGAAGAATCCGCCCGCACCACCACCAGTCCTCCCGACTCGTCTGAATCCCGTGACCTGTGCGACCCCCATGTCCGGTTCAAGCGCGACTGTGTCGCCATTGTGGCCGCGTTTCAGGAGAGGATGGGAGAAGTGGCAGAGGATGGGGAGAGCGAGGCGGGAGGGGGGGAGGTTAGAGAAGGGACGGGAGGGAGTGGAGGTGGGGGTCAGAGTGAGAAGGAGAGAGAAGGGGAGGGAGGGAGTGGAGGGGATGTAGGGCAACAGAGACCGGGGCGAGTGGTGGTGGTGGCTTCCTCTCACATCTTCTGGTAGGTTTCTTGCTGTTTTTAGGCACCTCAAAACGTTCAGATTTGATTATGTGAATCATCGTGACTCACTTCTATTCATTGCGTGCTAAGTTTCGCTTCACTAGCCCCTCTACCATGCTATGCACCATGCCATGCACCATGCCATGCACCATGCCATGCACCATGCCACGCACTATGCCATGCACCATACCATGCACCATGCCATGCACCATGCTATGCACCATGCCATGCACCATGCCATGCACCATGCCATGCACCATCACCATGCACCATGCCATGCACCATCACCATGCACCATGCCATGCACCATGCCATTCACCATGCCATGCACCATGCCATGCACCATGCCATGCACCATGCCATGCTCCATGCCATGCACCATGTTATGCATCATCACCATGCACCATGCCATTCACCATGCCATTTACCGTGCCATTCACCATGCCATTCACCAGCTATGCACCATGCAACATGTTCTGTGTACAGCCCTTTAAACCATACCATACCACACCATGCACCATCTCCCTCCAGGGACCCCGCGAGTGCTGATGTGAAGCTGGCGCAAGCAGAGTACCTGCTGCACCGGGTGGCAAGGCTGCAACCTCTCTTGCCCTTACCCCCTCGGTGTATAACCCCTTACGTCATACCATACCATGCCATGCACCATATGCTCCAGGGACCCCCAATGTGCTGATGTGAAGCTGGCTCAAGCACAGTACCTGCTGCAGCAGGTGGCACACTTCCGAACCTCCTTAGCATCGACATTGACGCACAGCCACTCGTGTACAGTCACAAGCACAGGGGTCATCACACCAATCACCATCATCTGCGGCGATTTCAACTCCCTCCCTGGCGACCCTGTGAGTTTAATTCCACAAATTCTACACTCGTGCTTCACAGCACAGCGGACAGCACTCCCTGTACCATCATAAGTGGTGATTTCAACTCCCTCCCTGGTGTCCCTGTGGGTCTAGTTCCACAGATTCTACACTCGTGCTTCCTTCCCTTTCCAGTTCTAGGACTACAGATTCTACGGCTGTTGCTTGCCCCTCCCATCCGTGCTTGCTCTGTCACTTTTAGCCTTCGTGGCTTCCTCCCCTCCCACCTTCCCTCCCATCTTCTCACTCATTCCCAACACCCCATCCTCTCTCTCGTCTTCCCTCTGTCGCTCCCGTTTCTCCCACGTCAGGTCTACAAGTACTTGACGTCAGGAGCAGCAACACCATTAGAAACAGCAGCAGGAAGAGCACCAGAAGCCGCAACACCATTAGAAACAGCAGCAGGAAGAGCACCAGAAGCCGCAACACCATTAGAAACAGCAGCAGCAGTGGGAAGAGCACCAGAAGCCGCAACACCATTAGAAACAGCAGCAGCAGTGGGAAGAGCACCAGAGGCCGCAACACCATTAGAAACAGCAGCAGCAGTGGGAAGAGCACCAGAGGCCGCAACACCATCAGCTGCTTCCCCCACGGCACCCATACCACTGGCAAGCCTTCATGCCACAGCTGGCAGCCTCCTATTGGCTGCTGAATCAGGTGATGATGGAGTTGGAGCAGGAGGGACTGGGGGGGCAGCAGCAGTACCAGAGGCACAGACACTGCCAACCAACGGCGGGGAACAAGTGACTGGTGATCTGGGCTATAATGCCTTGAACAGAGAACAGGTGACTGAGAGACAGGTTGGGCAAGAGCCGGAGCTATCAACATTCAACCCACCCTTTTGTGGAACGATTGACTATGTCCTTATATCGAAGGACGCAGGGTCATTTTCAGTGGAGTCTACTCTTTGGCTCCCTAGCAGGTCGGACTCTAGGCTTGGCAAGGGGCTTCCGAATTTGTATTTCCCCAGCGATCATCTCCCTGTAGGCGGTGACATCTGGTTTGCGTAACAATGGAAACCTGCAGCCCAAATTGCAAGCCGTGCAGGTCTCAAACACTGCATTTGAAACCCGATGAACAGAGCAGAGCAGAGTAATCAGGCTCCAGTCGGGGACTTCCCCCTTTCACGGGACATGTAGCCATTAAGCGTTAGGGTGGGCAGCAGCGGAGAGGAAAAACTTTAGCAAAAGAGTGACAGTTTAAAAAGATACCCCTGTTCAAAAACCGAGAATTTGAAACTCCGAGCTCAACTCCACTAGAAGATTAAAACGCAAACTAGTTTCGGCTGACTGGGACAGGCCCCAAATCAGACCTTCATCAGTGCTGGTGGAATTATAAAAGTGAGTTTACAAGCGAGCTCTTAAACAGAAAACTGCGCTACGAGAACAACAACTTCAAGGTTGGAACAACCGCGACTGAAATCTGGTCAGCCAATCCAAAACACCCTGGAAAGCTCCAAGGTGCCAGGTCTTCATTCCTCGGGACGTGTCGTGGGTAACCCACATCTCGTCAGCTGGTGCTCAGGGAGCCTCGCGCGAACAAGTAACTTTTGCAAGTTACGCCCAGCCTTCCATGCGACAAAAATTCTCTCAGTGTATAATCCGTGTGTAATGAGTCGATTTTTTAGTCGACTCAAAACGACCCCTAGTTTTAGACGGGCCGACACATGTGTGTAGGTCGTCTTCAGAACTAGGGGTCCACGTGATGAGGGGAGAGAATGTCGACGAAGTTGCTGGTTCGCGAGAGTGTTGGCGAGTAGTGTTGCGCGTTGCGCGAAAAGGACGCCCTTGAAGATCGGTTGAAGGAAAGCAGGGTGGTAACCTCGGTCACGAAGCCGCTGGAAGAAAGCGTGCTTCGTTGCAAGAAAAGTGCGCATGGAGGTCGAACGCAGTAGGTAACGCTGTAGTTCGGCGCGTATGAAACCTTCCTTGCAATGCCGGGGGTGGAAAGAGGAGAAGGGAAGGTAGAGGTATCTGTTCATCGGCTTCTGAAAAGTGCCGAGGTCAAGACGACCACACTCCTTGAAACGCTGCCCTTTGTGAAGGACAACATCCAGAAAATCAACGGAGTGCTCCGAGATATTCCACGTGATCCTGATGGAAGGATCCAAGCCGTTGAAAGTTCGCAAGTACTCCTCCAGGTCAGCCCGCGAGCCTGGCCAAATGATAAGGCCATCGTCGATGTAACGGACGTGGTAACTTGGTGATATCCCGGTCCACCTCTCCTTGAGTAGCTCGTCGAGACGGCTCATGAAGAGGACCGCAAAGCAGACTGCGACTGGAGTTCCCATCGCAGTGCCTTGTACTTGATGAAAAATCCTGCCGTCGAATTCCACGAAAGAATTCCTCATGACCCATCCCAAGAAAGCCATGAGCGGTTGAGCGAGCTGTGTTGGTGCCCTCAGAAGAAAATTGCTAACTGCTTCGAGCCCTCGATCGATGGAGATGCTTGGGTAGAGCGAGGTGACATCGTAGGTGGCCAGAAGTACAGTCGGTGGAAAAACCGTAGCTTCCAGCTTCGTTAACAAAGAGAGGGAGTCGCGCAGGTAGGTCGGTTGTTTGAGTACTAGCGGTCGTAGTTGGGAATCCAGCCATCGGCTCACATTAGTCGTGACCCAGGAGTGTGAGGCGGCGATCGGTCGTCCCACGGGTACTTTCTTGTGGAGCTTCGGCAGGATATAGAATGCCGCTGGTCGCCAACCTTCTGGCGGTCGATCGAAAAAGTATTTCCAAAGACTGTCAGGAAAAGCAGGTCCCCACGTCGCCTTCAGCTCTACCAGTTGCTGTAGAACAGAAGGAGTTGGGTCATAACGAACCGGCTGGTACACTGTCGCGTCGTCAAGATGCTCCATGCAGAGAGCGACGTAGTGCGCGCGGTCCATCACAGTTACTCCGACGTTTTTATCAGCAGGTTTGATGACGATGTCGCTGTCGAGCGATAAGGAGCGTAAAGCCGTGCGGACTCCTCGTGAAAGGTTGAGTCCCCGTGACGGCTTACACGCTTTCAGCAGGAAAGATAGGTCGGCTCACGCCTCCTTGAAGACATGCTCCGGGACCACGTCCCGCTCGGGTCTCCAGCTTGGATTCTTCACCCGGAAACGTGATGAGGCTGAAGACCCTTGATCCTTGAAGAAAAAACTGAGGGAGATCCGTCGATGCAGTTGATCCAGATCTGCTTCGATGGAAAAATTCCATGGCAGCGTAGGTACGAATTTGAGTCCCATCCCGAGCGCTTTGGTTTCGTCGTGAGATAAACCCTTAGAGCTCAGGTTGTGTACCCCCCGGTTCCGAATGCGTGACTGCAGCTGCCGTAAAGTCAGTCGTCCGAACCGGCGGAGTGCGAGATCTCGTGTAGTTAGTTCTTGCGCAGCCCTTTTCCTGGGCCGCCGCCGCCGTTTTTTGGAACTTGGGCCGTAGTTGAGGAAGATTGTTGGCCTTTCCCTCCGCTGCCGCCTGGAGACTTCGTTTTCTTCTTGCCTTTCCCTCGCTTCTTCGGAGCCTTCGGTACATCTGCCTTGTTCCCAGAAGAGTTACTCTTCGGGTTCTTGGACGGGTCCGCCTTGGGCTTCGAAGACGAGGGGGCCGGTTTAGGATCCTGCGATCCCATCGACAAACTCTTCTGAAACTTCGCAGTCAGCTTCGCCTCGACGCTCGCAGTGACGTTCGCCGTAACGCTCGCCACAACTTCCTTGCGCATCGCCTCGACTTGCTGCTTAGTAGCTTTCAGCACGAGTTCATCGAGTACCGGAGCCGTTTCCATTTTCTCCATCTCTTCAGCAGCAGCAGCTTTCTTCAACTCTTCAGCTTCACGTGCCTTCTGCTTGTACAGTTCCTGGATGACAATCTCATCCTTGGCGGTGACGATCTCAGACTTGGCCTGCTCGATGCACGATGCTTTGATCTTCCGGAAGCGCTCTTTAGCCGCATCAGATACGGTGAGCTCAGGGTCGGAGCTAAGGCCTTGTATGTAGTCTTCGAGGTTGGCCGCCAGAACTGCCACGTGAGAGGCTGATGCTGACTGAATTTCCTCAACCTCCGCCTCCTTGGACTTGATGAAATCCTCCTGAATGCGCTTCTGGTTCTCGAGATGAACCAAGGCGACCGATGCAGCCGACTTTTCCCGCGTCAGAGGGTACTTGGTCTGGAACTCCGCGACCTTGGTGCGAAGGCTGTGCAGAATCACACCTTGCTCGTAGAGGGCCTTCATCTTCTTCAGTTTAGACTTCGCCTTGAGGAGTGCCTTGAAGTCCGTCCTGAAGCCCTTGACCGCCGCCGCCGTCCAGCCTTTGAAAGGCTCCGGAATGTGAGACACGCGATCGGTAGTCGGGTTGACAGAAGCCTGATCCACAGGCTTGCCGTCTTTCTGGACGTCCATGTCGGCCATGCCGGGAGAATCCTCAGATTGCTTGTCTTGCTCATCTTCCTCGCGAATCGATGCAGAATTTCCAACTCCTTTGCCGGTGCGGGAACGCTTGTAACCTGCGTAGGTCTTGGAGGAGTGGTCCGCTCCGCGTGGAATCAGTGCGAAACTCGTATCTTCTTCGCCGGCGTCACCCAAAGAAATTGGGAAACCCAATGAACTTGTAGCCATTAAGCGTTAGGGTGGGCAGCAGCGGAGAGGAAAAACTTTAGCAAAAGAGTGACAGTTTAAAAAGTTACCCCTGTTCAAAAACCGAGAATTTGAAACTCCGAGCTCAACTCCACTAGAAGATTAAAACGCAAACTAGTTTCGGCTGACTGGGACAGGCCCCAAATCAGACCTTCATCAGTGCTGGTGGAATTATAAAAGTGAGTTTACAAGCGAGCTCTTAAACAGAAAACTGCGCTACGAGAACAACAACTTCAAGGTTGGAACAACCGCGACTGAAATCTGGTCAGCCAATCCAAAACACCCTGGAAAGCTCCAAGGTGCCAGGTCTTCATTCCTCGGGACGTGTCGTGGGTAACCCACATCTCGTCAGCTGGTGCTCAGGGAGCCTCGCGCGAACAAGTAACTTTTGCAAGTTACGCCCAGCCTTCCATGCGACAAAAATTCTCTCAGTGTATAATCCGTGTGTAATGAGTCGATTTTTTAGTCGACTCAAAAATCGACTCGTTACAGTCGGGGAATTCCCCCTTTCATGGGACATCACATCACACTCCTCACTATCTTCTAACTATTTCGCAAAACCACGTGGCCATCTTTCCAAACGCACTGCATGCGGTCTGTTTGGCCAAAACTTGCAGTCTTGTCTCAAGTGGGCAAAAAATATTATAAGGTATGCCTGACACATCACAGCCTCACTCACAGGTTTCCAGCAGCAATGACTCGTGGTACAAGGGAAGTGTGAAGTGCCTGCCACCTGAATACAACACGTATGGAAAACGTGGTGGGTGAGCGCAAATCGACGAAAGAGGGTGTCGCGTTGTGTGCTGCACTGCACTGCAAGTCACAAAATACCGAGCAAGGAGAAAACGTTAAGGGCGCCTCACCTGAAGGCCGAACGGGTCGGTCGGAACGGCTCTTAGGGCTCTTAGTTTTGGACTGCTTCTCTGCGCCTCAGAATTTCGACCAAGTTGAATCCCCAGCAAGCATGCAGCCTTGGATTCGGGGAACGATCGTTGCAATGGCCGAGATCCATCCGGTGCTTTGGCCCCATTCCATCCGGAGCTTTGGCCCCACAGCATTCCATCCCATTGTCCAGCTAAAGGGTAGTCGCTCGCCCAGGCTGAGGCATGGACCTGTCCTCACAATCCCCCTCCTGACGTCCCTCCTCCTCACGCTCCTCCTCACATTCCTCGTCACAACCATTCAGGTCCCAACAACCATCATCACCATCAACATCACCATCACCCTCATCGTCCGAATTCGTGAAATCACGGCCACTTGAGTGTTTCGGAGCCGGCAACTGGCGGGACGGCATCACTTTCATCGCATGCCCCCCTGGCTTCTGCACCTGCTTGCTCGCCCTCAACGCTGCTATCAGCTGCCTAGAAGACGGCGGAACCTGCGCCGAACCTGTCCCCAAGGTCAGGTCCGGCACTCTCCCAGACCTGCCAACAGCCCTGGAGGAAACGAGCTTGTCTCCAGCTACGGAATTCCCAAAGCTGGTCAGCAGTCTGCCTGACAACTGGTTGTCTCGTAGCTTTTTCCCTGGGCGGCGGCCTAGGGGGGCGTGGGGGAGTGTGTGGGGGCTAGTGCTGGCAAAGCTGTCACTGACTACCACATGGTGGCTGCTGGTTGGCTGGTGGTCGGATGTGGCTTCACGGAAGGAGAGAAAGGAGGAGGAGGGGAGAGAGGAGGCGGGGAGAGAGGAGGGGGGGAGAGAGGAGACAGGGAGAGTGGCGGTGGCGAGAGAGGGGGCCTCTGCTCGTGTGTGTCGGTCCTTGCTCCACTCTTGACCCTGAGAGGGAGGGGCAGTGGGGAAGGGGATGGAGAGTGGGGGAAAGCAGCAGAGGAGAGAGGGTGAAGGAGGGGAGGAGTTACCAGCGAGAGTTGATGGCGTGATTGGGGTAGAGACATAACCACCAAGAGGGGATGAAATACCTTGTTAAATTTATCGACTAGACTGTCCATTCTTCTCTGCAGGGAGGCCACGCCCCCGAAGCTACCTGCCACGGCTCCAAAGCTACCAGCCACGGCTCCAAAGCTACCAGCCACTGGCACTCCCATTCTGCTGGTCTGGCAGTGCGCTGACCCCTTTGCTGCTGCTGGTGGTGGTGCTGCTGATGCTGCTGCTGTTGGCTCTGGAGCAGCAGCAGAATCTAACGACCGTGAATGTGTTATTGGTGCTGCATCCGGTGATGCTGCTGCTGCTGCTGCTGCTCTTGCAGCTGACTGTCTCTCAATACCCAAACAAGAGAATGAACGCCTTTGAGACGCCGTGGGAACGATTTCACTGAGCGGCGACGACTCAGAAACAGAGGGCCAAGAGAAGGCCCAGGAACGCGAGGTAGAAGCCCCCGATTCACGCGACGACTGCTTCCGAAGGAGAACAAAGCAACTCTGCTCCACTTGCCACTCCTCTTGCCCCTCATCTTGCCCCTCAACTTGCCCCTCATCTTGCCCCTCATCTTGCCCCTCATCTTGCCCCTCATCTTGCCCCTCATCTTGCTCCTCCTCTTCCCCCTCCTCTTGCCCCTCCTCAGGCTCTTCTTTCTCCTCTTCCTCCTCCCCCTCTCCTTTCCCTCGACTCACCAACTTACACTTCTTTTGAGGTGATTCAAAGGCTGCCGGATTAGAACCAGGCGCTGGACTGCTCTCCCCTGAACCTCCCTTAGCCTCTGCTTCACTGCGCTTCTTGGTTGCTCCCAGTGAGCGTTGCAAACCCCCAGCACCACCACCACTACCACCCCCACCCCCACTGTCATCCCAATCTTCAGTATAGGCACACCGCCACAAGCTGTCATCCTCCCCGTGCTCCTTTATACGTGCTAGCGAGTTGCCTTTAAAGGAGATGGAGGAGGGGAGGACGGTGAGTGCAGCCTGAGAGCCTCGCCCAGTGGGGATGAAACCCGCCATATCTGAACTGTATGATCCAACGTGATGCAGAGACAGCTCCCTGTGGTAAGAATAGGACGGTAGGAGGAAGAATGGGCATGAGTGGAAGAGGGGATGGAGAGGGAGTGAGAGGATATCAAGTGTTGAGGTGTTTTAAGATGCTAGTTCAGTGGGGATGAAACCCGCCATGCCGGAATCGTACGATCCGCTGTGATGCAGTGCAGTGACAGCTCCCTCGAAATAGGATGGAGGGAGTTGGGGAGAGTTGGGAAGGAGCTCAACAAGAACAGAAGCGCGACCCCCCTGATGTATAAAGGGGAAAGGAGAGGAGCAGAAGCGTTATGCAGTGCGGTGAAAGCAGATCCTTGGAGGGTGATGCAGTGAAAGCAGATCCTTGGAGGGTGATGCAGTGAAAGCAGAAGCGTTATGCAGTGCAGTGACAGCTCCCTCAACAAAACACGCTTCTTTGTTGAGGGAGCTCTCACTGCATCACGCCTCTGTGCAGTGACACATGCCAGCTCCCTGGAAAAGAAGAGCATAGAAAGGCAGGAGAGCACTGGAGGAAGCTTCGTAGGAGGAACCTTGAGAAACAATATTATTCAGCATCAGAGAGGAAGTGTTGGGAGGAAGAGAAGATAGCTTTCCATAATCAATAATCTTGTGTCATCAGATTGCCTTTCCACAATCCAAAATAGAAGTCTAGTTTCCACAAATCAAATCAAATCAATAATCTTGTGTCATCAGATTGCCTTTCCACAATCCATAATGAGCCGCGAACACAAGCACAAAGACCACAATTGCAGCATACATCTGCACTCCCACCCATACATACCTCGCCACCATGGATCGAGAGAAGTCCGAGACACCCACCCATACATACCTGGCAACCATGGCTCCTCGGAACACCAGCAGCGCCACATACAGCACGCAGCACGCCACAGACACCACCCCGTAGCCCACAAAGAGCCCCCAGAAGTTTTCATTGGCCAGCACAGTGGGGGCTACGGGCACGAGGACGTCGGGGCACAGCCGCTCCCCGCCCTCCAGGTAGGTCGTTTGCAGCGCACTCAGTTCCCCCGACAGGGACAGCTGCAGCAGCGCTTCTGAGATGTCTATGCGCAGCTGAGAGCCCTTCTGAAAGGCCTGCACGTGAGTGAGTGAGTGGGAAGGGAAGGTAAGGGAAGGGAGGGACAGTAAAAAGCGAAGCCAGGTAAGGCGTACGGCTGCTTGAATTGCGCTATGATGCAGTGGTTGGACCTCACGAGGTCCAGGTAGGGGTTCTCATCCACCACCACCCGCACTCTCGCCCACTCCCGCTCTCCTTCTGTACTCTCCCTCTCCCTCTCCCTCTCACTCTCCCTCTCACTCTCCCTCCCAGCCACACTCACAGCAATACTCACAGCCACACTCACAAAGGCAAAGCCGGGCATGGCGTACGGCTGCTTGACTTGCGCTATGCTGCAGTGGTTAGCTCGCACGAGGTCCAGGTAGGGGTTCTCATCCACCACCACCCGCACTCTCCCTGACTCCAGCGCACTTATGTAATCCTCTGCACTGTTAAGCGGTACCAGGTTGTGCTATAACGGGTACATAGAGGGCCATCGGAAAAAGAGAGGTAGGGAGGGTAGGGTAGGCACAGATGATAAGGTGGGGTTTCTGGCTTGGTATGGTAAGCCGAGCTAAAATCGCCAAGATTCTGCAACGCTATTTAATGAAGCCTTCTGGAGAATGGCTTCGAAGCGTTTCTGTAAAACATGGTACACTCTTGATTGTTACCGTCAACGGCACAACATGAATATCGTGGCATCTGAATGATAGTTTTGAGGCGCCTCAAAACTGATATCCTGGCATCTGAATGATAAAAGTCTATTTTCGGGCACGAGATGCTTATCGTGACTTAAATAATATGCATACCTTTCTTGCACCCAGCTGTAGAAGATATAGCTCGACAAACGTTCCCGACAAGTGGAGCCGTTGGCGTTGAGGGCACTGCACAGGCTCAACCAGGTGGCACCAGCTCAAGCCTCCTCCCTCACCTTTTTTGCACCGAGCTGTAGAAGATAAAGCTCTACAAATGTTCCGGACTGGTAACCAATGGGGCTGTTGGCGTTAATGTTATAGTAGAGGTCCACAGTAGTCCCTGTAAGCAGGTTGACTGTCGTTATAGACGTCAGGTTGGCTGTGTACGATGTGACTACAATGAGCGTGACGAGCAGCCAGAGAGAGATGAGGGCTCTTGCTGGGACCGATCGCACGGGCTTGCCTGGAGGGAGAGGGGGAGGGAGAGGGAGGGAGTGGCAGGAGGGAGGAGGGAGAGGGAGGAGGGAGAAGGGAGAGGGAGGATGGAGAAGACTGTTGAGTCGACTCAATGTCAGCTCTTGCTGGGACCGATCACACGGGCTTGCCTGGAAGGAGAGGGGGAGGGAGGGAGAAGGATGGGGGAGAGGGAGAGAGGAGGGAGTGGGAGAGGGAGAGGCAGAGGAAGGAGAAAGAGAGGGAGAGGGGGGAGGGAGAGGAAGGGAGGAGGGAGAGGGAGAGAGAGGAGGGAGTGGGAGAGGGAGAGGGAGAGCGAGGAGGGAGAGGGAGAGGGAGAGGGAGAAGGAGGAGGGAGAGAAAGGAGGGACAGGGAGAAGGGAGAGAAAAAAGGGAGAGGGAGAGGGGGAGGCAGAGGGAGAAGGAGAAAGAGAGGGAGAGGGAGGGAGGAGGAAGAGGGAGAGAGAGGGGGAGAGGGAGAGGGAGGAGAGAGAGGGAGAGGGAGAGGGAGGAGGAGGGAGAGAAAGGAGGTACAGGGAGAAGGGAGAGGGAGAGGGAGAGGGAGGAGGGAGAAGGAGTGGGAGAGAGAGCGGGAAAGGAAGAAGGAGGGAGAGAGAGTGGGAGAAGGGAGAGGGAGAGGGAGAGGGAGGAGGGAGAGGGAGATGGAGGAAGGAGAGGGAGAGGGAGGAGGGAGAGGGAGAGGGAGAGAGGGAGAGGGAGAGGGAGGAGGAGGGAGGGAAAGGAGGGACAGGGAGACGGGAGAGGGAGAGGGAAAGGGAGGAGGGAGAGGGAGTGGGAGAGAGAGAGGGAAAGGGAGAAGGAGAGGGAGAGAGAGTGGGAGAAGGGAGAGGGAGAGGGAGAGGGAGGAGGGAGAGGGAGATCGAGGAAGGAGAGGGAGAGGGAGGAGGGAGAGGGAGGGGGAGAGGGAGAGGGAAGGGGAGAGGGAGTGGGAGAGGGAGAGGAAGAGGGAGGGGGAGGGGGAGAGGAAGAGGGAGAGGGAGAGGGAGAGAGGAAGGGGAGGGAGGAGAGAGAGGGAGGAGGGAGAGGGAGAGGAGAGGGAGGAGGGAGGAGGAGGAGGGAGTGGGAGGAGGGAGAGGGAGGAGGGAGAGGGAGAGGGAGAGGGAGAGGGAGAGGGAGAGGGAGAGGGAGAGGTAGAGGGAGAGGGAGAGGGAGAGGGAGAGGTAGAGGGAGAGGGAGAGGGAGAGGGAGAGGGAAGAGGGAGGAAGGAGCATGAGAGAGATAGGGGAATGTGGTCAGCAGCAGAAGGAGGCGGATTATGGGAGAGTGGGGCAAGCAGCAGCGGGAGATGGACTGTTGTGGTTGCAACATGTAAGCTGGTGCCAGAGAAATGGATGATGTGAAATGCATACTGTGAAGTGAAAACTGCGAAATGAATAGTGGTGAAATAACTAATGTGAAAATGAATACTGTGAAGCAAATGTCAACTGTTATAGCAGTTAGGGAGGATGGAGATGGACCCCCTAAAAATGGGATGTGAGAAATGGGATGTGGGATATGGGACGAGGGTACAGAGAGAGAGGATGGTGGCATGGGCATTTACCTAGATAGGAGAAGATGGAGAGATAGCCAAACCTGTGGGTGGCAGGCATGGGGTAAAGGTGAGGGGCAGATCGGCAAGAGCAAGGGAGGGAGGGACAGTGCCGGGAAACTGTGCATGCTGCGAACAACGCGGATGAGGCTGCATCCTGCTTTTGAGGCGCCTCAAAAGCGCAACGCAGATGTGGCTGCATCCTGCATGCTGCAAACGTGCACTAACACACCGCAGCAACGTACCACACGGCATGCTGCAGCATGTCGTGCAGCTGGCTCATGTATCGAGCGTCAAGCCAGCTAACGCGCCCATCCACCACAACGCGTCCACTCACCACACGGCGTGCTGCAGCATCTTGTGCCCTTGGAACTGGGGGTTCTGGCGGCACTCCAGAAACACCGTGACGAGCCCCGTGGTGATAGTCAAGCTGAGAAGCGGCTAACTGATTCATTTCGCACACGCCCACTCACCACACAGCGTGCTGCAGCATCTCGTGCAGCTTCCCCTGGAAACGTCTCAACGCAGCGTCGAGCAAGCCAACACGCCCATCCACCACAGCACGCCCATCCACCACAACACGCCCATCCACGACAACACGCCCATCCACCACAACATGCCCATCCACCACAACACGCCCATCCACCACAACACGCCCACTCACCACACGGCGTGCTGCAGCATCTCGTGCAGCTTCCCCTGGAACTCGGGGTTCATCCGGCACTCCAGAAACACCGTGATGAGCCCCGTGGCCACAGTCATGCCGAGAAACACCGCCCACATGGTAGGAGTGAAGGGCGCGAATGCCATCCACCAGCTGCTGGCGGGCGGCACGTAGCTGATCACACTCACTGCTGACGGCTGGGGGGAGGGAGGGGGGAGGGGGGGAGGGGGGGAGGGGGGGATGACAGAGAGACCAAACACATACAAGGGGCCGAATGCCATCCACCAGCTGCTGACAGGGGGAACGTGGCTGATCACACTCACTGCTGACAGTGGGGGGTTAGAGTGGGGGGGGTAGAGAGGAGGCACGTAGCTGATCACACTCATTCCTGATTGAAGGGGGGGAGACCGGCATGTGAGATACGGAAGAATGCACGTTGAAGGCTGGAGCAATCTTTTGAGGCGCCTCAAAAGTATTTTGGGGCGCCTCAAAAGCTGATTGAAGTGAGAAATCCGGCATGTGAGACACGGATGCACGCACGTTGAAGGGGGGAGCAGAGGAGAAATGGAGGGGCAAAACGGCAGCGAAGTAGAGAGCAAATGGCATCATATCGTATAGCATACACCAGATCAAATCATCCCTTAGCATACAAGGTCATCGCATCAAAATATATCGCACAGCATATATACATGTATATACATATATATACATAGATATACATATATATATATATATATATATATATATATATATATATATATATCATATGACCGGCAGCATCAGCAATCTATGTACCCACCACAGTGCCAGTCGTACCATGTACGGCTGTGTGAAATCGACTATTTCGCTCCGTGCTAGTGTCACCGAGAGATCGCCAACGCCCCCGTCCACTCTCTGACGGACGCCGGAGCACATGCATATGGGGGGGACGGGGGGGTGGGGTGTGGGTGGGACAGTGAATGGGGGATGGCGTATGGTATCGTGGCATGGGGAATGGCCAATGGTATGGTGGCATCGGGGATGGCGTATGGTATGGTGGCATGGGGGATGGCGTATGGTATGGTGGCATGGGGGATGGCGTATAGTATGGTGGCATGGGGGATGCGAATGGGGTGACTTTTGAGTCGACTCAAAAGCCACCTCACTGCTAGACGTTGGGAGCACAAGCAACTGGGGGGTGCTTTGGCGAATGGGCGTATGATATGGTAGCATGGTTGCTGGTGTTTGAGAGAACACCACTTGGTGGTGGTTTTAGCCATACGTGGTAGCGGGCTGTAAAACACTGTTGATTTAGAAAAAAAATAACTAGTTCAAAAATCTTCTCAAAAATAACTTGCTCAGAAAAAAACTCTCGTGAGTTTGTAGGGCAAAATTGATGGTAACTAGTTTCCGCAGGTGGTGGCCTTCATCATACCATGGGATCATATGGTAACTAGTAGACCAGATGGTGGGACCGTGGGAGCACATGTTAGTCAACCAAAAAGAAAAACAAACAAACGTGATACAAGGCAATTGAACGGGGTAAAAAAAAGAGGAGGGGAGAAAAAAAAAACAGAGGGCAGACAGACCACCTCATCTGCCATGCGGCACCATCACCTTATCGCGCCTTTCACATAAATCAAGTCTCATCGTTACCTTATCTGCCACGGCCTGAATGACGTCATCGTATCGAGCATCCTGCCCATCCTGCCCTCCAACCTGCACGAACTCAAACTCCAGTTGGTACGACAACCTGCTCACTGCCCGGCGAAACAGCTCTATTGCAAACCCAGAGAAACGATCATTGTTGGCAGTAGCTGAGGCAGCAGCGGAGGAGGAGGAGGAGGGGGAAGAGGCGGTGATGTTGATAAACTGCTGAAAGCCCCGCTTGTAAGGGACGGCCAGAAGCAGCTTGCGACGAGGAAAGAAGCCCGAGGGGGGCTGGGGGGAGGAAGGGGGGGAGGGCAAGAGCGTATGGGGAGGAGGGCAATGGGAGGAGGGCATGGGGAGGGTTTAAGATACAGGGTGCAGCGAGAGTGGAGGGGAAGAGAGAGTGTGATTAGATGCAAGGCGAGTGGGGAGGAGGGGGGGTGTTATGACATGCAAGGCGAGTGTGGAGTTGGTGGGGTGGGTGTGTATGTGTGTGTGTGTGTATTATGGCGTGGTGTTGAGGGGGAGGGGTGTGCGACACGAATAAAACAAGAATGACGCTTTATGTGGAGGGCGGAGCTGAGGCTTAGAAAGGTAACAAGAAAATTATGTGACTGTAAAGCGAGGTTCGGAGAGCGAATGGCCTCTAACGAAAAAGGGGACAGGAGAGGGAAGAAAGCAGTTTAGTGAGAAAGGTGTGCATCTCAAGGGAGCGAGAATCAGGTGCTTCAATCCAGGCTCCCGGAAACCGCACCTTCGTTGTGTTGCCTGGAAAGGTGATGTTGAGCATACGTGATGTGCCTTTAAGGGGGGGTAACTGTGACCACAACAACCAAATCAAGCAAGCGAGGTGCAGGTGAATGATAAGTAAACACGACAAAGGTGTGGGTGTGAGTGAGAGGTGTTAGGGTGGGTGGGATACTGGGCAGGGTAAAAGAGCGAGTGAATGGGAGGGGCGTGAAGGAAGAGCGACTGCTTTTGAGTCGACTCAAACGGACGGCACGGGTGGGTGAGTGAGAGGGGTTAGCCTAAGTTTGGTGGGGTCCTGCCTGAGCTAGGTAAAAGCGCGAGTGAAAGTAAGAGGCGTAAACCGAGAGAGAGAGGCAGCATGCACGGGGCCCAGTGGGGCAGAAGACATGCATCAAGGGAGGGAGCAGCACAAACACAAGGACGGGGAGGTCGAAGGGCCCAGTGGGGGATACACCGGGGAGAGGGGGTGCGAGGTGAATGAGCCAGTGAGGAGGGAGGAGGGGCCTGGGTGGCGAGAGAGGTTGCAAGGCAAGGCAGATGGACATACGTCAAGAGGCGGGGGACATACGTCAAGAGGCAGGGAACATACGTCAAGAGGCGGGGAACATACGTCAAGAGGCGGCGAAAATACGTCAACAGGCGGGGAACATACGTCAAGAGGCGGGGGACATACGTCAAGAGGCGGGGAACATACGTCAAGAGGCGGGGAACATACGTCAAGAGGCGGGGAACATACGTCAAGAGGCGGGGAACATACGTCAAGAGGCGGGGAACATACGTCAAGACGCGGGGGACATACGTCAAGAGGCGGGGGACATACGTCAAGAGGCGGGGGACATACGTCAAGAGGCGGGGAACATACGTCAAGAGGCGGGGAACATACGTCAAGAGGCGGGGAACATACGTCAAGAGGCGGGGAACATACGTCAAGAGGCGGGGAACATACGTCAAGAGGCGGGGAACATACGTCAAGAGGCGGGGGACATACGTCAAGAGGCGGGGAACATCCGTCAAGAGGTGGGGAACATACGTCAAGAGGCGGGGAACATACGTCAAGAGGCGGGTGACATACGTCAAGAGACGGCGTGAGGAGAAGCGTTGCAGTCCAGAAGCCGACAGGAACAGCAGAGCCGTTGCGCACGTTGAGAATGCGAGTCACGTTGGACTGCAGGTCGCCACTGGCGCTGAGGGAGATTCTGGGGGTGGCGGGAAAGGGGAGGGGGGAGGAGGGAGGAGGGGGGCGGGGGGATGGAACAGGGAGTATGAAGAATGCGAGTCACGTTGGACTGCAGGTCGCCACTGGTGCTGAGGGAGATTCTGGGGGTGCATGTGTAATGAGTCGATGGGGGGATTTTTTAGTCGACTCATTACACACAGATTCTGGGGGGTGCATGTGGAATGGACGGGAGGGAGGATGGAGGGCGAGTTGGGCGATTCTTGGGGTGCTGTGCTTCTATATAGTCACGTTCCACTGCAGGTGCCATTGGCGTACAGAGAAATTCTGGTGGTGGGAAATAGAGGGGCGGGAGGAGGAGGGGGGAGAGGGGGAAAAGGGGAGGGGAGGGGGAATGTGCGTCTTATTTGACTGCAGGTCGCCATTGGCGCTCGGAGAGATTCTGGTGGTAGGTGCAGTGCAGGTAGGGTACAGGAGACCAGAGGAGTGCAGCAGCGCGACAAACATGGGTCCAAGGGCGTGACAACCCAAGAAGAAACCTGTTATAGTGCCATAGGAACTAAGTCAAGGAGCCAACTCCTTGGAACCGTCTCAAATATGTCGTCCAAGGGGTTGGCTCAAAAGGCGAGCATTGAGCCAACTCCTTGGACCTGCCAACGGTCTCCTTTTGAGTTGGACATAGATTACTCAAAAGCAAAGATATGTTGTCCCAACTCGACAGTGCTCACCCCGGTTGGCTCACCTTCCCCCCGACCCCGTCAAAGCTGGCACTCAGCATGGCATCCAGCAGCATTGGTCCCACTGCATGCTCTCGTGACCTACCCCTCCCTATCCCTGCCTCCTCGTCCCCTCACCTGCCCCTGACCCCATCAAAGCTGGTAGTCAGCATGGCTTCCCGAAGCATTGGTCCCACTGCATGCACGTTGGGGGCAGAAAGGGGAAGCAAGGGAAAGAGAAGGAAGATGGGGAAGAAAGGGGAAGAACGGTGAAGAAAGGTGAAGAACGGTGAAGAAAGGTAAAGAACGGTGAAGAAAGATGAAGAACGGTGAAGAAACGGGAAGAAACGGATAAGAAAAGGAATAAGGGGAAGAAAAGGGGAGAAAAAGGGAGGGCAGATAGGCAGGCACCATCGACTGTATGAACGCTGTCTGGAGTGCAAACCAACCCTGCAGAGCCGAAACTAGTTTACCAAGTTTCGTTGCTGTTAACAACACTCAAGCTGGCTGCATAAACTCTACAAGAGTTTCTTTTCTAACCGGGCTCCTCAAAACTCTCTCCTAAACGCAATATCGCCTATGGGGTTCGTTTTGTTGTACTAACCTACAGACTTGATGGAAATAAGGCCTCCGCAGGACCGCAGCCCACCTGTAATCCATCTATGACACCAACCCTGCAGAGCACGGGAGAGCCGCGTGTGCTTCGCACGGGCACACAGCATGTGCGGGGGAAGGTGATGCCTTGCTCACATGGCATGTACGGTTCCCTTTCACACTCCCTCACTCACCCAGGCTCGGTAGTTGAGGCGGGGAGGCGCCAAGATCGCGGTGGAGGCAGGGTTCATCACCCACATGGAAACCAACCTCTTCACCCGTGTCGCCAACCTCTGGGCGGACGTCGCCATCCGGCATCCAGACACGGGTGCGATTTGGCTCTGTGACGTCACCGTGACAGACCCGATCTCACAGGACGGCGAGTTTGCTCGGCGGGGCAGAGGATGGGCCGTCAGCAGGAATGCCGCCAGGGGGGAGGAGAACAAGTACCGCCCACCGGCATGGACTGAGTGGGTCGGCTTCTTTGCTTTGGCAGCAGAGACCTATGGACTCACCTCCCCTGGTGTCTTCCAATTCCTCTGGAAGTGTACCGAGCTAGCCGCGAAGAAGCGCCACGGGGCTGCCCCCGACTCTAGGGAGGCCGCCAAGCTGTTCCTTCCAGGGAGGCCGCCAAGCTCTAGGGAGGCCGCCAAGCTGTTCCTTCCAGGGAGGCCGCCGAGCTCTAGGGAGGCCGCCAAGCTGTTCCTTCCACGGAGGCCGCCAAGCTCTAGGGAGGCCGCCAAGCTGTTCCTTCCAGGGAGGCCGCCAAGCTGTTCTAGGGTCCTTTAGTTAGACGTCGAAACATGTTTGCTTTAATCTTTTGAATCAGAACTGAGTTCAGTTTTCTGAGATCTCGGCTATTACACGGGCAACTTGTGTATTTCACTGTCAATCTTTTTGCTAAAGTTTCGATTACACTGCTGCTCCCTTCTATCATGGCTAACAACCCTTCCAGGGAGGCTGCCAAGCTGTTCCATCCAGGCCGTGGCCAAGCTCTAGGGTGGTTGATGACTCTCCTCTCCAGCGCGGGCAGGCCGTGGCCAAGCTCTAGGGTGGTCGATGACTCTCCTCTCCAGCGCGGGCAGGCCATGGCCAAGCTCTAGGGTGGTCGATGACTCTCCTCTCCAGCGCGGGCAGGCCGTGGCCAAGCTCTAGGGTGGTCGATGACTCTCCTCTCCAGCGCGGGCAGGCCGTGGCCAAGCTCTAGGGTGGTCGATGACTCTCCTCTCCAGCGCGGGCAGGCCGTGGCCGAGCTCTAGGGTGGTCGATGACTCTCCTCTCCAGCGCGGGCAGGCCGTGGCCAAGCTCTAGGGTGGTCGATGACTCTCCTCTCCAGCGCGGGCAGGCCGTGGCCAAGCTCTAGGGTGGTCGATGACTCTCCTCTCCAGCGCGGGCAGGCCGTGGCCAAGCTCTAGGGTGGTCGATGACTCTCCTCTCCAGCGCGAGCAGGCCATGGCCAAGCTCTAGGGTGGTCGATGACTCTCCTCTCCAGCGCGGGCAGGCCGTGGCCAAGCTCTAGGGTGGTCGATGACTCTCCTCTCCAGCGCGGGCAGGCCGTGGCCAAGCTCTAGGGTGGTCGACGACTCTCCTCTCCAGCACGGGCAGGCCGTGGCCAAGCTCTAGGGTGGTCGATGACTCTCCAGCGTGGGCAGGCCGTGGCCCTCAATACCAAGTCCAACCTGGCCCTCGCCGCGGAGGAGTGGCCCCTGAGCGATGCCGCTGACCCACTCCCCGTGGGGGACCTTCTCCAGGTCTTGGAGCCGGCGCTCGAGGACTCCTAGGGACCTAGGCTCCTACCTTGGTGTGTCTTGTGCTTGCCGTGTGTCTTAGCCTTACCTTTCATGCCTGAAACCCTTCCTATATAATACAAAGGACGAATGAGGGGAAGGAAAGGGGAGAAAAGGGGAGGGCAGGTAGGCAGGCACCATCAAATCAAGAGTATGAACACTGTCTGGAGTGCATTGAAACCCTGCAGAGCACGGGAGGGAGAGCATGTGCTTCGTATGGGGAAGGTGATGCCTTGCTCACATAACATGTACAGTTCCCTTTCACAATCCCTAACCCAGGCTCGGTAGTTGAGATGATTCAAAAGACACCTCGTGGTCGTTCACTCACCCAGGATCATTTTCGGCGCACGAAGCTCCGGAGGGGGCTGCTTATTGACTGGGGTTGCTTCTGAGTCGACTGAGTACTCACCTCACCTCGCCACAATGTCACACAGCTCTCACCCAGGCTCCTTTTCAGGGCACGAAGCTGCACAGGGGGCTGCTTCTTGACTGTGCGTCTGAAGCCCCGGAGGAGGCTGTTTTTGACTGGGCTTTCTTCTGAGTCGACTCAAAAGACACCTCGTTCCAATGTCCCACACCACTCACCCAGGCTCCTTTTCCGACTAAGCAGCTCCGGAGGGGGCTGTTTATTGACTGAGGTTGCTTCTGAGTCGACTTAGTACTCACCTCAAATCGATACACAATGTCTCACAGCACTCACCCAGGCTCCTTTTCAGAGCAAGAAGCTGCACAGGGGGCTGCTTCTTGACTGTGTGTCTGTAGCTCGTGGGCAGAGTCAGGGGAGAGGTCCCAGAACTACTGGTGTCACTGCTGCTGCTGCTGCTGCTGCTGCTGCTCCTGCTGCTGCTGCTACTGCTGCTGCTCCTGCTGCTGCTGCTGCTACTGCTGCCACTACTGCCAATACTGCCAATACTGCCAATACTGCCAATACTGCTATTACTGCTGCCAATGCTGCGGCCGCCACTGCTGCCATTGCCGTAAAGCAGGGAGTGCAGCCCCCACGCAATAAGGTAAGTGGCGTCATATGCTGCCAGGGTGTACGACTTGGGCTCCTGGGGGGGTTGTGTGGGGGGGGGAGAAGGAAAGAGAACATGAGGATGAGCGAGTGCTATTCCTGCTGTCTCCAGGCAGCAAGGCAGGTTGATGCGGCAAGTGGTGTCAGTCATATGCTGCCAGGGTGTAGGACTAGGGCTCCTGGGGCGGGGAGAGAGGAAGGGAGCACAGACGGGTTGAGAGACTGAAACAGTGCTGCTGTAGCTGCTGCCGCCATAGAGCAGCAGGGACAGGCAGTGAGGTAAGGGGGGTCATTGGCTGCCCTGCCAGGGTGTAGGACTAGGGCTCCTGGTCAGGGTGTAGGGTGCCCTTCTTTTATGCACAACATACCTAATACCTGCCATGCCTGTACTTCACCCCTATCTAATTCATTTAGGAAGAAAGGGAGGGGAAACAGCCACTCAACATTGCCTTCCGTGCGGACTCAAACCCACCCTATGCCTTCAAGTAGACTCACAGCAGTGCTTCTAGAAATATAGCAGATGGCCTAGGCTGGCCCATGGTGGTTTTAAGTCGACTCACAAGTGTGCTTTGGTGAAAGGACACCGGGGGGCTGACCCCTCCGGAGGGCCTGACCCCTCTGGGGGGGCTGACCTCTCTGCCAGCGTTGGGGAAGCGGACGGGGCCAGTGTGGCCCATGTCGGTGTCCTGGGACGTCTCAAGACACGGGATGGAGCCAGCCAACGTGCAACGTTGCCTTTCATGACACCTGGGGCCGCTCACCTCTTTCCTGGCGTTGACCTTTGGAAACGCAGAAGTCGTCTAGTTTTGAGGCGCCTCAAAGCTCACCTCTTTCCTGGCGTTGACCTTTGGAAACGCACCCTTGAGGCGCCTCAAAAGTCGTTTCATGACTTGCGGCTTTGAGGCGCCTCAGAAGGACTGGCGTTGGCGGGGGAAACGCACACCTCTGCTAATGTTGGGGAAACGGATGGGGCCAGTCTGGCCCATGTGGTGTCTGTGGGACGTCTAAAGACGCGGGACCACGCGGGTCACACTGGCATGCTGCTTCGATTCGAATGACTCCTGGAACCCACCTCTCTGCTGGCGTTGGGGAAGCGGACGGGGTCCAGGCTGGCCCATTTCTCTTGGAATGCAGTGAGGCGAGGCGATGGAGGGAGGTAGGACGAGGTGATGACCATTCCCTGCGACGCAAGGGGGTGGGAGGGGGGATGGGAGGGGGGATGGGAGGTGGGAGTTGGTTTTGAAAACTCTAAAAAATCTCTCACAAGGCGAGGCGATGGAGGGAGGTAGGACGAGGGGATGACCATTCCCTGCTGCGATGAGGGGGGTTTGGCGAAGCCCAGAGGAATCGATCAGATGAACGGGAGGGAGGGAGGAAGAGGTAATGCCCGTTCCTTGATGGGATGGGATGGGTCGAGAGAGATCACAGCATGCACAAGCAGAATCCAGCTAAGGGCACCAGCTAGAGGCACGATCCAGCTAAAGACACGATCCAGCTAACGGCACGATCCAGCTAACGGCACGATCCAGCTAACGGCACGATACAGCTAACGGCACGATCCAGCTAACGGCACGATCCAGCTAACGGCACGATCCAGCTAACGGCATGATCCAGCTAACGGCATGATCCAGCTAACGGCACGATCCAGCTAACGGCATGATCCAGCTAAGGGCACGATCCAGCTAACGGCACGATCCAGCTAAAGGCACGATCCAGCTAACGGCACGATCCAGCTAACGGCACGATCCAGCTAACGGCACGATCCAGCTAGCGGCACGATCCAGCTAGCGGCACGATCCAGCAGCAGGCTCTGATCAGCAGAATCCAGACTTACATCAATTCACAGAAGGTCACAGCTTACAGTCACAGCATTCGCAATATCTGCACTCACAATAATCACACCGTGCAGTGCAGTACAGTCATATCACCTCTACGTTTCGCAGGACGGTGGAGTTGACAAGAGCCGCCCCCTCAGACGCCACCCACACTGAATTCTTTGCTACCAGACTCAACTGATGGGCTGGGGGGAGTAGAGAGAGACAACGGCACACGGTCATGCGGTGTCTTGGTGACCCGACTGAAAAACCATCTCAGGACGGTGGAGTTGACAAGAGCCGCCCCCTCAGACGCCACCCACACTGAACTCTTTGCTACCAGACTCAACTGATGGGCTGGGGGGAGTAGAGAGAGACAACGGCACACGGTCATGCGGTGTCTTCTTGGTGACCCGACTGAAAAGCCATCTCAGGACGGTGGAGTTGACGAGAGCCGCCCCCTCAGACGCCACCCACACTGAACTCTTTGCTACCAAACTCAACTGATGGGCTGGGGGGAGTAGAGAGAGACAACGGCACACGGTCATGCGGTGTCTTGGTGACCCGACTGAAAAGCCATCTCAGGACGGTGGAGTTGACAAGAGCCGCCCCCTCAGACGCCACCCACACTGAACTCTTTTCCACCAGACTCAACTGACGGGCTGGGGGGAGGAGGGAATCCCGATGATAGAACAAACACAGCACAGTGCAGTGATGTGATAGCAGATCCTTGGACATTTCCCAGTGAGCGCGGCGTCAGGAGACGGGTAAAATGTCAAAGGATCAGCACAGTGCAGTGATGTGAGTGAGATGTGGGACACGTCAAATGGGTCATAGGAGCCGCAGCAGCAGCAGTAGCAGCAGTAGCAGCAGCAGCAGCAGCAGCAGCATCAGCAGCACAGGATAAATGAAGGCCTACCAGCTGAGAAAATAATGCTGCAGAGGGCAGCAGCAGCGTGTACCACAAACACGGCCGGATCAAGCCGCTCCACTGCAGCCAGAGCCACTGCTGTCTGCGCCACCGTCCACGTCGTCTTGATCGGCACACGTGTCGCGATCCTGACCTTCCATTGCTGGGCGGGAATGAGGGGTGTGGGCAGCAGTAGCACAGGCAGAAGGGCTGAGGCGGAGGAGCAGAAAGTTTTGAGGAGCAGAAGGGGGGGGAGCAGAAAGTTTTGAGGAGCAGAAGGCGGAGGAGCAGAAAGTTTTGAAGAGCAGAAGGCGGAGGAGCAGAAAGTTCTGAAGAGCAGAAGGCGGAGGAGCAGAAAGTTTTGAAGAGCAGAAGGCGGAGGAGCAGAAAGTTTTGAAGAGCAGAAGGCGGAGGAGCAGAAAGTTTTGAGGCGCCTCAAAAAAAGGGGAGAGGGAATGGAAGGCGAGATGAGAGGAGGAGCAGCAGAGCCACAGACTGAGTGTATGCTACAGCTGTGTATGCTACAGCTGTGTATGCTACTGCTGTTGAATCACCAAACTCCAATGCAATATGTATCAAGCACAGAACGGGCAACGCTTTAATGCTTCTGTAGCTAGCTACCTTCTGTGTGGAGAGGCGGGCATTGAGTGCAGCAATGCGCAAGTGAAAACGTAGCCATTGAAAACGTAGCGATTGAAAACGTAGCCATTGAAGACGTATGACAAAGAGCACGTTTGTTCTGGACCTCACCTTCTGAGTGGAAAGGTAGCCATTGAGTGTCGCAATGCCGTTGCGGCCAAAGCGGTTGTCGCTGTGAATGACGATGATCTCGCTCCACTTGTTCAAGGCGAGGAACTCTGCAAGATACGCAAAAGGTGGAAAGATGAGCAGGTGTGAATGAAACCAGAGAGTTAGGGTAACCCATGGTCGCTGTTGATGACGATGACCTCGCTCCACTTGTTGAAGGCAAGGAACGCTGGCAGGTGTGAGGAGGAAAAGGGGTGAGCAGGTGAATAGGCAAACAGGTGTGAAGAAACAACGAGATTGTGGCTGAGGTCCTGTGGATGGATGGATGACGATGGCCTCGTTGCCACTATGACAACCGCTCCAATCACTACCATTACAGTCACATGCAAAAGCGCTATTGTCACAGTCACCTGCAATGGCGCGCATGTCCATGCCATCGCTGTGAATGGTCCGCAGGAAGTAGGGCCGGTCCCTGCCTGCTGTCAGCTGCACGTCCGTAGCTGATGGCGACACAAAGGGAATCTGGAGGGGGGAGAGGGGTAAGGGGACGGAGCGTAGGACGAGGGGGTCGGGGGGAGGGTTTGAGCTCCCTCATGACCGCCCCTGCCTGCTGTCAGCTGCACGTCCGTGGCTGATGACAACACAAAGGGAATGTGGAAGGAGAGTGGGAGCGGGGTGGGAGGGTAGGAGGGGTTGGGGTGGGGAGTGGGGAGTGGACTTTTGAGGCGCCTCAAAAGGGGGTGGGGAGTGGGGGGTAACGGGAAAGGAGGCAAGGGAGGTGCGAGGGTGAGGTTGTGAGCCGCCTCAGAACCGTCCTTGCCTGCTGTCAGTCTCATGTCCGAGGGGGGTTGGGGACCTGCAGGGGGTCAGGAGGGGAGCGATGGGGTGTTGTATTCAGTTGTCTCAAGGCCCGTGCATTGGCTGGCAGTGACACTAAGGGGACGTGGAGCGGGCTGGGCACCGACATCCGCATATCCCCTCTCCTGCCTTCCTCACATCCCCCTCTCCCCACCTGAGCATCGGTCACCAGAGGGGGGATGCTGCCGCCCGCCCACACATGCGGCCGGTCATCAGAGGGTTGACAGGTGCGGCTTCCTGTGAGCTCGCTGCCCAAGCTTGCACCTGCGTGCGCACACGCCCACTCTCACCTCACCTTCACTTTCACTCCAACACCCCACCCCTCCCTGGAATCCCCACCTGGGCTTCAGTTGCCAGAGGGCTGACCAGTGCTGCTTGGTCCGAATTGCGAGGTCCCACCACCGCCACTGGCAGGGGGTCCATGGAGGCGAGCTGCAGCGCTGGAAAGGAGAGGATGGGAACGGTCGAGGTCAGGGAGGGGGAGGGGGAAGGGTGTGAGCGAATGAGATCCCAACCTAAGACTCATTGCTTCCACTGCCAGAGGATCAAGCGACGCTGGCTGGAGCGCCAAAGGGGAAAGTCCGGGGGCGTCAAGGATGGGGGTTGAATGGAGGGGACGACGAAGGGAGGGGTACGAGGGAGTGGACACATTTGCTTCATATTCTACCCTACACCCCCCTGCCATCTGCCCTGATACGGACTGGGTGTGTAGTTGATCGGTGTGGGCAGCAGTGCGTGTGTGGTGGGGCAGGAGAGACGCCGACAGGTTTACTTCCTGCCTCTGCCATCATACCAGCACGTAACCCCCCCCCCTCCCCCTTCAGCCATCCGCCAAGCCCCCGGAGATTGGCTATTCTCAAGCGCACCTGCGAGCTGGCCTGCGACGGGCAGAGTGGTGTAGTTGAGGGGCGCGAGCAGCACCGTGTGGTTGGGCAGCAGAGATGCCGACAGGTTGATCTCATCCACCGCTATAGTCACAGCTGAGGGCGGGAGAAACGAAAAGGGGGGGGAGGTGGGGGTAGGGGGAGAGGGGGAAGCGGGGGAGGGGAGTAGGGGGGAAGGGGCAAGGGGGAACGGGGGGGAGTGGGAAGAGGTTGGGGTTGTGTGGGTGAGAGAGTCAACAAGAAGGTGTGGGGAGGGGGGGGAGGGGGGAGGGAGAGGGGTGGTGGGAGGGGGAAAGGGCAGGTGGTGGTGATGCTAGGGGAGGGAAAAGGAGGGGGGAAGTGAAACAGATGGGGAGGTGGCCACAGGTTGGGGAGCCTGGATAAACAGAGAGCATCTCCTGCCAGCGCCTCACTTTTCACCCCTCGCCCTGGACACATTGAACAGTCCAAGTTACCCACACAGCCCACGTCTCTTAAATCAGCGGGAACAAAACGAGCGTACTGTCAAGTATGTGGATAGGAGAAAAAAAAACTAGGCGCCTCAAAACCCTCAACCGCGTGCTGTTGGTCCAGGGAATACTTGCGAGCACATGGAAAAACAAGGAAACCCACAAGTACGTGGGGCCCAAAACCGCCAACCCCCAACCCCATCCTGCTAGTTCAGGGGTTAAACAAGGCAACCCGCACCTGACCCACGTACACGTACGTACAACTGAAAGTTGGCTCAAGGGGAGACAAGACAACCCGCAACTACGTACTGGGCCTCGAGGCTTGTAGTGTAGGGCCTCGAGGCAATTCTACTACGTACCAGCGAGAATGTGGACGGCGCCAGGTTTCAAGTTCAGAGGCGTCTCAAATCCCCCAACCCTGTCTCGTTAGCTCGGGGAAAGTTGGCTCAACGGGGGACACGGCAACCCCCATCCACGTGCTACGTACCGGCGAGCATGTGCACGGCGTCGGGGGTGAGATCCACGGGCACGAGGCAGCCAATCGTGATCGACCGCGACGCGGCCAGCAGGGATAGACCACGCAGCGGCGACGGGGATGGGTCCAGGGGTGTTCTGATGGGTGGGGCTTGAATACTCCTTCCTCTGATACCCCTTCCTCTGATACCCCTTCCTCTGATACCCCTTCCTCTGGTACCCCCCCCCCTGGTCCTGCTTGAATGCTCATAATTATCGATGCTTTCTGAGGAGCCCAATGTGGGCCGCCTATGCTCCACTAGGCTACTTCTACTGCCACAGTCGAGTGCCAGGCCATCACTGCTAATACTATTAGAGCTGTCACTGCTATTCAGCATTCTGCTTGCACCGATAGCTATGTTGCCATTGCTCACATCTGCTCTTAGTAGTGCATCTGCTCTAGCTGTCGCATCCGCTCTGGCTGCTACATCGGTAACATCTGATGCTGCAGCGACATCGCCTGCGTATCCCCAGACCAGTGTCCACGTCAGCATCAGAAGCCACGTCACTACAGACGCTGTGTTCCAGCGCTTCACGCGGCTGAGAACTGAAAAGCTCCTCGCGATACCAGTGCGCAGATTCTGAGACGACTCTAACCTCAGAGACGGCTCTAACCTCCCAGACAGCTCTAAGCACCGAGACGGCTCTAACCTCCGAGACGGCTCTAATCCATGCCGAGCTTGCGACGCCACTATTCCTTGCCGAGTCGGCACGCGAGAAGAAGCAGAGCCGCAGTATCGACCCAACAGACATGCTTTACTAGCACTAGTCCTAGATCTGCTACTATCATGTACTATTTGACTAAAGTGAATGTCGGCTACTACTCTGCAACGGGTTTCCTCCTGACGCGAATGTCGCGCTGGAGAGACTTGTAGAAAGCCATCCGATGGGTCATCGGACAACAGCCGTCCCTGATCCTGTTCCCTCTCTTCTTTGATTCGCGGTTGCTCCACTCGCGGTCTCGCTATGTCCGACAGTGCGTCACTGGCGCATGTCATGTAACATGTACCCCCGTCCCATGATTCCGCCGGGCGAGTCGAGTCACATGACCCTCGCCGGTCCGACATGTCACAATGCACCTGCCGTCTCGACGTTCCCATGAATCGCTGGTCCGGCAACGGCTTCTTATCGCCGGCGTCGGATTCAGGATCACGGCCTTCGGGATTGCCTAGAAAGTGTCGCGTCTCGTCCGCTTCAGCTGCTGCTTTTCGTGCTGACGAGAGCACCTGCGATGATAACGGCGAATCGACGCCCTCCTGGGTAAAGGCGTGCGTTCCCTGAGACTCTCCCGCCTGACCCTGCCTTCGTCTCTGACTTCGACTACATCGCGCAGTATTGGAAGTTGTAGAAGAATCCACAGAATCTTCCGGAGTTCGAAAGCACCGTGAGTCGTCCTCCGCCTGTGATTGCTGCGCGGTCTTCCACAAACCGCCAAAGATTCTCAGGTCCATTCTGGGTGATGAGACAGCGACACAGCTCGAGGACGCATCGGGGCCTCCGTCACTGATAACTCGCGGATTTATTCCTGGTTTTCGGGGAGACAACTTGCTCGGTTTAAGGACATGACCTGTGGAGCGACAACTTGCTCGCGTGACCTGTGGAGCTGCTGCTCCAGTGGTCGCTCGCGTGTTACAATGTCGCGGCGTTGCAAGACTTCTCCTTCGATGTATAATGGCAGGGCGCCGTGAGAGTTGACGCAATGTACTCACAGGCGAGCGCTGTTCGTCGCACCGCTGCTGCTCTCTCTATTCAGAGGGCTATTCAGAGTCCACATCATTGTGTGAGAGGACAAGTCGTCACGCTCGATATTTGAACAAAATCCGGCTTCTCAGCGTAGGAAATACTCTGTTCGGCAGTATTTACCCTGAACTCTGTTCGGGAACTTCTAAGACTGAATTTGGGAATGACTCTCTCTGCACGTTTGGACTTCTAAGTGATTTGACGTTACCGAACGAGATCTTCGACAAGCCTCCCGCAAGGCGACCTCTTCTAGGAAGCTGGAAACTACCCCCCTTTGGAAGCAGGAAACGGGCTCTTTTCTCTGATAGTGATGATGAAAGCGGTAGAAGCGGGGATGTCAGTAGCTGCAAAGAGAGAAAGGAGCTTGTACTGTAGTAGACTGTCATTGATGGAAGCAGTGCCCCCTTCTAGCATCTCTCCCTTGCAAACATGGTCTGGAGTGGTTTGGGTCTGGCCAAGAAAGGTTGGAAGCAGGAGATGATGTCACAAGGGGTGAATATCCCTAGTGATGGACGAAAAAAGAACAATTGTAGGCACAGTTCATCGGTTGTCCCAGAGTTGATCGCCCCACGGCTCACAGCTCAGGGCTTGTCCTGAGTTACGTTTGTGAAAAAGTTATCGCACTGGAGCCTACTGAATCTTACAAAGCCCCGACTTTAATGTGCCAGACCGAGCTGCACCAGAAACACGAACAATAATGTTTGCACTTAGGACACGCCCCAGCATCCACGCAATAGCCATTCCTCCCCCCTCCCCCACCCCCAGCCCACAACCATCATAAGTTGCGGGCAGTTGCGGGAATACTAATACAAAACGACAGCGCTTTTTTCCAGTCAAGCATCCACCACCATTTGTCCATGAATCACCGAACCGTCTGATTCGAAGATGGCGGGCTGTCCGCGGGCTGTTCGATTCAAAACCCTGGAGATATTTCAAAGGTACGACAAGTGGTTTGGTGAGTTCCAGTAAGTTCTACCACGGTCAAAAGTGGTATTTTGTAGATGCAATTGATGACAATGGCACTCCGATTTTACCAATCTTTGGTGGCCTGAGGTGATCGTTTGTTTTTCACGTGCGGCGCAAAGTTGGCTGAATGGCAAAAGCTACACTGAACTGAGGTGGCAGGGGGAGCTGCCCAGGGTGTGCTGGGGGGGAAGTGGACACCGAAGGCAGGAATGGGCTGGCGAATGACCGCTGACGTGACATCACTCGTTCACAACCACCACACCACACTGAATGGATGGCATGGAATGATACAGCAATGCCAATCCGCCGCCCCCAACCACCACCGCCGCCTCCATCTTGGCTGGATGTGATGTGATGTGAGGCACTGCTCTCACTATTTCCGGTCGCGATATCTTTTTGAAAGCCCAACATGGGAGGACTGCATATAGCTGTTCGTATAGGCTATAACATGATGGTTAAATTTCTGGATTTCCTAAGCAGGGGGGTTATGATGGATGGCGTGGAGATACAATCAGAAATCCGGAATATTGCCTTGTTTTCCAATTCAAATGTTCAAAATCCCAAGGAAGAACTGTCCCGTCTAAAAAAAACCTATGACAAGCTCACTAGAAAATGGCATGTCGCAGACTTTGATTTAGGAACACTGCACCGGCAGATTTGGAAAATCATATGGTCAATAATGCGTAACAGAAGGAAAAACATGCTTTATGGGCTGAGTATTTGGGAAGGTATGAGGGTTTAGGTCTTATAAAGTGAAATAACTCATACAGGTATGCTATTTCTAGTTCGCCAATTACTCATTGCGGGTTGCCTGCGGTGCAGATCGGTTCAGGCTGATCCATTCCCTCACTACAAAGCGGCGTGGACGGCAGTCCCCTCTGACGGCACTAACAAACATTACACCCATTCATGGAACATCACTACTACAAGCAGTACTAATTAGCCGCATAGGATCAATCAGCCAGTACCGCAGCGCGCCATTGGTAATTCCTCGCTCGCCGCGCGCGCCGAAGCCATGCGCTTCGCCGCGCTGCAGCCGTCGCGGTGCCTGCATCCCCCCCGCGCAACATTTAGGCCTATTTTGACATCTGAGGTTTATTCAATATTTTCTCCGCATTTTCAGTTCCATCAGCACCGACCTGCACCAGCACCACCCTCCCCCTCCCGTTACCCGCACCCACGCCGCCTTGCGCACCCCGTTTCTCCCCCCGCTGTAACAGGGTTACCACAACCTGCTGCAGCGCTGGGTACTGTTGGAAGTTACCGCCAAGGACTGACCAGCTGTAGCAGAAACGCGTCTAATTATCCGCCGGCCGGCTGTAGCAGAAACGCTTCTATTCATGGGCCGGCTGGCTGCAGCAGAAACGCTTCAATTCCTGGACCGGCCGGGTGTAGCAGAAACGCCTCTGTGCGTGGACGGCAAGATTGTAGCGAAAGTCCTGATGGGAGGCACCGCATTGGTAGCACGCCGGACAGGCTGGGTGCGTTAGTTGCTCCTGTACACAGCAGCTGTAGCGCGGCTGCTACAACCGCAGGGACGGACAGGCTGTATGTGCTTGTTGCGCGGGCAAGCGGCGCTGCTGCTGTAGCAGGTGCCGCACTGGCAGTGGCTCTGCCTGCTCACGCTGCTACAACCGTTGCCGCTGGTGGGGCTGCTACAGCTGCCAGTGTTGGTACTGCTACAGCCGTTGCGACTGCAGCGAGCGCGCTGTCAGACGGAGCAGTGTGGGCGGTGCTGTGCGCGTGCGCTGCTGGCGCCCAGGTGACTATAGCGGATGTGCTCTCCATAGTCACGTGTGCAACACGTCTGTAGTGTACATGTGTCGCCCAGCCCAGGTGTGACACGATGAATGTTCTCTCAACATGTGTCACGGTGAGCACGCTCACTCCAATCAACATCTGTCACGGTGAGCACGCTCACTCCAATCAACATCTGTCACGGTGAGCACGCTCACTCCAATCAACATCTGTCACGGTGAGCACGCTCACTCCAATCAACATCTGTCACGGTGAGCACGCTCACTCCAATCAACATCTGCCATGGTGAGCACGCTCACTCCAATCAACATCTGTCATGGTGAGTACGCTCACTCCAATCAATGATTGATCACTCTCTCCTCCCTCCTCTCCTATCCTGTCTCCGAGTCGGCTTTTGAGTCGGCTCAAAAGTCAATTCTGATCAATGATTGATCACTCTCTCCTCCCTCCTCTCCTCCCGTCTCGTCTTGTGGCCTTCTCCTTGCTTGCCTCTAGCTGCTAGAGCAGCGCACGTCATGGGGCCAGCAGGTGTCTTCCGTGCTGATTGCAATGCTCGCGGCGGCGGTGCTCTCCTCCCTCGCTGTGCTGCCTGCTGCGTCGCCAGTCTACGACTTTGTGAGTTGTGAGGCGCCTCAAAACTAGAGTCTTCGGTGCTCATTGCAATGCGCGCGGCGGCGGTGCTCTCCTCCCTCGCTGTGCTGCCTGCTGCTTCGCCAGTCTACGACATTGCAAGTTGCAAATGTTGTGCTCACACAGTGTGAGGAGATGGCTTTTGAGCCGTCTCAAGGTGCTGATTGCAATGCTCGGTGCTTTTTAGAGTTGTCAAAAACACCCTGCAAAAAGTAAGACTTTTAAACCGACTCAAGGATGCTCATTCAATGCTCGCAGCGACGGTGCTCTCCTCCCTCGCCATGCTGTCTGCTGCGTTGCCAGTCTATGACTTCGTGAGGGGCATTGTGAGTGGCAAATGCCTCGTTCAGTTTGTTAGGTTACTTACTTAGTCGAGTTCTTGTTGAGATTTCGTTGACTTGGTGAATAATAATGGATTGTGGGAGCCTGCTCGTCTGTTGATGTAAGCTCTCACATCAACCCATTTTGGTTAAAGTCCAAAATGGGGTGAGGTGAGAGGGGGGAAGGGGAGCTGTCTCTTTTCCCCTGTATACAAAACTGTGAGTGAGTTCTTCTCTTCCTGTGCTCGCCAATCAGGTGTGGACACGTGTCATGCCCATGGCTGTGGCTCTGGTGCTGCTAGAGACAGATGTGACGTCAGCGTTCACACAGTCAGGTGAAACCCTACGTCATGCTATCTATGCTATGCAATGCGAAGTTATTTATCTTCCTGGATTTAAGTTTTCGTAACATAGACAGTAGCATTCGTGCAGTATGCCAAGCGTTGCCATGTAATATCAATGGATGTGGTAACACCCTTTATCACACCTGTCATTCGCCCTCTCTTCCCCTCCCCCCTCCCAACCCACACCCCCCCCCCCCCCCTTCCCCATCAGGTCCCGGGCTACTAGCTTTCCTGCTGGGTGCAGTGGGCACAGTGGCAGGGACACTTGTCGGCTTCTCATTGGCCGGGCCGTCCCTGGGACTGGAGGGGTGGAAGGTGGCTGCTTGCTTCTGTGCGACGTACATCGGAGGGAGCGTCAACTATGCCGCCACTGCCAAGGTATGGGGAGAGATGGGGGAAGTGTTTAATAATTAGAGGAGGAGTAGGGATCATGCTTGCTTCTGCGCCACATGCGTAGGGGGGAGCGTCAACTATGCCGCCACTGCCAAGGCATGGGGAGAGATGGCAAGGTGATGAGTGAGGAACGGTTGAGGAAAGGGATGGAAGGTGGCTAGGATGGAAGGTGGCTCAGGTGGAAGGTGGCTCGGGTGGAAGGTGGCTCGGGTGGAAGGTGGCTCGGGTGGAAGGTGGCTCGGATGGAAGGTGGCTCGGGTGGAAGGTGGCTCGGGTGGAAGGTGGCTCGGATGGAAGGTGGCTCGGGTGGAAGGTGGCTCGGATGGAAGGTGGCTCGGGTGGAAGGTGGCTCGGGTGGAAGGTGGCTCGGGTGGAAGGTGGCTCGGGTGGAAGGTGGCTCGGGTGGAAGGTGGCTCGGGTGGAAGGTGGCTCGGGTGGAAGGTGGCTCGGATGGAAGGTGGCTCGGGTGGAAGGTGGCTCGGGTGGAAGGTGGCTCGGGTGGAAGGTGGCTCGGGTGGAAGGTGGCTCGGGTGGAAGGTGGCTCGGATGGAAGGTGGCTCGGGTGGAAGGTGGCTCGGGTGGAAGGTGGCTCGGGTGGAAGGTGGCTCGGGTGGAAGGTGGCTCGGATGGAAGGTGGCTCGGGTGGAAGGTGGCTCGGGTGGAAGGTGGCTGCTTACTTTTGCGACGTACATTGGGGGGAGTGTCAACCATGTTGCCACTTCCAAGGTAAGCGACGGGCATGGAGGTTCTGAACTAGGTGACTAAAGCTAGTGCATTGCGTGGCACGGCAGTCGACCGCCTCTGCGATTGCGGGCCTGCATCTTCCCTTACAGTTCCCTGCATTCCCTGCTCTCTTCCCCTTGATTCCTTGATTCCTTGATCCTTGATTCTTGATTCTTGATTCTTGATTCTTTGAAAACTAGACTCCTATCACTAGTACCCTGCATTCCCCACTCTCTCAAGCGGTCCGTTTATTGCTTGGAAAACTGGGTACAGGCTAGGCAAGGCAGGCAAGGGGCAGCAAGGCAAGGTACGCGCATGTTTGGGGGCTCGAAACTACACGAGCTCCCCTAGGGGCTCTGCTATGGCAAAGCAGTCCCCGGGTGCCATGTCGGCGTCAGGGGTGCCCACTGGGGTGTGGGGGGCAGGGGAGGCTTCATTAACTTTCCCCAGGTAAGCCAGGGCCTGTGCCCGCTGCAGCGTCACTGACCAGCGTTGGCGAAACTGGTGGAGCAATTTTGCGGCCTGGTAGGAGCTGGGGTCCGCATTGAAAAGTCTCCTGGCCCCTGTGTCAGCCAGCAGCTTCAAGAAGGTAGGGACCTCGGCGCATGGGCAGCCGTATGTCTCGACTGCAAGTGGGAAAAATCCGACATACGGAGCCCGATTTCGGTAATGGGAGATTTTCTTGTCAGCTTGCTCCCGAGCCATGTATCCGCGTCCTTTTCTTGCGTGCGGGTCCCGGCTGCTGATGGGATCTGTGACAGTGACGTCACAGATCCAGACGGCTCCAGAACTGCGGTCTCGGAGGGCGAGGTCGGCCTTGTGGCCGTCTACGGGGCTGTAGATGGTGGTCTCCTTGGTGACTATAAAGTCAGCATCCCGGGCCATCCGTATGCTCTCGTCCCGCAGGGCATTATGGGTGTCAGTCCGACCGTGCCCGGTGCCACACCGGAGCAGGTGGTTGGGCAGCCTAGTGTCGAGGATTTCAAATTCCTCGGCGCAGTTGCAAGTGCGGGGGGCTGGGAATGGAAGGCCGAGGCGGAAGGCCAGGGCAATGGCGAAGTGTGGAGCTTCGAGGCGGAGTGATGGGAAGATGGGGATGGCATGAAGCCAGTCCCCTGCTCCATATCCAGCCAGGGAAAAGAGGCGTTGGGTGTGCCCAGAGAGTGGGTTTGGGTCCATTGTCCGCGTGGCTGCCACCTGGCCGGCGTATCGCACGGCCTGGACTTCGAGGGATAAGCGGTGTTGGAGTGGGGAGCCGGAGGGTTCCCTCCTCTCGGAGTGCAGGAGCTCCCGGGCTCGTGGGGGCATCGCCGTTTCACACTTCGCCAGCCAGGTATGCAAGTGGGTGGGGCTGGTGAAAGGTGGCGTGAGGTGCCGGACAGCGTCAGCCAGGGGCCCTCCTGACGCTGCTGGGAGGGCAGCCAAGAGGCCCTGGGCTTGGGTGAGGCTGGTGAGGTAGGCTGGGTGTCCCTCAATTGCGGGGTCGGTTAGACCCAGTCCTCCAAGGGAGGGAGGGAGGGACGCTTGAGCCCAAGTGCGCGCCTGCTCCACCTCCCCTCGAGGCTGTTGGAGGTTGCAGGCACGCAGGAGGGTATGGAAGAGCTCCCTACCCCAGTCGGACCAGACGTCCAAGGGTAGGAAGTCAAGGGGGGTGGTGCGGGTTAAGTATGAGACACGCCGGGACACGCAGCGTGTGAGGAGGAGGGATGAGGACTGAGGGTCCATTGTGGCCAGTGTGGCGAGGGGTTCGGCTAGCAGGGCTAGCTGGGTGCGGAGGAATGCGGCTGTGCCCTCGGCTGTGCCTATAAAGCTGCCAAGCACGCGGACGCCTTCAGTGTTGAAAGGTATGTCTGGGGGAAGGCGGTCGGGTGCAGGGCGCTCGGCTGACCATGCTGCGCATTTCGCGGGGTTGTGGGAGAGACCGATGCGGTCCATGGCGGCTGTGAAGGTGAGGAATGCCGAGGTGCAGGCGTCCGGGTTGCCGACGAAAGTGACGTCGTCAGCGTATGCGAGGCAAAGGACCTCGGGGTGGGCCGCGGCGGTTGCCTGGAGGGCTGGGTGGATGGCTGCTGCGAAGAGGAGGGGGCCCATGGGATCCCCTTGGCGAACTCCCCGTGCGCTGAGTAGGGGCGGGCTATCAAACTCGGCGTCGAGATAGAGCAGAGACGGCGCGCCATACGAGAATTGGATAAATGGAAGGAGCGGGCGGAGGGGCGAGGTGTTGATTGCGTGGATGATTGCCCCACGGTCAACGCTATTAAAGGCGTTCGAGAGGTCGACTTGTAGGATGAGTGAGCCCGGGCGCGCAGAGGTAAAGCCCCTGGTGGCGTGGATGATTGTTTCCCCGCCGCTCCTGATGGCTACCCCGTATTGGTGTGGTAGGAAGTAGTCTTGCGCGGATTGCGTGGAGGAGATTAGCGCGGCTTTTGCCGCCAGTCGATGGAGACACTCCCCTATTGCGATGGGGCGGGTACCCCCATCTGGCTTGGTAAGGGCCAGGAGGCGTGAGGAGGTAACGAGCTGGCTGACCTCGTGCGGCAGGTTACCCGCCAGTAACCGCTGGACGAGCTTGTGGAGGTTTGTGGCGACGGTGGGGTTGGACAGCGAGGCGTCGCGAAGGTGCTCGAAGGTCATCCCCGAGGGGCCTGCCCCAACTCCATTTTCGGAGCGGGCGAGGAGCTTCGCGAACGTAGCGAAATCGACTGTCGGCGGCCTGCAGTTTTCGTCAAGCCGTGGCCAGGTGAGGCTTTCGACAAGCGGAGGGGGGTGTTTTGACTTCAGCGCGTCCAGGACCGTGGGGGTGGACTTGCTGACTGGGGTCGAAGTCAACGCGAGCAGTGCCCGTCGCAAACTGCCTCGTCGTACCAAGCCCTCGGCGCGGGATATTTTCCCGAGAGTGTCAGGTACGTGGCGGGGAGGGGGTGGCAGGGTGACAGCCGAGGCAGCAGCTTGGTACAGTGTGTCCCACTGGCCCGCGAGAAATTGTCGGAGTCGTCGTTCCGTCGCGGGCCAGTCAGGGCGTCGAGGCGAGGGTAGGCGAAGTGTGAGGCGCGGGAGGTAAAGTAACAGGGTCCAACCCTCGATGGAGGTTGGATGTTTGGCGAGGAAAAGGAGGGGTGTCAGGAGGGTGAGCGCGAAAAGTTGACGGATTTGGGGGGGTAACCGGCGGGAGAGAGGGGGTTGGCGACTGTCGCAGAGAACTGCGACATCCCACGTGGCGATGACGGCGAATCTGGAGGGGTCATTCGCCAGTTCTTCCGGGGACAACTGCTGGGCTGCCTGGGGGTGGGTGTCCAGCGGTGTCCGAGTATTGTGCAAACGGCTGGACCCTCGTCCCCTAGATCTTGGAGATGGGTCAGTCTCTCGTCCTCCAGCGCGCCTGTTTGCTTCGACGTGTTCCTCCTCACTGGAGGTCTCAGTCGGGGGGTCTCCCTGGTTCCCTGGTATATAAGTTCCGTCCGCCCGTTCCTCCTCATCAGTCGTTCGTTGCAGTTCCGCGGCACTTAAAGCCCTGTTCGCTGCCTGCTGGAATCCGTTCAGCGGTCCTCCGTCGGAGGACAGATTGCCACGCCTTGCCGCCCCGCGACCGCGCCCTCCGGCTGTCCGTGTGTGGAGTCTTCCGCGTCCGCCTCCGTGGTTTCCTCTCGGGGCGGCCCTGGTCGTCGTTCGGCTTTCGTGTCGAGTCGTGGGGGGAGCCGAGTGCGGTGCGCCTCCTCGGGATGGAGCGACCAGCGCGGGAGCGTTCTGCCGATTTGGAGAGTACTGGGGACAGCGAGTCCCCCCAAGGTCGGGCGAGTCCTCCGGCGTCGTCGAACCGGGATTGGGAGCGCGGGCTCCTCGTCCTCTCGGCGGCCCGCCAACAGACTCCTGAGCGGATGCGGGGGCAGTCGCGGGGCAGGACTGCCGCGCCCCCGAGACACGAGGAGAAATCCCCTGAGCGCGCCGTGGAAATTGGACGTGAGCCAGTGGCGCGTGGCGAGGTGCGGCAGTCACCGCGCCAGCAGCATCCCTCTCGCCGAGGAACGCCTCAGCGCCGCCCACAGGCGGGGCCAGGGCAGCAGCGCCGGACTCCGCAGGCGCCGCGCGGGCGTTCGGGCCAGCGCGCCGGCTGGAGGGCTGGCGGGGGGAGTAACCGTGGGTCCGCAGCGGAGAGGCGCCTAGGGCGGGCCGCGGCGACTCTCGAGGGCTTGTTCCGCAGTGTCGCCCAACCCCAGCAGGCTCTGGCGTATGCTCCGCAGCTTCTGGCGCCCCAGCAGTACCAGCAGGCGCACTTGCCTCCCGTGCGTTTACCCCTTCCTCAGGCACCGGCGCCGGCATTCCCTCCCCGCAGTGTGACATCTCTCCCGCTCCTTGACAGCCAGCACCTCTTGGCGTCCCTTCCCTCTGCACCTCCTCCGCCAGTCCTCCCCTCGGCCGGTCCCTTCGATCCGCGTCGGTTGGACGTGCGGTCCGCGGAGATACTGCCGCCCTGGCAGCCGACGCTCCCGGATGTGTCGGTGGTGGGAAGGTCCCGTGGCCCACCGCCGTTGGTGGCACCAGCATCGTTCGGCGAGCGGGCGACAGCGCCCTTTGTCCCCCCCCGCCGTTCGCTGGCGTCACCGACTGGAGTTGAGGGGGGGGCAGAAGCAGCGGAGATGGGGGGAGCGGAGTCCACGGGCGAGGACTCGCCTCCTGGGGACCAGGGGCGGCGTCGCTCGGGTGGGCTGCGGATGCCGCAGAGGGCGCAGCTGGAGCGCCTGCGGGGGAGGGAGCGGCTGGCGGAGACTGCGATCCCAATCGCCACGCTTCGTCGGCTCTGGCACGCGCAGAGGGCGATGGGGTATGCCGTGGAGATGCTGACGGACTCACACTCCGTTCTACGGAGCTCAGTGAGCCCGTGCAAGATGCCTCACGATCCGCTCCATCGCTGCGCGATGGCTGCAGCGGATCTGGCGGTCGTGTCCACGCGAGTGCAGCCTGCGCCCGCCTCGGGAACCGTGTTGGACCCGCGCCTGCTCGCCGTGATGCGGACAGTATCGGCGAGCGTAGACTCGGCTGCAGCTGTAGACATCGTTGGCGGTGCCGTGTCAGCGCTGATGCTCCTGGGGGACTATGTGAGGGCCCTGCTTGAGGAGGCTGGAGCGGACGAAGCCGCATGATGGGCTGCCGTCGTGTGTAGGTTCTGGTTGGTGAAGTGCGCTCCAGCGTGAGCGCTCTGGTAAGCTCTGTCAGGCTCTCCATGCTTGTTTGCCCAGTGTAGTGTTGGCGGGTTGAAGATCCCGGATGTGTGTATTTGATGTTGTCGTAGTTGACTTTGAAGCCTTGTGTCCGTGCCGCCCCTCACGCGCGGCCGAAGGCCGCGCTGCGAGCGTCGGCGGCCGAAGGCCGCCGACGCGAGCCGCCACCAAGGGTTGGAGAAAAGAAAGAACTGGAAACTAAACAGGAAGAATGAGGGAGGGAGAGAGCTTATATAGCTGGAGAGGGACTCATGCTCTCTCTCTCTCTCTCTCGCTCTCTCTCTCCTCTCTCCCGCCAGCAGGGTTCCCCACTCTCTTCCCTCTGATTCTTTGCATGCTCCCCATTCTCCTCACTCACACTCTTCAGGCCCTTGGCATGGTCGTCACTGCAGGGGCAGCAACGGCAGCTGCCAGCATGGGAGCCAGCCTTCTAGCAGCAGCATTGGCTGTGAGGCAAGACAACCATCTGAGTCGCCTCTATCCCTCCCCTTTCTCCCCCCCGCCCCCCAACACACACACTAACACTACAGGCGCTTGGCATGGACATCACAGCAGGGGCCGCAACAGCAGCTGTCAGCACTGGCGCCAGCCTTCCCACAGCAGGCATAGCCGTCGGCAATCTCCTCATGGCCGCTTACTTCTCACTGCTGGCTGCTTGCTGCTTGCTGCTCCCTCTCCTCCCTGCTGCTCCTCTCTGCCCCACTCCCAGGCCCTTGGGATGGACATCACAGCAGGCGCGGCAACAGCAGCCGCCAGCACTGGCGCCAGCCTGCTCACAGCAGGCATGGCAGTGGACAACCTCCTCATGGCGGCTTACTTCTCCGTGCTCGCTGCCCTCCCTGACTCGTGGCCCAAGCCGTGGGGCGGGGACAAGTGGGGGCTTGGGAATCTGCTGGGTGCGTCTGAGTCGACAAGTCACGACTCAACGAAACACCCCTTGGACTCCTTCCCCCCACCTTCCTCCCCCTCGCCCCCCTCCCCATCTCCTTCCACTGTTACTTCTCCTCCCTCTCCCTCCTCCCTCACTCACTCCCCACCCCCCTCCCCCTCCCCCTCGGTGGAGTCCCTCACTCTCTCCATAGCCGCTGCCGCCTCAGCATGCGCACTAGCAGACAAAGTTGCCGTCCATCTGCCGCCCGTGATGGCCTCGGCACAGCTGGCGCTTGCCGCCCTGCTGGCCTCCCTCCTGTCGACTGTAGCAGCCAGGCTGACAGGGCGGGGGGAGGGAGGACTGGAGGAAGGAGAAAGCAGTTACCAAAAAGCGGGGGAGCAGAAGGAGGAGAAAGGGGAGAAAGAGGAGAAAGGGGAGAAAGCGGAGAGCGGTTCAGTGTTTTCAGGAGCAGAAGCGCTTGGCAACTCGCTCATGCTCATCTTCTTCGCTAATGTGAGCCCTTCTGCCGTTTGAATTTAAAGTCAAACCAAAGGCACTTTGCTAGATTAACCAAGGCGCCCTTCTGCGATCTGCGAGGGTGCGTGGCTGTGTGTTTGATCCGTGAGTGTGTGTGAGGCCATGTCTGCTGCTGGTAGTGGGCTTGCTCTGGTGGCTCTTTTACAGACCAAAAGCCAGTACCCAGTCTATTCCTTGTTGAACCTTCAACCGCCAGTCCCATCTCCCAGAGCAAAACTAGGCGCCTCAAGGACCACAACCAGAACCTCCGCCCCCAGTTTTGAGGCGCATCAAAACGGCACCTCAAGGTCCAGAACCAGAACCTCCGCCCTCAGCAGCAGATCGGACTGTGTCCGAGGCCGTTGGGGTGGTGTTTTTGCTGGTGTTTTGGTGGTGGCTCTTCCACTCACCCCCCTTCCTTCTTCACTCATTCCATCGGCACTTCTCCTCTGAGCAGATCGGAGCATCTGCCAGTGTGTCTGAGGCCATGTCTGCTGGTGGCGGGCTGCTTGCATTCGTTGCAACTGTGCTGATGGTAGGCTGCCTGCTGGTAATTGTACGGCACAAACCCTCATCCACAGGATCGCTTTAGTATAATGAGGTGACTTGTGAGTCGACTCAAAAGTCAACTGTGCTGATGGTAGGCTGCCTGCTGGTGATCGTAGGGCACAAATCCTCATCCACGGGTTCGCTTTTGTATCATAAACATCTAATGCACGATCATTTGTGCTCTCCCTTTCCCCCTCGTCCTATCCCTTCTCCATTGCACAAAGAGTCGCAGTGGCACTGGCGCCCTTTCTAGTCTCCTCAGCTCATCTCCCACTTTCGACGTGACTTTTGAGTCGACCTTTCTAGTCTCTCAAAAGTCACCTTTCTAGTCTCTCAAAAGTCACCTTTCGAGTCTCTCAAAAGTCACCTTTCTAGTCTCTCAAAAGTCACCTGTCTAGTCTCTCAAAAGTCACCTTTCTAGTCTCTCAATATTCACCTTTCTAGTCTCTCAAAAGTCACATTTCTAGTCTCTCAAAAGTCACCTTTCTAGTCTCTCAAAAGTCACCTTTCTAGTCTCTCAAAAGTCACCTTTCGAGTCTCTCAAAAGTCACCTTTCTAGTCTCTCAAAAGTCACCTTTCGAGTCTCTCAAAAGTCACCTTTCTAGTCTCTCAAAAGTCACCTTTTCTAGTCTCTCAAAAGTCACCTTTCTAGTCTCTCAAAAGTCACCTTTCTAGTCTCTCAAAAGTCACCTTTCGAGTCTCTCAAAAGTCACCTTTCTAGTCTCTCAAAAGTCACCTTTCGAGTCTCTCAAAAGTCACCTTTCTAGTCTCTCAAAAGTCACCTTTCGAGTCTCTCAAAAGTCACCTTTCTAGTCTCTCAAAAGTCACCTTTCTAGTCTCATCAGCTCTTTTCCCAGTTTCTCTCTCGTGTTCCCCAATCCCCCCATCACATCAGGTTCACATTGCGGTTGTTCTTGTGGGGGGGAGACTCCTCAACATCCCCCTTGATATTGTAAGTGGATTTTTCTTTCATAATTTTTGTAAACATTTCGTGCCCATATCACTCTAATTGGGAAGCTGAGAGATAGACACGACATGGTGCTGCCATGGAGCTATGAACCACGTCTCAGGTTCCCATCCCCAGATTCCCTTTCCCCATCTCCCGCATTTTCTCCCTGCTCCCCCCACCACCTCATGGTGGCATCCAACGCCAATGTGGGCAGGCCAGCCACGGCAGCAGCCATACCTGTTGAGACATCTCATAGCCTGCTTACTCAATCACATGCTGCCTTTTCTCCCTTCTCCCCCAACCAGCTCATGGTGGCATCTAATGCCAATGTAGGCGGGCCAGCCACGGCAGCAGCCATGGCCAGTGCGCGCAGCTGGCCCCATTTGGTGCGGCCAGCAGTGTTACTCGGCACATTCGGCTACACCATCGGCACGGCCATTGCCTTCCTGCTCGGAATCAACGTGCTGCAGCCCATGGCAACTGCTGCTCTTGCCAAAGTGATGTAACGCCGTGCCTTGGCTGCTGCTCTTTTCAGCTACACCTGGTGCACCAGCGGTGTTACTGGTGTTACTCGTAACTCGGCATGTTCGGCTGCGCCGTTGGTACGGCCATTGCCTTCCTGCTCGGAATTAACGTGCTGCAGCACATGGCGAGGCGGAGGCTGCTCTTGCCAGGGGGCTTTGATTGAAGCATGGCATGCCGCCATGGCCAGAGCTGTGTAATGAGTCTATCATAATTTTTACTCAGGGGGCTTCCATTTGAAGCATGTCTTGGCATTTTTGACTCAGTTGTCTTCGCAATCTTGCGATTTTCCCCATTGGTTGTGGCCAACAGTGTTGGATACATAGCTTTCATGCTCTCGATTACTAACACTCTCAATTGGGTAAGTCAAGGAGTAAACATTTCCATCCAAAGTCTAGCATGCTCGCATTGGTTATACAAACCAAATAAAACCTTCTATTCCCCTCGTTACCATATCCCATACTACGCCATGTCGCACCGCCAGTAAACGCGGGTCGCGTGTCTCCCAGGGATCTAGGTCGCCTGATATTTGTTCTGTTGCCCTCCGCGCCTTGCGCCGCGTCTCGCGCGGGCTCTACGAATGATGACCATCCTCGCGAGCCGCACTATCAAACGCCACATGGCGAAGCGCGACGGGGCAAGAACCGCAGCACCGGGGGCGGCGCTTAGAGTCTGGAGCTTCAACCGTTGCGTGACGCAAGTCGGTGGCGCGACGAAAATGAGAGACTCTCAAAAGGCGGGGACAGAAGAAGTTCAGAGGGGCTTATCATGAGTCAAGTCAACTGACGTAGGAAAAACCACCACTAATCAAATGGCAAGACTGGGCAGGGCAGTACGATTATAGTACACCCAAAACCTCTTTAGAATCAACCGTGTATATCAGGCTGGCTACGTGTTTTTTTTTTTTTTTTTTTTTTTTTGTTGCGGAGCAACCTATTGCAATCGATCGGGCTGGTTTTTTTTTTTTCAAGTTTGTGAAATAAAAATCAAATGTTTGTTGTGATGGAAATAAAACATTTTATTTATAATAAAGTCTCATCATGAAATGCTCCGCAACCCTAAGACGATCTCGTCGCCTCTTGTTTTTTTTTGGGAATGTGATTTTAGGTGACCGCCCAGGGAACCGACTGCCAGGGGTATTTCCCGAGCCCCCGAAGAAGTAAGGGTGTATTCTGGAATGACGAGCGTTTGGTCTTCGTAAAGGGGAAAAAACGAGCTCCTAAATGAGTTATCTATCTTCAAGCAAGACGTGCACAATTAGGTGTAATGATTTTGACTCCCACGTGGAGGGAAACCAGAGGGGAGTTAAAAAGAAACGAAGAAAAAACAAAAACAAAAACAAGAGCCGACGAAATCGTCTTAGGGTTGCGGCGCTCTATAGAATAAATGTTAAGATAAAAGACTTCGTTGAAATTTTTGTTATTTTGCCGTGATAATTATTGGATGAAAATGACTTGAGCTAGCATACTATTTAGACATTGCCCGTTTAAACTTAAAGTACATAGCATTCAAGAATATACGTAAATGAAACATTTTCTGAATTTTTTTATTATTCGAATTATAAACATGTCACGACTACCAAGTGTGGAAACTGCCACATAGAGCGGGTTCTTCTATTTTCATGTTTAAAATCCTTATGTTACTTTCCGATATATCTCTATCTTCAACAGTATTGTTTTTTATTACGCTACAATTTTCCATTCATTTTCGTTTTCGTTTTCGTTTTCGTTCTGTCTCGCCACTCTCGTTACAATGGCAAAAGTGTATTCTTGATCTGATTTCCCTGCCCAGTAGCAAAAGTTGACACCAGACAGGTTTTTTTTTTTTTTTTTTTTTTTTTGTTGCATAGCAACCCTTCACAATAGGTCGGTGGACCGATTTCGGACGACTTTGTTTAGTCGGCCTAGTAACCTGCACAACATATGTTTTCCAGGTTTAATACGTCGCTCACTCTAAAGACACTAGTTTTTTTTCCATCTAAAATTTGTTGTCTAAAATCTGAATGTTTACGTTCTCCTATAGAGAATCTCTACATATCCGTTTGTTTGATGATTCCTTTTACTATAACTCAGAAACTTAGCATCTCAAAATACCTTTTCTAGCTTGCATAAAGTCTATGTTTTTCGCAATTATTATGTGGTCGATAATGGAGACGCCATAATAATTGAGCAACATAGAGTTTTGTAACGATTTACTAAGTTTTCTATAAATGATGAGAGAGGCTCGAATCATTCGCCGTCGATAATTACGGCGGAGAATGACTGAACCACAACATCACCACCACAATTTTCAAAGCATGTACACAGAACGCATCTTACCAACACACACACATATAACGGTTCGGCTCGACACGACAACAGTACAATACAACAAAACGATCGCGAATGCAGTAAAACGAAAGCATCAATGCGTTCGTGCCACATTAGAGATTGACATGCACGTTATGGGAAAAAAACTCCCAATCGGGCAATGACAATCGCACATTGTATGATGCATTATGCATAATCAGCATCGTTTCCCTGCACGCACGCACAATACACAACAATGTAAAACACTTGCTAACAAACAAAAACAGTGCAATAGTGATTGCAAAGAAAGAAATGCATCAATGCTTTCGTGCTACAATAGAGATTGACATGCAAGAATGAGAAGCAATTCCCCAAACCGGCAACGACAATCGCAAATTGTGTGATGCACTAGGCATAGTCAGCATCCTTCCCCTGCAAGCACAACGCAACGCAGCACCGTGCAAAACACAAGCCAACAAACTGGTACGCACCTTGTCAATAATGGTACCGTACCATGCAAACGCACATACACAAGCAACGCGGCATAAAAAACCACAAAACAACAATGCAAATGCACGCAAATCAAACACGAAGATATAATGGGTAGCACGAAAACAATACCAAAAGTCAACTTCAAATATCCATGAATCAATGCTTTGACTGGATTTGGAGTGAGAAGTCTTGGAACGTGATGACTTGAACTTCGACGACTTGGAATGTTCTGGGAATGTGACAAACTTGAACGTGATAACATGACTGGAGAGGATAACAAGAGGAGAAAATAAGAGGGAAGAGCTTGAGACAATAGCAGCCAGAGAGAAACTAAAGCGATTAGGTGGGGAGAACGGGAACGGATGCAAGGGAAAAAACAGTATAGCGGAGACGAAGGCAAGAAAGACGGACAAGGAGAAGGGAGCAGCAAGTGCAAGAGAGAAGCAACCACTGAAATGAGAAGCAAACGCAGCGTAGAAACAAGTGTAGGGGAACATCAAATACAGAAAGGAGAATAAGGAGCAAGGAAGAGCAGCACGGGGAGGGAGAGGGTCACACAGAGGGAAGAATGAATAAGCAGAGTAAGAATGGAGAGGGGAGACCAGAGGGTGGAAGAACGTGAGGAAGAATGGTTAAAAAGAGCTGAGGGGGGAATTGAGGCGAGAAGACAGGAGAGGGAAAGAATGGAGGGGAAGAACAGAGGCAAACAGACAGGGGAAGAATGGATGGAGGACGAACAAAAAACAGCGAGAGGGAGAGTAGTGTATACCTGAGAATGGGCTGCACTTGGGCTTGTAAGAATACAGATTGCGAAGGCAATAAAGCAGAGGGGGGATGAGGTAAGAAGAACGCAAGGGGTAAAGGAAAGAGGGGGGGGGGTGGGAGAACGTTGGTGAGGAAGAATTGAAAGGGAACGGCAGAGGGGGGGAGAGCAGAGGGCGGGAGAATGGAGGATGGAAGGACGGAGGGGGGAATGGAGGGTGGAAGACCGAGGTAGGATAAACTGAGGGGGGAAAACAGGAATGAGGGAGACAATGAGAGGAAGAACGGAGGTGGAAAGACAAATGGAGGAAGAAGGGAGGGGGGACGGCAATGTTTGAGGAACGGAGGGGGGACCACAAAGGGGGGGGGACGGAGGGGGGATGACAAAGGGGGAGGGACGGAGGGGGGATGGCAAAGGGGGAGGGGTGGAGGGGGGACGACAAAAGAGGAAGGAACGGAGGGGGGACGACAAAGGGGGAGGGACGGAGGGGGGACGACTAAGGGGAGGAAAGGAGGGGGGACGGCAAAAGGGGAGGAACGGAGGGGGGACGACAAGGGGGGAAGGATGGAGGGGGGACAGCAAAGGAGGGGGAAGGGAGGGGGGACAGCAAAGGGGGGGGAACGGAGGGGGGACGACAAAGGGGGAGGGAAGGAGGGGGGACGACTAAAGGGGAGGGACGGAGGGGGGACGGCAAAGGGGGAGGAACGGAGGGGAGATGGCGAAGGGGAGGAAGGGAGGGGGGACAGCAAAAGGGGGGGAACGAACGGGGGACGACAAAGGGGGAGGGAAGGAGGGGGGACGACAAAGGGGGACTGACGGAGGGGGGACGGCAAAGAGGGAGGAACGGAGGGGAGATGGCGAAGGGGGAGGAAGGGAGGGGGGACAGCAAAGGGGGGGAACGGAGGGTGGACGACAAAGGGAGAGGGACGGAGGGGGGACGGCAAAGGGGGAGAAACGGAGGGGAGATGGCGAAGGGGGAGGAAGGGAGGGGAGATGGCGAAGGGGGAGGGACGGAGGGGGGACGACAAAGGGGGAGGGGCGGAGGGGGGACGAGAAAGGGGGGGAACCGAGGGGGGACGACAAAGGGGGAGGAACGGAGGGGGGACGGCAAGGGGGGAGGAACGGAGGGGGGACGGCAAAGGGGAGGAACGGAGGGGGGAAGACGAAGGGGGGGGAAGAGAGGGGGGACGGCCAAGGGGGAGGAACGGAGGGGGGACGGCCAAGGGGGAGGGACGGAGGGGGGACGACAAAGGGGGAGGAACGGAGGGGGGACGGCAAAAGGGGAGGAACGGAGGGGAGACGGCAAAGGGGGAGGAACGGAGGGGGGACAGCAAAGGGGGGGGAACGGACGGGGGACGGCAACGGGGGAGGGGAGAAGGGGGACGACAAAGGGGGGGGAACGGAGGGGGGACGAGAAAGGGGGAGGAACGGAGGGGGGACAGCAAAAGGGGAGGAACGGAGGGGGGACGGCAAAAAGGGAGGAACGGAGGGGGGACAGCAAAGGGGGAGGAAGGGAGGGGGGACAGCAAAGGGGGAGGAACGGAGGGGGGACAGCAAAGGGGGAGGAACGGAGTGGGGACAGCAAAGGGGGAGGAACGGAGGGGGGAAAGCAAAGGGGGAGGAACGGAGGGGGGACAGCAAAGGGGGAGGAACCGAGGGGGGACAGCAAAGGGGGGGAACGGAAGGGGGACAGCAAAGGGGGAGGAGCGGAGGGGGGACAGCAAAGGGGGAGGAACGGAGGGGGACAGCAAAGGGGGAGGAACGGAGGGGGGACGGCCAAGGGGG